TCACTATCTCTAGAGATTATGTTGCCCCAAAGAGGTCGTTGAACTCATCGCCTGTTTAGTCATCTATTTGCTTGTTTTGGTTTCCTTTGGCCACACTCTTGTTCTTGTAAGTTTCCATAAATTATCAGAGTAAATAAAAATATGTGGTTTCTGCATTTTTTTTTTCTAGGACATAAGCGAATGAACTTTTGGCAAGGGGAAAACAACAATAACAACGAGCAGGGAAAAAGAACATATTACTCTATTTGCTTCCAGCAGACAGACCAAAATATTTCAAAATATTTGCATGCTCCACATACGGATTCTAAATGGATATATAGAGGGTGGGAATCGATGGGGAATTCCATGCCAAATTTAGGTTTTTTTTTCTTTTCTTTTTTTTCGAAATGTTAAGATGCCTGAACATGCTCGTCGAATTTTGTGTATTTAAGTGCCGCCATATTCATTACAAACATCTGTCAAAAAATGGGAATTTTCGCCAGGAATTTCTATGACCAGCAGCTCCTGTAGCTTTTGTTTGCCAGATGGAAATCTTGAAGAGATTGGGAAGTTAACTTAAAAGGGGTTTGTAAATAATTGGAAATATTGATATATAAAGACTTTTATTGCTATTTATTTAAACAATGAGGGTCGCAAAGTGTTTATTATCAACATGCGTGCGATATAAATTTCATTTTATCATATATTTCTTTATCAAGGCTTATAAAAAAACAGTTTTAGCGCTATAAACATTTTTGAAGATTATGTAACTGAAAATTTAATTGATTTTTGATTATTTTAAATACAAAATTGTTTAGTAAACAATCTTTGTTTTTATCGGTTCTCTTTACATCTATATCTACATAATGTTCTCAGTCTGTTATCAACGGATTCTTTATAGCTTATCTATTTTTAGCACTGTTTATATAGTTTTGTTATCATAATAATTAAAATAGAGATTTTTCTTAACTATTTTATACATTTTATTACTTTTTAAGCTAAATAAGTATTTTTTACAATTTTTCCAATCACTTTTCCCACATCTTTAATACTAACTCCTCACCAACTGATCTTTAAGCTAGTAAAAATCCTATTTATAAGCTTTTATCGTTTGTGCTCAATCGAAGAAGTTAACGGCCGCCCAGAAAGGAAGTCAAAAGTTCGGCGACTTTTCTACGATGGGCAATTAATACGGCATTTACATGAGCGATAGAAGCCGTAATCGTGGAAATTCACGCAATAATTGTCAAACAAAGAATTTCCCTTGCTCTCTCATTCACTCTCTCTCTCTCTCTTATTCTTTCTTTTTCACTCATTCGCTTTTATGGCTCCAAAAACTTTGACTGCATAAATAATAATTTTAGTTTGTTTGAAAAGAGAAATAGAAATGGGGGAGAAGTGGAAAAAGCCATAGAAAGTATTGCCCATTGTTTGTTGTGTTTTTTTTTTTTTCATTTTATATTATGTTGTTTTTGTTGGTTTTTTGATGTTGTAATATGCGTGGCGTGGGCTGCGCTGCCAGCGTCGCTGCTGATGCCGACGTCAACGCACGCTCCCGCATAACAGTCAACGAACGCCTCGCTCTCACGCACTCTCTCCCGCTCTCCCAATCAGCGCCTCTCTCTCCCCCATTTGCTCTATCAGAAAAGTGCGTAAGTGTGCGTGCGTGCGAGTTGAATGACCGCCGAAAATAATTTTTTCCTCGATTTTAGACTTTTACTATGTTGACGCTGGCGATGATGATTGTGGATGTGTGAATGTTGTATGTCTGTGTAGATGTGTGTGCTTTGGCGCTTCTCGCACAGACACACAGAAAGGAACTACTCATGCACAGGGGCGCTAGCCAGGGGGGCTTTTAAAGGGGGCTCATTAGATCAAAATAAGAGTTTTATATTAAACAAGTTTTAATTTAAATAAAATATTTACTCAGGAAATATATTTTTTAGTATCATCATTTACAATATTTAAAAATGTATTAAAAATCTTGTAAAAAATGAATTTAAAAGTTTTTACGGTTTTCATTTTGTTTACTTTAAAATTCAATAAGCATAAAGATTTCTTAATAAGGTTAAATTGTTTTATATTTCAACCGTATCAATCCCCTTCTACGCCCCTGCTCGCACGCACACTTTCTCAAGCTGTCAGAAATTTTGTAGCTTCATAGTTTTTGGTTTTTCGTTTGTTTCGAGTGTTAAACGGGCGTTCGCACTATCTCGCTGGGGCGTTTTGGGGGGAAAGGGGGAGGTGCCGGTTTGGGCTTGGATGGCCTGCATGGGTCCGCTTTTTTCCACACACACACACACACACACACGTGCATTTCTTTTTGTTTTATTTGTTGCGTGTGTGTTTGTGAGCGGACTACACAATCAGCCGAAGCAACAGCAGCATTTCACTTTAACAAAACTTTTTCGGTCTGGCTTTTTTGAATATTTTTCTTTAATTTTTTCTTTACTTTACCACTTCTCTGTATCTATCTCTTTCTTTCGCCTTGGTAAGGGCCAATGTTGTCAACTCTTTCGCTTTTTAAAATTTCGTTTTTGGCCGCTTTCTGTTTACGCCGCAAAATTTCTTTCTTTCTTTCACTTTGCCTACGTTTCTATCTGTTTCACCAGAAAGAAAGGCAAACCAAAAAAAAAAAACGCAGTAGCAGCAGCGAAAAAGTGAAAATTTCAATAATAAAAAAGTTGAGTTTGCGGAAGTCATAAAGGCAAATTGCATGCCAAAAGTAACAGTGACCGAAGTCAAGAAACGGCACCCCCCTCTTCGCCACCCATGCAGCTGGCTTAATTACTTACACGCAACTTCGAAAAACCCGGGGTTAGATTGCTGCCCGCGATTAAGATTTATGTTAGAAATAATATCCTCGCTGTTCCCCGACTCAAACCCTAATTGCATTCCCCGATGACCTGCTAAGGGGTCAAAGCACTCCAATTAAATAGGAATTAAATTAGTTAGGCTTGCTAAAGTTTAAGTCCTGGGGAGGAGTGATTAATGCTCTAGAAAGTTCATTTAGTTAAATCATTTTCTTAACTTCTTTTTAATAATCTCTTATTGTACATTTTTGGCTCTGCATTAAGCAATCGACTTGTTAAATTATAGATTATTATCCTGACATAAATGTTTCATTTAAAACCTTTTCAATCTTTACATATTCCTTTAAAATGTTACCCACCAAAGTTTCTTTTTTAACGTCAAATAAAAACTACCCAAAATACAATCAAGTCAATTGTTAAGAGCCAAAAATACAAATCTAGCCAATAACTGTAAAAGAAATACAAAGCAAAGAGCTAATTAACTAACACCGTCAAACCGAAAATTGTAATTCATACATCTACAATATATTTATATGGCTTGTTGAAACTTTGTTGGCATTACAATATGGCATATACCTATATATATAGATAACATATATATCTATACATATATATTTTTATGACTGGCGCGCGAATTTTAATTCGCAAGTTTCTTTTTTTTCCATTTTATTTTATTATGATCTCCTGCTGTACGCTTTTTATGATGCCAGCCGGTGCCTGAGTTACATATACAATTTGTATCTTTATAACATTGTATCTGTATCTGGCAGCAGCGAAGAAAGGGTTTTGCAGTCGTCTCTTTCCTGTTCTTCGATTGCCATTTTTTCAAATTAGTTGAATTGTCAATGCAAAAAGGCAACAAACCGCTCACAAACAAATGCAAACACACGCAAGTTTGTTTCGTAATATTCATTTGGCTGTCTTTCTTCATTTACGAATTTCATGGATTTCCCTTTAAATAATGTTGTTGTTGTTGCTGTTGTTGCTGTTCGTTGAGAAACCCAAGTGACTTTCACTGCCAAGACAACGAAAATATAAAAATACAAAAAGAGCAGCAACTCATTTCGGGACCAACTGACTGACTTACTCACTGCCTGACTGACTGACTGACTGACTCCGCTCTGCCACATAAAACCAGCAACTTAACTGGATTTCATTAAATTTATACTTTATTTTGTTTTCTTGCAGTTTTTTTGTGCAATTCTCTTGCAACTTTTTAGTGGATTGAAAGTTCACACTTGTCGCTTACTTCACTTGTTGTCTTGGGAATATTTAAGAAATAATATGAAAAGACTTCCTGAAGGACTCAAAAGTATTGAGTTTACTCAGGCAAATAGTTTATATAATATTTATGAAAGCGGAACTAACTTTTATGTGTTTTGTAAAGTCTAGACTGTGGCTTACGATAATGAGAGTTCATAATGTTGCATAATAGTGTATATGCACTTTGTTGCTTTAAAAAGTTGATCCTTCTTATAAGAACCTTTAATCTTCAAGCATAAACCCTTTAATTTTCGTACATCCTATAATATTTTTACAATCTTAAACTTAGTAAACTTTTAGTTTAGTTTTAGGTTCAAAACTCAGTTTCCTTATAATGAATACTATTTAAAACTCATTATATTTCTTATATTTTCTTTTTATTACATTTTTACAAAGCTAGAAAACCCCTTTGCTAAAGGTTGCAATTCCCCCTTTCATTACAGAATATTTTCCAACTTAATTAAGGACCAACTTTGATGTAAATGAGGATTGCTTTACCTTTGATGGAGCCGCTGGAGTTGTTTTGTCCCGTTGGCGATTGGACGTTGCTTTGACCGAGATTGTTTGCGTGTGCTTCCAGTTTCGAAGTGACGCTGCTCCACATGTCAAACATACGTTGCGTATACATAATTATTAATGGGAAATGCGAAGCTTTGGTGACGTTTGTAACGTTTGCTGTTGTTGCCGCTGCAGTTGATTGGTGAAATAGTTATAGTTATAGTTATGTACACTTGGTATCAGTTGATGCAACCGCTGATGAACACGGGCACTCGAACAGACGGCCATACGCGGCGTATACGCAATCAATCTGCTCTTTGCAGTTGAATGAATTTCGAATTTCGCTTAGTTTCTTTTCGGTTTTTTTGTTTTGTTTTGTTTTGTAAATATGTAAAACGTTGTATACAGTATTTAATATATAGATATATATACTTTATATAGCTGCCCTTCGGTTCCAATTGTATTAGCCAATCGTCTTATTGCACTTGGTCTTTAAGTTTAATATTTTTTTTTGTGTGTTTTTTAGATGCTTGTCCGTAGATGCTTTTATGAATGAATTTTCAGCGCTTTTCGCGTTTTCAGTGTGAATCAAGAACTATCACAGTGTGTGTGGGTGTTTTTTTTTTTTTTTGTTTTTGTTGTTGTTTGTGAGACGGGGGGCTGGGGGGCGATGTGTGAGGGGGCTTGCCAATCGATATATATATATATATATTTATATGTATATATATTTGTTTTGTATATTGCTATATATCTATATGTATGTATATAATGATCTAACGTTGTCAGGCCTGTAGGTACTAAATTGTTGATGTTGTTTGGATCTGATGTTATATATGTTGTTGCTGCCGCTTAATTATTTTTGTTTATTAAACTATTTTTTAATAAGACACTTGTTCGCGTATGTATTTAACTTGTTTAGTTATCTAACTTTATCGTTTATTTAAAGCAATTTTCTATGATTTGATAATATCTATTTTAGATCGAACGACCAAACTTTAACCCTTTTGCAGTATGTGCAGATTGTTGCTGTTGCTGCTATTGTTATTGCTATTGTAGTTTTTGTTTTTTTGGGTTGCTTTGGGCAGTTGTTGTTGCTGCTGCTGCTTTATCACTTTCACTGTGTTGTTGCTGTTGCTGTTGCTGCTGCTGCTGCTGCTGCTTCTACGGTTACTGTGATTTTTATTGTGTTGCTTGTTGCTGTTGTTGTTGCTGTTGCTGCTGCTGCTGGTTTCTTTATTGTTATTGCTGCTGCTGCTGTTGTTGTTGCTATGCTCATTGTTTTGTCGATTTCTCTGTTTTGCTTGATTCCAAATCAAAATTTCCAAAAATACGAAAATTTCACGACAATTAATTCCGGAAGACATTTAGGCGCAATCTGTTTCTCATCGATTCGAACTGTCGCTGCCTTGGAAACGTTCATCTGTTTTTTTACTTCTTTCAATATATATACATATATATATCTTCGATTCAGGCCCTCAGCCTGAACACTTTGATGTACAAAATGGTTTGGCCAGTTATGTAAATACTTTTGCTACGCACTGTCAGCCATGGCCAAATCATGGCATTCAGCATATTGCACGGGAATGATGTCTGCAAGGTGGGGGTATACATTTTTGTTATATAAAATTGCAAGATCTTCGATTGATTGATTATCAAAGATTGATAGATCGATGAGTGCCCAAATGTGTGTGTGTGTGTGTCTTAAGGTTTGTCTTTAGTTTATAGTTAAAACGAATCTGTCAAGTCTTTGGAAAGGTTTAAAAGTTAGAACTTGATAGCCTTCAGTAGATAATTTGGAGAGAAAGAGATGACATCCTTCTTTTGGGGAAAGCAAATAGGAACTACAACCCGGAAGTGCTACGTAACATATTTTCTCAGACCAAACAAGACAAAACCATTTTATATATCCTCATCGCATTACAGAAAGGAAGCTGAAGGATCTAATGATATAATATCAGAACGAGAGCAATTAGGATAAGGGTGCTATTAGAATTATTTAACATCGGAACCACAATAACCCTTTCCATTCCTATATATTAACTCCAGGAACTCAGGAACTGTGCCGAACCCCAAACCACAAAACATATAACCCCTAGCTCTCCCTTTTTTTTCGGTTGGCAACTCCCCTTGGCTGCTGATGACTATATGGACGTGGACATGGAAAATCGATAGAGAAATGGGATTTAAGGGTGCCCAGACAGACGATGGGGTTTTTCGGTGGCGTTGGAGGTGGTGGGGAGTGCTCTTCTAATGGGGAAAAACTGTGAAATGCAGTGCATAAATCTCGTCGCCAAGCATAGTGGGTGTGTTCCTGTATGTGTGTTAGTATGGGTAAACATAGAAAAAAGTTCTATGACCCAAAGCTCAAACACACACACACACACTCATACAGAGGAAAAACGAGCGACAAACGAGCCGGCAAACCCAATGAATATAAAAACATTTTTACTTTTCTCTCTCCCTCTCCCTCTCTTTTCTTTCTAGTTTTTGGAGGTGGGTGGGGGAAGGCTTGTAATCACTTTGTTGGTGGTTTGGGGGTGGCTTTTGGGTGGCCATGCGGAAGCCTCTGGCAGACATATAAAATACGTCACCAAAGCGACAGCAACAACACTGAAATTGTGCCAGCTCAGAAACAGAAAGAGACAGCAGGCGCATGAAGATAGAGCGAGCGAGAGAGAAAGAGAGAAATTTACATATAGACAAAACGCAAAGAAAAACGCTGAAAGGAAAATGAAAATGAATAGTCGCACAGTGGAAATGAAAAATTCTCTCGCAGCGACAACGAACTTACTAACGGTACTAAAGCTAACGAGCCGGTCAAGCCGATGATGAAGCAGAGCGAGAGAGAAAGAAAGAGAGAACGACAGCGTTGGTGAAAAGGGAAGAGAGAGGGGGTCGGTCGAAGCCGAAGGCGGTTACAGTTACAACAGCAACAGAGCGACAGCAAAGCAGACGACAAAGTTTACAAGGCAGCGCTGCTGGCTTCGCAGTTGCAGCGCAGCTTTTACTGTTGCTGTTGCTGGGTTGTTATTGCTGTTGCTGCTGCTGCTGCCGTCGCAGTACGTTGACGCCGACGAAAAAGACCAATGACCTATGGGTGGGCCATGCCGCTGCCCCCACTTTTCCGCCTGGGACTTCTGCTTAGGCTGTTTTCCGCTTCTACACGGTCAGAAAAGTTAAATAAAATGCTCAGCATTTTGATAATCTTTCTTGAAATTTCACAATTCTATCAAATACCTATCTTTAAGATCTTTAAATCTCATAAAGGTTAAAGAACCAATCACCTTTATTTGTTGAGATTAAAAAACAATAAAAAATCTATTTTAATAGTCAAAATAAGGAAAGTTTTCATAGCAAAGAAACTACACCAATTATATCATTTTATCTTAGCATCCCAAAAAGGACATCTCTAAGACTGCAGATTTCTCTGCGTGTAGCCAGAGTTGTTGTTGTTGCTGGGGTGGCACACTTATGGGGCGACACATGGAGTGCGCTAACGTATGTGTATGTGTGTGTGTGCTTAGCAATGTTGTTCCACTAACGGTAATGCAAACAGTCGACTAAAAAGGCAGGAGAAGCACAAGAAGAAGCAGCAACATCAGCAGCAGAGGCGACAGAAAAGGAGGCGCTGAGTGGGTGGTGCTGGCGACGACCGACTTTGCTCTGCTCTGAACTCGCCTGAACTGAAAAGTCGGTGCAAGTACTCGTACTGCCGCCTCTAAACTGCTTCTAACGACAACAATAACAATTGTTGATAATCATAAGTTGCCACAATGGACACAGACAGTAGGGAAACTGCAGCGGTAACAAAAGGGGCCAGAAAATTGTATGTGTGTGGACAAGAAAAGGGCATTGCAAGCAAAGCATCTCATCTCATCTCATGCTTTGTACTTAGAGATTCGGGTTCCTAAGATCTCTCTTTATGGAGGATGGTGAAGAACGCCAAAGACAATGGACTCAGAAGCTAACTAATACTGGGAACCCTATGAAAAATTGCGAAAAGCTTTCAACTGACAGTTTGGTCCATAGTTGCTCCAAAAAGGGGTTGTTAATTGGGGGAACTGTATTTTCCATATGGTATGTGCAAGCTATTTGGTCAAAGGAAGGAGTCATTGTTGGCTAAATATACTAATTATCATCATCAGTTTTCCCTTCAGTGAATCATAGGATTAAAATATTACTTTAAGTTTAAGAATATATAAGAATATATCATTAAAATGTTTTGGAAATATTAAAGAAAAAACATTTATCAAAAGAAGAGAGATTGAAGCTAGAGAACATTTATCTTAAGTTCCTTGTCTACTTATTTCGGATTAAAAAGAATGGAATCTCAAAAAGATCTTTGAAGAAAAAGTTTGTTAGTCTCAAAAAGTTGTTCATTTTATATAGAAAAATGTTTCAAAAAGTGAAAAGACGACCAATAAATTCCCTAATACAACATAGTACTCATTCTTAGATAAATCGAGGTAAATGAACTATAAGATTCCCATTTTAAAAATAAAAAAGAACTGTCTTAATATCTCATATTACAAAATCTAGCTTTCCTAGGTTAACTATCCAAACCAAAAGCCTAGAAAATTTCAAACTGTTCAATTAAGTTTGATCAATTTGCATTTAGTTATTCAAATATTAGACACGTGTACTTAATAAACACCCCGAAACAGAAAGTAGAAACAAATTTTGTGTATAAAAACAAACGAGCCTAAACGATGTCATAAATTTCTGTTTCCCAATCATTAAATTCCCGATCGTGTGATATATCCGAAAACTGGCGGTTTAGCTATCCAATTAGTGGCAAAATAGATTATTCCAATAAATTATCCAATTTGCGGGCTGATTTCGCCGTGTTGCGATGAGGGATTTTCCTGATGGCTTTTCATTTTCTTTTTAATAATATTTTAATTATATCCTTGTGGCTAACACACACACACACACACATTTGGGCACATATTGATCGTACACATACACGGAAATTGGCTTTGTTTTTGTTGCACAATCTTGAAAGGGAGGTTGTGGGAGGGATTCTCCTGGGTTTGTTGTTGTTGTTGTTATTGTTGTAGGGAGTATTACGTCACTGGCACTTCCGTTTCCGTTTGCTATTTTGTAATATTTTTTTTATATTTGCGGAGAAAGAGGGCGCGCAATTGCAGTTGCAGTTTTTAGGCACGATGTGGAATTTGAATGCACACGATATTGATTGATTGACTGGTACTGTATATAGCGATATATATAGGCGTATCCTATGATTTTGTTTTGATCTGAAACCGAACAAACTTCATCTGCCGCCGCATGTTGCAAGGCTATATCTTTACTTGTTGTATTAATAATTTTCCATTACACTGTCACACACTCGCGTTTCATAGTTTTGCCTTTTTGGGATTTTTGTAGTAAATTTTTTTTATTTTATATATTTTCGGAGCAGAGTGATGGGGGGTGGTGAGGCGTTTTGTTGAGGGGGATTTTTGGGGGGCAAAACGCATAGGCAAATGCACACACACACATACACACGCACGACGCACGGACGAACGCACACACGAGCGTTGGGAAATGAAAACGGTACAGAGTATAAACAACAACAACAAATAATTAATAATAAAGATACAACGCGCCACGCATCGTAACCCGCCGCCGCGAAACGCTCAATACGGAGTGTAGCTGAAGAGTGCCGCAAAATGTTATCGACTGTTCGTTGTCGTCGTGCGGCAGCAGCGACGTTGGCAGCGCGGCAGCAGCACCGCAATGCGCCAGCAGAGGGCTCCACAAAAGAGAGAAACCCAGAGAGCCAGAGAGAGCAAACGCTCAAGAGAGAGAAGTGGGTATATGTGTCTCTGTGCCGATGACTTCTTCAGTTCGCTGCCCCAACGGCCCCTGCTCCCCTTCCCACGTCCGTCACCCCACCCACTTTTACCTCGTCCGCTTTGTGCCGTTCCTTCGCTATGGCAACCGCTTGCCAGCAAAAGAGCCCATAATCAGCTGTTATCGCGGGGGCTCACTCTCTCGAGGGTGACTCGCTCTTTATAGTTTCTCTTTGGCTGGAGAAGAGAGAACGGGAGCTTTTTGGCGCTTCCTTCAATTAGCAGGTCAATTGCTTTTTAGGCCAAAATGTGTGCACTGCAGTGTTGCCAACAATTTAATTGCACTTCTTACTTTTCAACGGGCGACTTGGCCAATTGTTTCAAATGCCTTATTCGGCCCGGAAGTGGAAATTGGCCCTAAATTATACCGCTCGAGTCCTGTCAACACGATTTTAATGATTGAATTGGCTTTTGGCTGTTGGGTTCTTAAATGGTGGTGATTATAAGTTTTCTAGATTTAATTTGGGGAACATATGACAGTTTGATTAAATGGAATAAATAATATACGAATCATACTAACAAATTTTTTAAGTGTGATGTACTCTATTACTCTATAATCCTCGCAAATAAGATAAATTTTTCTTAATAATAAAGTGCGCCATGAGGTAGGCAACATATTGTGGCATTTAATGGTAGAGAACATGACAATATCACAAAACGTTTTTTCATAAATATTAATAAAATAAATAATAAATGAAATCAAAAATTTATGATGTAAAGAAATTCTTAAATTGGAATTAAAACAGTTTTTGTAAGATCAAACATATTAAGTATTAATAAAGAGATTTGTTTATTATAACGTTATTAGTGTTTTATAAGATCCGGGGTTCTTAAATAATTCAACCAATAAACTGGGTTGAATCCGAAAGATATAAATTTTTATGAATATATTTTATAGATTTTATAAATATTCAAGCCATTACGTGTGCAAAAAATGCAAAAAATCAAAAAAAAATCACCGAACAGTCAAGGTGAACTGCACACGGAGTTTGCTGGCCAATTAAAAATGTTAAAATTAGTTTAAACCATTTGGCAATTTGCTTTCGAAGTTTGCCAAAATGAAAAGCAAACCCACAAAAAATAACTCAAAATAAAAAAGTAAGTTTCCATGTAAAATGTTGAAAACGCAAAAAAAACAGGAGAAACAAACTTCGCTTAAGTTATAAATTAATATTTCGTTTAACGTTAATTTATGTATCTTCGTTGACGACGTCGATACTAGAGTCATTAACTTTGCATCTTTGCAAATACAAAATGTTGAGAAAAAAAAAAACATGACTGCGGAGCATAATTTGGTTTTTGCATAGATGAGAAAGAGATGAGATGGTTACGAAATACCTATGAAGTTTGGCAAAATCGAAAATATGATAATGAAACTTCGCCACGCTCGATTGGAGACGAAATCCCATGCGGCGCTGACCTGGCTAATAGCCACGGAACCAGGTCCAGACGATCCACCAGCCAATAAGCCCAAGATTCATGCATGAAATGCAAAGCGTTGTCCAACCAAATTATAATGAACCTGACTGCGATCCGATTCATATGGGAAATTACAACAATAAACCAGCCGCCAAAAAGTGATAGTGTGAGTCCCAAATGGCGAAGATATATATCTCGTAATCCCCAAAACCGATTGCGACATCTTCGATCCGACGGCGACAACAACTGGCGGACTTGCAAAGTCCATCGACCACGTTCAGGGTCGTCTCATCTGCAGAAAGGTTTTCGATGAAGAAAACCTTTATGTTTTTTTTCAGTTTTACATTTTTTTTGCCAACTACCATTATGTGGGCTAATCATTGTCAAATCCGCTTGTGAATATATATAGATAGTCTGTTAAACCGCCATAAACGAGTTTTTTTTCAAAACGATTTGAAAATTTCACGTGACGTCTTGGTACATTACCAATCCATAATTTTAAAATTCCCTCGAAATTTCAAGGAAGATAATTAATCATAACTTTAACGCAAAAATATTTAGTATCTTATTTATAAAATTAAAAAGGAGAAAAAGCCAATGTATCTCTATCTTTACCAGATTTATAGATACAAAATGAATCTTAAAAGTTGGTTAATCGTAAAGGAATTTATCTCAATCCTATTGATCCATCATTTAGCTTCTGTAATTGTGAAAGCATAAAATCAGAAAACAAATCGAATGATCTGTTCTTTGCAATCCCGTTCTTGTTCTAGTGGGTACAGCAATTAGGTAACGATTCATCGCCGTTGATCATCAATCATGAGACCAGAAAATCCGACATTTTCGGCCACCGCCCCTTAGCCTGCTAATGAGCCATGCTCATGTGGATATACTGTTGGCCCACAGCGCAAAGATATCAACAGAAACTATAAAATATAGATCAATCTTGGCCGAAACTGTGGGGCTTCTGCATGAGAAGTCGTGTCAGTGCCTGACACTCATTTGTAGTCATCAAGTGAACCGAGTCGAGGGAGCAGAATCAACTCGCTGGCCCGAGGCGCTGCCAAATCAATTTTTCAGCTTACACGCCCCCCTTAGCCCTTATACCGTTCTTTGGTTGACTAAATGCACTGTGAAAAGTTAAGGTTTACTTTTGAATTTAATGTAATATTTTGGAATCTTAAGATCTGCTTCTTAATGGTGTTCCAGGGAGATCTCTTAACAATACACTGAAAGTTTAAACGTAAAAACCAAAATATAGGCATATATATAATATATTCATTTTCACCTTTTTCTTTCAGTGTATAAAAGTTAATTCTGTTCTAGCCAGTTACTCTTAGGCTTGAGTTTCGCTCTCAGTCTGTCCCGCTTGCTCCGTTGGAGACTTCATTCAGTTAACTGTATAGTTTGTAGTTGACGTTTTTACCGCTAAGGTTCGTGCTACGGTAAAAATATGAGGAGCCAAGCAGAAGAACGGTGTTGGTGTTGTTGGTTGAGTTCTTGGTGCTGCCGCTGCTGTGCCGCAACAGCAGTAAAGCGAATATGCCGAGGCAGGGAGAATAGCAAAAAAAAGAAGAAGAAAAAAAGTCAGCTAACAGAACCTAATGATAAAGAACACCATCTAGACTTGGCCAAAAGCTAGTCAGGCTAGCAGCGGCTTATTTAGTATGTCAAAACATGTTTTTGTTGCTGCTGCTGTTTGTTGACTATGGAAAGTGGGACACATGCCCGTAGCTGTTTGGTGTTGCTGTTGCTGCTGTTGGTGTTACTGCTGTGTTGTTGTTACTGCTGCAGCCACACAAAGGTGAATAGCCAATAAATCGAGGCTTGTAAATTGAAATTCTTTTTAGCATGGGGTGTGTACACTATACACTTTACCCAGTACACCTGTTGTTGCAGTTGCTGTTGTCTTGGTGTTGCCGCTGTCGTTGATGTGTTGCTGATGTGTCAGCCTGTTAATTGCCGCTGCCTGGGATGCTTGCGCAATGAGCGAGCGTTCATTTGCATAGCTTGGATTCTTAAGGGGAGCGGTTATAGCGGGGATATATGTGCGATTATCTGAACCATCGCTGATCGTCAGTGGTCGCTCTGGGTGAGTGCTCACTGTGGTTAGCCGACTGTTGTTCTTTTGCATTTGCAACAAGTGGAATTCTTGCTGAGTTTTATGGAGTGTGAACTCATCATTCGAGGAATCCTTGACTTAAGATCTTTCAAATATTAGCCACAATCACTCAAGACTGATGATGGAAAAACATTGATGTTTGTTTTATGTTCAATTTCAAGAAACATCAATGTTAGATGGGGTAAAAATATCAATCTTAAAGCCTCTCTAATGGCTGATGATTTATGTTTTGGTTAAGGTTTCAAATTAACTTAAGATTTTGTGTTTAAAAAAGCATTAACTATTTGAATATATTTTTAATATATTTCCAATGGAATTACCTGTCATGGCTCCATTGCTGCTGCTGCTGTTGCTGTGCTCTCTGCTGTTGTCCCTAGACAATGTTGCTGTTGCATTTCCAGAGGCTGCCGATGTCGCCGATGTTGCTGATGTGGCTGTTGATGTTGCAGCGGGTTTCTGTGCCGTTAACGGTGGCATTGGCGGTGGCGTTCGCTCCTTGGATCGCTTCAGGTTGCTGTCTTGACTGGTGTTGCTGGTATTGCTGGCCATGTTTTTGCAAACGGAGCTGATATTGCTGATGCTACTGAAGCTACTGAGACTGCTGAAGCTGCTGGAACGTGCCAAGGCCGGAGGATCCGATAGGAATTTAACCTGCTGCTGCTGCTGTTGCTGCTGCTGCTGTTGTGGCCGCGATTGTAAGGTCCTACTGGTGGCCAATCTTTTGGGTGCCGGTGGCTCTGGTTCAGTCTCATCCTCTAGCTCACCCTTCGCCTCCAGTTCAGCCTCCAGATCGGTGTCCATGTCCGATTGCACAGTGCCTATGATAGTGCCCTCCTCGTTGGCCTGCTCAAAGCAAACGTCCAGCAAGGTGGCTCCTCCGCCCGCCTGTAGGCCAGCTATATCCTTCAGATCTATCCAACTGGCACCCAGCTTATCCGCATCACTGAGGGGTAAACTCAACACCCTGGTATCACCTTCATCCACCAGATGAAAAGATTGCGTTGGCTCAATCTTGACGATAATTGGCTGATTGGCCAGGATTTGAGCGGGCGGCGCACTGCCCAACAAACTGGCCATGTTCTCCTCCTCCTCGTCGGCGGCCTCCAGTTCGCTGAGTTGCTGTTCGATTTGCAGGTAGGTACTAGAGCTGGAATTTGTTGCCACGCCGGTCTGCGGCTTCAGTACGTCCAGTTTGAGGACGGTGCATTTGTCGGTCTGCTGGTATTGATGCTGTTGCTGAGGGCGTGGCAATGGAGCCAAGGCGGGGGCACCCGATGTAGTTGATAATCCAGAACCTTCCGAAATGAAGGCTAAAGGTGGCGAAGTACCCGTTGACTTGGTGGAAACGGACACACTCCTTCCCGATTGGATCAACTGGGGCAAGGCTGAAGGTGCACCACTACCACCACCATTGCCATTACCACCAGTGGCAGTTCCAGAAGCAGCGCCACCACTTCGCACCACAATGGTGGTGGAGACGGGCAGCGGGATTATCGAGATGGAGGGCACCTTGCTGCGCAGATTGGCAACCGCCGCTGCCGTTGCGGCATCGGTACCGATGTACGTTGGTCCGCCGCTCGAGGATTTGTTGCCGCCGGCGGGCTTGGCCTGCTGTATCAGCAGGAGATCTCTGGGCCTATCCGTTGTGGCGGCCGTTTCTTCACAAAGACTCTCAAATATCCAAAAGCTTTTCCGCTTTTCTGCTCTTAAAACACTAAAACACTCACACTTTCACTTGGTTCATTGCTTGTATTTTCTTCTTTGTTTTTTATTTGATTTTTGTTTTTAAACTTTTATTTATACTTTTTTGAGGTGTAGAAGCACAACATCGAAATAAATTCAAAATCAGCCTTACGAAAGTGCACTTAAAAAATTGTTGACTAAACAAGTTCATTCATTTTGTTGCATTGCCTCCGATTGCTTGTCAATTGGTGTAGATACCCCAGTGAGGAGGTGAGATTTGAATGAAGAGGGGGTAAGGGGAAAGGGGGATTTTTTTCAGGGGCGTAGTGGGGTCTACAGATGCACCTGTGCGTTTCGTTTCGTTCGGTTCGTTTTTGGTTCGTTTTGCAGCTGGAAATACGCGTCGTATACTTAACGTAACTTTGTGCGATGCCTAGAGTTTGAGTTTGAGTTTGAGTTTCCGTTTCAGTTTAATGCTTTTGCGTTTCTAGTTGTTTGTGATTACTTAGTCTTTCTTTAAGGGTTTTTTGTTTAATTTAGTTTATTTTTATTATAGATTATGCAGCAATTGTTGCTGTGTTTTGATGACTGTGCCTGTTTCTGTATCTGTGTCCTCCTCGTTTGCCTGTGGTCGTTGTCATCCTCGTTTTCGTATCCTGCTGCTGCTGTTGTTGCTGCTGTTGCTGCTGCTGCTGTTGCTGCTGTTGATGTTCCTGCTGTTGCTGTTGCTGTTGCTGCTGCTGGTGCTGCACATGCAACGCGTCGCCGCTGGATGGCTGCAAGGCTGCGCTGCAGCATTCGGTTGTACCAGCGCCATTGGAACTCGACCACGTCAAAACAGTTGGAAGTGTGCCTCTGGATCTGGATGTGGATGTGGCAGCAATGTTGCTGTTGATTTCCCACATTGCGGCACGCAACCCTATGCAACCACCACCATCACCACCACATCGGCAATCACCACCTTCATCCTCGGCAACAACAACCACCAGCTGGTTGTGTGTGGAAAGTGGCTTTAATAATCGATTTTTCAGCGGCACACTTGCAGATCAATATTTGGCAAATATGTTGGCAGAAATCTTCCAGCTTTCCCTTTTCCTTTAAGCCAAGATTTTTAACCCTTAAGTTTTTCAATTATTTTCTACACTATTTAGTTTATTTCACTAGCGTGAGCTGTTGGTTATTTAACACTGTTTTTTATTTTTTGTTGTTTCACTTTCAGAAGCCAAAAGCTAAATGCACCGCGCGCGTTTTTTATGTGTGACTCCTTTTTTTTACGATTTTGAGTAGCAGCTGACCGGAGCTGCGTCCTTTACAGGAATGTGTCCCAAATTCGAGTGCCACAAACACACAGTTCGTTCTGCCGCTGCACAAACTTTCCGTTTCGTGGGGGTTGCGCCTTAGTTTTCTGGGAAAATCCAGATGTATGTGTGTGTGTGTGAGTGTGTGTATCCGCATGCAAGTTGAAAAATGGGACTCGCTGCGAACTGCTGCGAAAATAGGGTTAGTAGGCATAATGCCAAGTGCATAGCCAGGAAAAACTGGAAGACACAACACGAAGGAAAACGAGCACAGGCGAACGTTGTTGCGCAGCTTTTCCACCCTTACGGTCTGCTTTGTGAACGGGGGAGTGCGGAGGGTGTGGCTGAGGGCTAGGGAAATTCCCCGTTGTGGTGGAAAAGCGTCACGGGAAATTTCTGCATGCTCGTGGTGGGAAAACCAAAGGGCGGGAGATTTTGAATGAGTCTTAAAGTTAGCTCAAGACTTTAAATAAATATTGAGGGACTTTCTTTTAAAGTTCATTCTGAATTTTAAACTGAACTTTGTTGCCTTTCAGAACAGATTAATCTAATAATTGTGAAAAACATTAGCTTAGATAGTAAGAACCTTAGAACAAATGTCATTTCCTTTATCTAAAAATGCCCAATAAATAAAGTTCAATAGAATCTTCCAGTTCCAGTTTCTAATTTCGGTAATTAAAGTCCCCTGCAGCCAAAAAAAGGCAACAGAAATCCAGTAAAAACAAAACCAAGAACAGCTATGACCACAATGACCCCCAAGTGACTGCCTAAAAAAAGGGAGAACAACTCGTTCATTGCCCAATAGTCAGAGCAAATTTGGACTAATCGCCTAACTGGGCTCCAGCCTAACAGATCGTATTTGAACCATCATTAGTTAAGAGTCTAGGGCCAAGAGATATATAGAAGTATATATAGAGAGGAGGGGCCGATATGAAGGCAAGACCAAGCGACCACCGTTACTATGGATTCGAATTGGGAGCCAAGAGTCAACCATCGGCATTAATATTTCATGTTTTTCCGTTGCTTAAATCATGTTAGATTTATTTTGCGCTGCTTTTCAGCTGCCACTGCCACAGCCGCTGCTGCTTGCGCAACAACAATCAAGAAAGAGCTAACTGGTTAGTGGTTCTGCCAGCAACTTGCAGCTAAACTTGGCTAAAAGAAGCAAAAAAAAAAAAAAAAAAGAAACACCGTTGGTTCTAACGTGAACGTGGAAAATGTGTGCCTCACCGTTGTAAACTTCTTGTGGCGATATATTTGCTGTTGCCTCATCTATTGCAAGTCTGTGCCGATTCTAACCTGTTTTCTGTGCAGAAACTCTCCGAAAAAAGTCCCGTAAGAAAGTCCCAGTTATTCAAGAGGAAAAACCTGTTACACGCAACTGGCTCAGAGAGCTTGTCTTGCCAAGAAAAGAAAATAAAAGAAAATAAAAGAACAGAACAGAAAACAGAAAAAGAACCAAACCAAACCGAACTGAACTGAACCACAATGGCAGCAGCAGAACCAGCAGCAGCAGCGGCAGAAACACGTTAGTACCGTTGGCTCGGATTCTTTGTTGCGCAACTGTGTTGCAAGATTAGCTGCGACTTCCAACTGGTTTATTGCAGCCCCACTGTCGATGAGGCAACAGTTGGCCCGGCCATTACTGTTGTTCTGCTGCCATTGCTGCCTTGAAGATGTGGTAAAATCTTTTGGCTAGAATCGGAAATCCAGCAGCATTGCATGTCTTGCAGCTTGACTGCATATCCCATCCATTTATTTGCGGCTATTGAAAGCCGTTGCCTTTTATAATCAATTAGGTTTTTTTATTCTTTTTTTTTTTTGCCTTTGTTTTAGTTTTTAGTTAGCTAGCTTAATGATTCCATTAGTGGGTTTTAGCCAGGCAAGGCTAATCTCTGAGGCGTAATATCACCAGAACTATTTTGATTGACGGTGAAACTTGGTTTTCTAACGTTGCAAACTTAACTTAACTTTTGAGATTCAAAGACCTTCGTATTTTGTAATAAGTTTATTGAGATATTATTTTGGAGAAAACTTCTATTAATCAATAATAACCCATAATAAGATTTGATTATTGAAAGAAGCTTAAAACCTAAATTTATTTGTATACAAAAATCTTTTAATTCAGAAATGATGAATCGTTAAGAAAGTTATATCATCGTATTATATTATTATTGACTTAAGTAACATATATATTTCTTTTGTTTCCTTTTTTGTCTTTGAGACTTTCAGATTTCTGACGCATAGCTGACGCATTGAACGAAATGCAAATAAACAAAAAAATATTAAGTATAATAAGCTTTTATTATTCATATTTATAGAATCTTTATAAAAAATATCTTTAATTAATCTACTAAATATTTACATCAAAATGCAAAACTAATAATAAAATCTGTTTAATAGAAAGGCTAGCAGTATTAATAATATTAGTATTACAAAGACTTAAGCTATCAATCCTCTTTTAGCACATCAAACCCTAGTATTAGTTAATATAAGAACCCCTACTAACCTCTGATGGTGCTGGGCATGTTATCCGGGTTCTTAGTTATCATCAATGGATATGGACATTCATTCACTCACTTCTAATGCTCGGATCAATGTCAAGGTTTTGAACTCATCACTTGGCCAGATCATGATCGTAAAATTCGCGAATTAGTTCGAGTCTGGCTGAGACGGTATCGTATCGTATCAAACAGTTTTCAAACGGTTAAATTAGCCGGCGAAGGTGATGATGATGCCGGCCGAAGTGGAACGGAATGGATAAGGAAGGAGAGTGAGCGTAATCGTGATTGGTAGCTAACCAAACCGAAGAAGAGAGCCCAGAATCCGGACTGGACTGGACTGGACGTGGGGACAAACGATTGAACACTAAATGGCCAGAGACCGAGTCGAAGACCCGTTGCATCCGATGATCACGATCGCGGGGTTCATCATTATGGGGTTCCTCTTCATTGGGCGATGGAATCGCTGGAATCATCATCCTCTGGCGGGAACCTGTGTGTGCGGAAAAACAAGCAAATCGCAAACAAAAAAAAAAAAAAAACAGAAACAGAAGCTGCCGTTGAGAAAGGAGAAAGGAGCTGCAAGAAGTTCCCACCTCAACACACGCACACGTGTGCCCACCAACACACCTGCAAAAGGGGGCGCTCACCACAATTCCTGCTAATTAAATGCGTGATCACTGCCCAAAAATATCCAAGCAGTAACCGAAAAAGATACAGTCCAGCTTTCCCAAGAAGGATTTTTCAACAAGCTGGTTTTCATGTGTCTTAACTAAGCTAAAAGCTATATCTATATAAGAGAATATTAATCTTAATAATCTTTATTATATTGTTGATATATGAGTTTGGTGACCTTGAATCATAAGTTGTATTTTGTTTATCATTATTAAGTAATAGTTAAAATCTTACATTGATCTTAGGATCTAAGAAACCTCAAACCATAAGACAACCTTATATTAGCATCAAAAAATAAGTTTCATGTATAGAAGTTTGACTGTAAATTGACTTTTAAGACATCCACATGCCATCCGAGTCATGCGTGCATTTCATCAGAGATTGGGATGCCCAAAAGTCCGAAAGTTCGACGGCTATTCTGAGTACACGTAGTGCTTTTCAATCGAAAAAGTCAGTTACCCGAAACCCGTGACGTTGTATCGAGTAAGCGAGTATCTGTGTATCTTTGGGGCCCGTCATTGGATCGCAGTTCGCTCAGTTGCACCTTTAATCGCTGAGCAAACAGGAAGACTTCTACGGCAAACATGCACACACTTGCTGACTCACTCATACATAAGCGCTGGAGAGAGCGGGAGTCAGAGAGTGTGTGAGAGAGAGAGCGGGGGGCAAAACAGGTTGAGAAGTACCGCTAAGCGGAGGCCCCAACTCTCCGAGGTCAACGAACGTTCTTAGCGCTCAAGAATGAAGGAATCAAAACACACGAAAAAACCCAGAGCGAGAGAGAAAGAGGCAGCGAGAGCGGAAGAGAGAGTGTAAAGAAAGCACGAAGAGAGAGAAAGCAAGGCGATCGTTTTAAGAGCGCAACAGGTAAGCACTTAAAACTAAAGAGCGAAAAAAAGACAAAGAGAAATGAGATATTATCATTTATTGGCGTTTTTGTATGCACATGCAGTTTTGAAACGAATTTATCTGTTGCTTACAGCTAAATGAAAAAGCTTACAAAATGTGTATTTTTAGCCGTCGATTTAAAAAAGAACAAAAAAAAAGAAAGAGAAAGAGAGAGAGAGAGAGAGTGCGGAACAAAAGCCGCTTTGTAACTGTCTCGTCTCATGACCAAAAGAAACCGAAATTCTTATTCTTATTGCTCAATATTTGGTAATACACACTCACGGATACAGATACAGCAAACAGTTACAGATACATGTTGAAGATACAACTACAGATACAGATACAAATTCATTCGACGTGCAAAAGCCATTCAATGTAGCGGTATTTTGTCGAAATTTTCTGAGTCTCGAGACGAGTACAAAGCTCATTGACCTCATGCTCTCTCCCTCTCTCTTTCTTTCTTTCTATCTTTCTTTCTTTCTTTCTTCTCTTTTGTGTCTTCTGTCCCATTCCCTTGTAACAAGTGTGTAACGAGCAAAGGAAGGAGGGGGACTGATTTGCTTCTTTTTTTTTTTTTTTTTGTAATTTTTGGGCGTTTTAAGATGGGCTTCCAGTTAACATAAGCATCGAGCATTTTTCGGTTTTTTATGCCTTCCTGTGAGAGTCATGTTGGTCTGTGTTTTCCCTGGGGAACTTCGTTTTAATCCGGCCAGATGGGATGTTTATCAGTAAGCCCACAAGCGTATTATTTAGGAAGTGAGGGAGGTATTCAGCTGACAGCCTGTTGATCCCGTTTAGCGTTTGCTGGCCTGCCATTGGTCAGTGGATTTGTTTCCCTAGCGAAGGACATCTCTTCCCATTGGCTGTTGCTCTTTGTCCCCGTTCTTTTTCTCCCTCTCTCGCTGCTGCTGCTGCTGGTCCTGCTTTGTTATCGATGTCCTTTGTTTCACAACCGCCTGTTGCCGTTTTATGCACTCTTTCTCCTTGATGGGGAATATTCGGAACAAAGAGATGGAATATCTGGAAGATTTAATACCTTTTATATGTCATCTATTTCTAGTAACTTAATATCTGAACTCAATACTCTTTTTCTTACTTTTTAGATGCTGTAACTAACAAAGAAAATTAATAAAATTTTAGGAAAATCTTTATTCTTAGGAAGTGTATCCAGAGAATAGCAGCTACACCCACGCTTTTCCCTAAGCTTATTGTTGTCGACACTCATATTAGGAAAATAGCCATCCTGCTGTTTAATGGCAATTTCATTTGGCCCAATGCCCTTCGTTTTGCCAGCCGAAAAGCAACAGTTTCCGGGTATAAATAGGTCCTGTTGGACTACAATTCCATTCAGTTCGACTTTGATTCGAGTCCTGTGCGTGGTAAAGTCAAATATTTAGTGATTGTGCTTAAATTGGTAATGAAATAGTTTTATTTTATCTCATAAAACTGTTAAAAGTGTTGTTAAAAATACAACAACAAAGTAATTATTATATTTTATCAGATGAATACATTTTTAGTAAATGATTTATAAACAATATTAAAACATAGCGGCTATCTTGAATTTTGTATGATAGTTCAAAATTAATGTTAACATTTTTCGAAATTCCCTGACCCAATTATCTACGACAATGTTTGGAGTTTTACTCTCAGCTATTTTTTTTTGTGAAATGGCAAACATTTCATTTTGATTGCCCGACATTTCCATCGATGAATTCAAGTTCATGTTCTCTTCATTTTAAATGCATGACAAAATGCAGTTGGAGAATGGGTATACCTATACTATACTAGACCGATGCACGCGCTGCAGATCGAGAGATATAGTTAATTTGCGGTATTTAAAATATAATCAACCTATGCCAGCCAGCCAGCCAGCCAGCCAGCTAGCAAGCATAAACAATTAGAGGGGCACTTTCCAATTTAAACGGAATTTTGTTGGGGATCAGCTGCGATCCAAGTGCAGTTATTGCCCCTCTAATATACCCCTCATATCGCATGCCGTGAGGGATGGGCAATTAGGGAAGTTCATGTACCGACAACTTGCCAACACACATCCCCCAAACCGAATTGAATGGAAATCTAATTGGTTCCGGCCAGGTCTATAAAAGCAGGGCGTCATCCCAAAATCCCTAGTTTTAGGATAAATATTATTGCACCGCCGCAAATTAGGTAAATCCCCCCACGTGTGTGTCCAAACGCTTCCAGTGGTAGCCGAGGTCCACCCTTGTATTTTCACAGCTGGTAGCTTTTCTCATCGCCTTTCCACAAGCGCTTTCTTTTCTTCTGTTCTTTTCATTTCCATTTCCAGCCATCACCAAAAAGAAGCCCCACAATATCGGAAGTGCCCAAGTTTCCATTCCATTATATTTGTTCTCCATTTGTTTTTCCCTGTTTTTCACCAGCGGTCAGACGGTTGACGTTCCACATTTGCCATTTCAATTTAGCCCAAGTTTTTCCCCCGAAAAATGGAGCTGGCCTAGCGAGAAGTTCAAATAGGATTAGGCCAAATTCATTTGCGAAACGAGAGAAGCTAGCTGATAAATTTCGTAAAGGAAAACCCTGATTGCGTGCGACAATTGCAGAGTATTATTATTTACGTCAGCAAAAAGGATTTAGCCAAAGCGATTGCACGATGGACTTCAAGGAATACCGCCAAAGGGGTGAGTCTATTGGCCAAATCTAGGCCATAAAATGCACAGCGGCATATATACTCTCTTATATACCGGATGGAAATCCAATCCAATGGGGCGTATATTTGATTGGCCCAAGGCGGATTTGTTCTGGCCGTTTGTCTTCGTTTGATGGCCCATAATTGAATTCCCAGACACAGAGACAAATCCCAGCTAACTAGTAACATATTTTCAAATCAATTCTAAAGCTCACATGGGGGGTTGTTTTAAAAACACAAATTATTAATATATTTATTTGTTTTTTATACTTTTGATTCATATTTTAAATACCATTTTTTTGATAATTATTTTAATGGTTTAGAAAGTGTTAAAGAAATAGGTGATTTTACATTAGAAAAAATTTTAAATGTAAAAGTATAAAGAAGCTAAATCCTATCTTTTTATAAACCCATTGCTTTATTTTAGGCAAAGAGATGGTCGACTATATCGCAGACTATCTGGAGAACATACGAGAACGTCGTGTTTTTCCGGATGTAAGTCCTGGTTATATGCGTCAGCTACTGCCGGAATCAGCTCCCATCGAAGGGGAACCTTGGCCAAAGATATTCTCGGATGTGGAGCGGATTGTGATGCCCGGAATAACCCACTGGCAATCGCCACATATGCATGCCTACTTTCCGGCCCTCAACTCGATGCCATCTCTGCTGGGTGACATGTTGGCGGATGCCATTAATTGCCTGGGCTTCACCTGGGCCAGTTCACCGGCCTGCACTGAACTGGAGATCATTGTGATGAACTGGTTGGGAAAGATGATCGGCCTGCCAGATGCCTTCCTCCATTTGAGTTCGCAGAGTCAGGGCGGCGGTGTGTTGCAGACGACGGCCAGTGAGGCTACCCTTGTTTGCCTGCTGGCTGGAAGGACTCGGGCAATCCAGCGATTCCATGAACGGCATCCTGGCTATCAGGATGCAGAAATCAATGCCAGGCTGGTGGCCTACTGCTCCGATCAGGCGCACTCTAGTGTAGAGAAGGCAGCGCTAATTGGTGGGTTTTATGTGTTAGTTTGAGTATTTTTAGATTTTCAGTGCAGGGTAATTTAGTCTCATTTTTAGTTAACTTATTTTTAACGAAGTTAGCAAACTGTTGACGCATTTTCGTAACACCGCAATATCATTTGGTCGGCCCACTCGACCAAAGCTTACTTTATTGTTTAAGCCGCTTATGGTTTAAGCCACTCGCCCACTCCTTTTTTCTTTGTCCGCAGGACTCGTGAGGATGCGATACATCGAGGCGGATGAGGACCTGGCGATGCGCGGCAAACTGTTGCGCGAGGCCATCGAGGATGACATTAAGCAGGGCCTGGTCCCCTTCTGGGTGAGTGGCAGTCTGTCAAAATTAATTGGCCCGCCTTTCGCAGCCAGCTGATTCCTGATTCTTGAATGGAGAACTTCAGAATCGCGACTCCCACTGGAGCCAATTAATACATGTCAGCATTTAAGTGTCCTGCGGTGGTTTATTTTTAGGTCTGCGCCACGCTCGGCACCACCGGCAGCTGCAGCTTCGACAACCTGGAGGAGGTGGGTGCTTTTGGGAATAATTATGAAGAAAAATAGAAAAGGCACTTCAGTTTATTGAAGTCAAAAGATATTTAAAATGTTAACAATATGTATTTCTTAGCATAATAAACTAATATTAAAAACTTTCCCCCAGATCGGCGTGGTATGCGCGGAGCACCACCTGTGGCTTCATGTGGATGCGGCGTATGCCGGCAGCGCCTTCATCTGCCCGGAGTTTCGCACCTGGTTGCGCGGCATAGAGCGGGCGGACTCGATTGCCTTCAATCCCTCCAAGTGGCTGATGGTGCATTTTGATGCCACGGCATTGTGGGTGCGCGATAGCACTGCCGTTCACAGGACCTTCAATGTGGAGCCACTGTATCTGCAGCACGAGAATTCCGGGGTGGCAGTGGACTTTATGCACTGGCAGATTCCGCTGAGTCGCCGCTTTCGGGCACTGAAGGTGTGGTTCGTTTTGCGATCTTACGGGATTAAAGGCCTACAACGTCACATACGGGAGGGAGTTCGTCTGGCCCAGAAATTTGAGGCTCTCGTCCTGGCCGATCACCGATTTGAGTTGCCAGCCAAAAGGCATCTGGGATTGGTGGTCTTTCGGATTCGTGGCGATAATGAGATCACCGAGAAGCTGCTGAAGAGGCTAAACCATAGAGGGAATCTTCACTGTATCCCTTCCTCGCTGAAGGGACAGTATGTCATCCGGTTTACCATCACCTCGACGCACACGACCCTTGATGATATCGTCAAGGATTGGATGGAGATCCGACAGGTGGCATCCATTGTGCTGGAGGAGATGAACATCACAATCTCGAACCGCGTCTATCTCAAGGGTAAACGCAAATCTTACCGTCTTCAGTAGCGACTACTTACGTTTTTGTTCCCGTTACCGTTCCTGTTTCCTGTTTTCTGTTTCCGTTCCTGTTTATGTTTTCAGTTTGTTGATGCACCCCGATCCGCCCGAAATCGTTGCTTTAATTAAGCTATGTATTTTGTGTGTATTTTTAGCATTTTTGATTTATAATTTTGTTTATATTTATTTATAAATATATTCGTTTTGATAAGATCGTGAGAGTTGCAAGGGAGGGGAAGCTAAAGAAGATCTAAATGGGATTTCCTTTTGTAACTCAAATAACTCAGAGAAGCAGCTCAAAACTATCTCCAGAGATGTACAGAATGTAGTTTATATATCTTCAGAACACGCTATATCTTTAAAAATTCCAATTTTGTTACCCCGCAGAAACCAAGGAGAAGAACGAAGCCTTCGGCTCGAGTCTGCTGCTCTCGAATTCTCCACTTTCTCCGAAGGTTGTCAACGGTTCCTTTGCTGCAATATTCGATGCGGATGAGTTCCTGGCCAAAACCTATGCTGGAGTTCGGATAGCGGTAAGTCTATAAGGATTACTTAAAAAAAAACAAGGGCTGGACTTACGATCTTCCAGCACCAGGAATCCCCATCAATGCGGCGACGTGTGCGTGGCATCCTCATGTCTGGCAAACAGTTCTCATTGGACTCGCACATGGACGTAGTGGTGCAAACGACTCTGGACGCCGGCAGTGGTGCAACTCGGACTGGTTCTACTAATTCCTATGGTCGCACCACTTCCACAGCCCAGGGAAACACTGAGGTGCAGGTCAGCATACAGGAGGACAACGAGGAGTCGCCGGAAGGTATGAAGCCCAGGTAGTGTAGTCGACCTTTTAGATATATCGCTAGTGCTAGCTTGCTTTTGGGAATCCCCTTGGATAAATCAGACTAGTGATGCCCATTAAGGTGGCATCATTGGTTAAGATCTTGGAAGTTCTTTCTAATCCTTTAAGTTACTTCCTTTCCATTTTTAGAAACTGAATTGCTGTCACTGTGCAGGACCAATAATATACCCACTCCCGACCACGCCCACTCCCTGTCCACTGCCAGTCGCAGTTGCAGCTCCACATCCCATTCCCTAAGCCACTCCTTAACCTACTCCCCCTCCCACTCCCACTCCCCGCCAGCCAACCAATTTCGTCCCATTGCCCTGTGCGGAATGTCCAATCAAGGCCCACAATCGATCCCTATTCCCACACCCCTGCCCATTCGTGATGTCACCGCGTCCGTGGATAGCCTCCTGACCCCCGTCACCACCTGCAACGTTTACCATGGCAGGCGGTTTCTGGAGCCTCTGGAGAGTCTTGCCCAGAGTAGTGCCTCTTTTAGCAGCAGCATCTTTCGCCTGCCCACGCCCCTGACCACGCCCACCAGGGAAACGCCGGAGGATCCGGACTGGCCGGCCAAGACGTTCAGCCAGCTGCTGCTAGAACGCTACTCCTCGCAGTCCCAATCTCTGGGTAACAACTCTTCGACGGAGAGCAGCAGTCTCAGTGGCGGTGCCACGCCTACACCCACGCCCCTGAGCAGTCTCGATGAACTGGTGACTCCACTGCTGTTGTCCTTTGCTTCACCCTCCTCGCAACCGATGCTCTCCGCTCATGGAATTGGGGAGGGGCAGCGGGAACCGAATAGCGACTCAGACGCCACCGTTTGCTCGGCCACCTCATCGATGGAGTCACTCTAGTATTAGGTTTAAAATATCCTTATTTTTAGTTTTTATTTTTATTAAGAATATTAGGTCCAAAATATTTAGAGCTCTCTTTGGATTATTTAAATTTAATCGAAAAAATTCGAATTATTAATTTCAAAGTAAGCTATAAAAGTCCATATTTCTATTATTCTAAGTTTTACTTCTGGTTAACACGCAACTATTACTTATCTAACATCTAACATTGTACATAAGTGTGATTGGGGAGAAGGGCGAATCATCCAACGCTGCTGTGCAATCAATCAATAATGCGATCAATCAATCGTAGTTCCAATCAATGTTGAGCCGTACGTTATACCTATATAATCTGCATGCCCATATCTATATCCTAATGTAAGATAACTGATTAGTAGTCGAATAGTTCTGATCTAGACAAAACCGAAAACCAAACAAATTTCAAAACTTAACAGCTTACATATATCCAAATGTTTAATTAATGTCAGTGTGATTAAAGTTTCAAGGTTCCAGTTAAACACAACCAAAGTTCGAATATTTTTTTATTACTATTTGTTGATTTTCAGGATGCCTAACCACCAGGCGATAGGGCTTCATCGCGGGAGCCTCCTTCGGTGGATTCGTCATAGTCTTCTATGATAATATTATCTAAGTCATACGGGGTCGTCGCATTCCATAACTCATAAACAGTTGAATTAGGTTTCGAGTTCCTCGAGGCGAAACGGTAGACAATCTGAGCATAGAAAGTCAGTAGGTATAGGATGATGAAGTCGTGGAAGAGGATGAGCGAGGCCAGCAGATGATCGTTGAGTCGCATCTCGGCAAAGCGTCCACCATTGATGGTCTGAGCATGGTACATCACGAACTTTGGGAGAATCAAAGATTAGCTAAATGGATCTTAAAGATTAGCTGCTTCCCTTACCAATAGCACAATCACGCTGATGAAGATCTGGAAGATCATGAAGGAGTACGGCATGGCTATCAGAATGTGCATCATGACAAAGAAGATGGTGACGATCAGGAAAATAAAGGCTATCACAAACAGAATTACGACATCCAATGTAAGGTCATGCTAAGGAATATATTTAAAGTAGAATCAGTAGCAAAAGCTAATCGAATCCTTACTGGTATTATGGATCCCAGCATCACAAAAAGGAAGATCAGCAGCATGCAGATGAAAAACCACATCAACATATCCGGCCAAAGAGATCGGGCCACCAGAGCAAAAATACCTATAATCACAAACTCCACCTAGTCGATGGTTTCGAATTGGAAGATCAGGCAGAACCTCTTCGCAGGATACTCACTATCAGCACGGTGATCAACCAGTTAAGGCCAACGATGAAGCGGATCTTCTCGAAGAATATGAACAACGTGACCATTATCATGGCCACGGCAAAGAAAATGACACTAATCCAGTAAAAGTTGGTAAAGGCCATGCCTATGTCAGTGCTGAAACGGCAAGGAAGATTATCTCAGAAGATCTTTAATATCCTCCCAACTCACATTATGCTGACAAGTAGCCATTGCAATAGGGCCAAAACCATCCAGGCTATGGTCACCATATAGACAATGCAGGCAAACTTCCGACGGGCCCGCCGATATGCCCGCATTCTCTGCCGGCGGTCCTCCATGGCTGATGTGGGCGTGGCCCGGGCTGTGTCGGAGCAATGTAGACAGAAACTAACAACAAATAAGATCAAACTTAATGGAAAGGTCAAGGCCACTCTGATATGTAATGGAGATCCGAGGAAGAAACCACCTTATTTTCTTTAAGTTCACATACTGGCTGCTAGGATTATCTATAAGGCATCTATCCAGATATAGAAAACGATGCTCAAGGACTTTTTTTAGCCATTTTTTTTATTTTCAATAAGATTTTCCTAAAACCTAAACATAGTAAAAGGATAAAGTTATTATTTATAGGAACATAGATATCCAAGACTTTCTAGAAATGATTTTTAGATATTTTTTACTTAAATTGTACAAAATGCAAAATGGCAGTTAGTCAGTCACACAAAGTTCTGGATCCGCCATATCGTAATAGTTTTGCACGTCTTTCACATGCCGCCAGGGACCCTTTAGACCACAAAATCATCTGAAAGGTATGCATTATCCATAGATTGCGACTTGTCGCGATCCCACGATGGCGGTCAGAACAGTTGGCATTTATTTTTCTGATAGTTTGATGTTTTCTTCATAAATTTAGATGTGAATCGAATCAAGCCACTCCAGATATAGTCCCAGACCTAGAGCGTCTCTACATATGTTGCGTGAATCTGCCCCACCGAACCGTAGTTTTGTAGTGCCCACATACAGGGTGACTATTATTATGCTCGTCATCGGACATATTCAGGTTACAGTGGCCATGGAGATGTGAGTAGTAAGATCCATTAGACATCGGCAATCAAAATTATATATTTCCTAGCAAGCCATTTAAAGACTTTCTGGCGGAACACTACTACCTCAGTCTGCTTCAGTTCCTCATCAGCTTCCTGTCCATCCAGCTATACGGATTCTTCTACCATATAATCGTTAAGAAACCCATGTGGGTGCGCGTATTGGCGGGCGTCTGGACGGTGAGTGGATGTTCCTTTTTCCTTGTATTTTCACTAAATAGCATATCTCTAGTACGAGGTTAACACCTTGTCGATCATGAAGCCCGCCAAACGAGCCTCCTACATATGCCTCATTATTGGAGTCATCCTGACCATCATCGTGATGATAATTAGTATCATATTCGGAAACAAGTCAGCCAAATATCAAAGAGGACTATTCGTAAGTGAGGAATCCCTTGGGTTCGCCTTCGCTTAAATCTCGTACCTTAGACCAGCCGCCACAAGGTGATCCTTTGGAGTGAAAGGGTATTTGTGCTCACCTGTTTCGGAATCATAGTGTGCGCCGAGATGAAGCGTGTTGCCATAGAGTTTCCCACTCTGCTGACGTACACCTTAATCTCAAATGTGGTAAGTAATAAGGAAATTTAATTTAATGACACACTGACTTTTATAACGATCCAAAGAGTAAGAGCTAATGATCCATGCCTTGCCCTCCACAGTTCGTCTTAATTTTTGCCGCCTCGATACGAAGACCAAACTTCTATCATTGGCATTCGAAAGGGGACTATATACTGATCGGTCAGTTGTATTACCTCAACTTCTTTGCGCTTTATATGGGATACGTGGCGACGATGGCATCTTTTATGGAGCTAATGGAATGGGACGCGGACGTACGGGGAGTTTTTAAAATCCTATTTTATCGAGAAACCGCCAATTGAATGGGAACGCATGCGCGGACTATCGGAACAGCTGGGACGGAATGTTTACGCTAGACGACGAGGTCTCCTCATCCATCGTTGCGACATGGTTACTCAGTGTCTTGATGTCGATGGGGCCTGTTTGTCTGGTTGGCGCGACTCCAGTCGTCTCGATTCGATTCGGTTTGCCGGAAAATCGATAACTAATTTCTTGGCACGCGCAATTTAACCATCGTCGCTGAATGTAAATAAATGGCTTTGTCTGTGAAAAGTTTTCATAAAACTACGGCGGACTTCTATGGACTGGTTAAAGTGTAGGTGGCATGATGTATTTATGACGTATATATAATTTTACATATGCATTACACATTTAAATGGGACCTCCGGTCTCGGCTACACAATACGTAAAAGTGTTACGTTTAACATTAAGTTTTAATAATTACATTCTGGTTAAATATATATGATAGACGAAATTTTAGTAAGTTATCCTTTTTGATTTACTTCATCTCTCCTCTCTCTCTCTCTCTCTGTTTGCGCGAAAAGACCAGAAAGGTTTTCGTCCCATATGTAGTTGTTTGGTCCTTTTCCATTTCGTATCCGTGCGTTTACCTCAATCCCTTGAAGGCCTTTAGTGCGGCGGTGCTTGGGTGACTGCCTTACTGCCACTGCTACTGTCGCTGCTAGATGGCCAAACGGACGCTATGGAGAAATGGAAAGCACATATGTTATTAGTTAGATGGTTGAACTAGGTTTATAGAAAACTCAACAAGTTTTCTCGCAAAAGTTCCTAATCAAACTTTGAAGATACATTTCCTGTTTCAAAGTATATGAAACATAATAATCTCTATCAATCAAATTCTAAACGTATAAAAAGAAATAAGGCAATAGAGTGATTCAACACTATGAAATTTCCATCATCAATAAGGCAGACTTGGCTGTTACCTTCTCATTTTCCATTTCAATTTTCGACTAGACGTGACTTTTACATAAAATTCCTATCAACAAGCTTATAAGGCTTATTTTAAAATAAAACCATCAAATAATTTTGACTTTTCAGGAGGATCAGTTATACCTTTTAGAGATCGATTTGCGTAGAACAATTTTCTTATGTTGCCAACCAAAGATTTCACTATCAATAGTGCTGTTTATACCCTCTCTCTTGTCTATAGTTTTTCACACTTTCAAAAACCAAACTACATCACCATAGCGAAATACTTTACAGTCTACACACGTACACATTGTGGTTCTAATCTTCACACACTAAACGAGTCTAAAGTATAAACTAAACAAATAACATGATAATTAACACTAAGGACAGACACAAGAACACATATTACCTTTGGAGTTTTAGAGTTGCTTAGCTTAAGACGTTTTATAAAATATAATATACAATTTAAAGTGTATATAGTAGGAGCCGGGTATACGTATATAAACGTATGTAATGATTAAATTGAACCTTAACTTTGCTGTATGGTAAACGGAATTGCTTTTTGATTTTTTGTTGGCTTTGCTTTTGTTTTTCTGTGTTTGTGTGAGAGTTAAATTGTATCAATTGAAAAGCGACACTGCAAGAAAAAACAGAAATTCACAAGGGGTTGTCATCAGTACGAGTACGAGTATCTGTTATTGGATTAGTTAGCTGTTTGGGCCACATGGATTAGTTAGCTAGAAAGCCGAAACCACAGGTTGAGCAAGATTAGGGCGTTTGCAGGGCGTCGACTTGCTTGTTATAGATATGACAAATACCAAAACCAAACCAGTCACCTAGCTACACTACTGATCTTTAGCCTGATCGAGAAAGACGAAAAACCGCAACCAAGAAGCCCCAGAAAGCCAAAGAAGAAGCGTTTGAAAAGCGATGGGGAAAACTTACCCAGGACAATGATGAGCAGCACAACGGCTATGACGCCTAGGATGATCATCATTTTCATATTGGCCCACCATTGCTTGCGCTTCAGCTTGCCGGCCTGCTGTTCAAACTGAGATGCTCCCTGCTCCAGCTGATCCGCCCGCTCGCCAAGTTCCGATAGCTTTTGGTCTCGCTCCAGGACCTTCTCTACGTTTACCCTCATAATCCCGACCACCTCATCCACCTTGGCCTGGGTCTGCTGCAGTTTCTTCTGGGCGGCATTGTTGTTGCTGATTTTATGGTCCCCATATTGATTGTAGTGATTGTCATTCGAGTTCGGCGGCGGCGGAAGTATGGGAAAACTGTACAATATTATGTGTGTTTGTGGAGGATGCTTACACTTTTGAAGAGCAGCAGATATATGTCATTTAGCAGCAGAGCACAAAAGCAAGAGTATCAAAGGACATATATCATCTATATATACACTTCAGTCAGTATAAAACGAAATGTCAGATAAGGCATTATCATTATTGCTTGCGATACATGGAGGCCAGTCTTTGTGTGGCTATACAAATTAACTTTAGTGACGGATATACTTTAAACAGCTTCTTTCTTTCTTTTTTTACAAAGATCTGTGAGATATGCTGAGCCTATGTTTGAAATTCCTAAGAAAAAGACTAAAAAGGCTAATCAAACTTCAAAATCTAAAGTTTCGTTAAATTTCATGATTAGTCAACAGTCACTCGCTTAATTCTCTGAAACATTCTTTAGTAATCAGCTTTAAAGTAATACAATAGTTCTGTTTCTCAAGATAATTCAATTTGAATACTTTTAAAATATATTTTTTCCAACTTACAAAAAGCTATGTACGATCATTAAATTAAGATATTCTTAAAGGTCGAAGTCTAACTAAACTATCTCAGCTGAACCAGATAGTTATTAGATAGTTCAATTAAGATCTAACTACTGATGTTGCTACTACATAAATACTATGACATCCAAGTTATTCCAAAGTCTAACAGCTGACCCTAAAGACCCTATTTCCGGTTTTCTTTTTGCTCCATTGAGTAATATGACGTCACTTGGCTAGATTTTCCTTGCTTTTGTGCGCTGAGCCTGCTGATTCGATGGATTTCCACCACTTACTCGTTGTTGTTGGATCCAGAGGGGGAGGGGGCTTCGTTGTTCTCCATTATAAAGTTGCTGGAGGGAAGAAAATGAATCAAAAATAACCCGTTAATCAATGTTTTATTTAACAGAATGTCATATTTACACACACCCAAAAAGTATGGAGATTACAAATCAAAAAAAAATTAGCAAAAAGAAAACAAAACGCAGCACACACGCCTTATCTATTCGGCCTATGAATCACTCAGATTTAGAGAAATGCCATCACCGTCGAAGCGAAAAAATAACTTGTTGCATGCCGGATTGCCAACAAACCCTGTTTACATGACCTGGAAATCATTCCCCAACCACCCACCACCACCACCCGGGCACTCACCTTGACAATGTGCCTGTAGAATACTGCTGTTTATTTAGGGGTTTCCACGGAAAACTTACGGCCTTCCTTTTTAATAGTACAAATTCTTTTTTATAAATATCAGCTTGTGATCAGTGTGACCGTTGAATTGCTAGTGCTGGCACTTAAGTTAATCTTTATTCGATACTATCGATGTTTTTCACAAAAATGCTAAATTAAAATTTTGTATTTTATATACAAGTGTATTTTAATTAATATTTAAGGAAAATAAAACATAGGCAAGCATTAAATTAGTTTAGGTTTTACAATTTTAAATTTAAATCATTGAACTATTTTATTGGATAAAATTAAATGATCGTTTCGAAATATCAGAAAAAAAATACACTAAGCCTTCAATATGCAAAGACTCGAACCGCATAATGAGGATGCCAAGAAATGTAAATATCGTGTAAATTGCGTGTATAATTATTAGACTTATGTAGAAATAGTGTGTATAATTATTAGTCTTATGTAGAAATCTCCTCAATGTAAGCGATTTCGTCACTAGTTTCTTATGACTGTAAAATGTTTTTTTATTTTGATCGTTATGATGAGGGTAGAACCACCGATATATTATTAACGGTTTTTCGAATTGTTTAATTTACAGGTAAAAAACCGTGAAACTATGGAAAATGCATAACTCGGTGGTGTCGAAATTGCTGCTGCGACTGCTGGTGCTGTTCGCCTTGGTAACAGCCGCCTCCATTGTGGTCCTCACAAAATGTGGATTCGATGAACTGACGGATAAGGAAACCCAGCCCAATAATCCCAGCGAATCCAGTGGATTTAGCTACGCCTTAAGTGAAAGGGATGCTGAGATAGAGCGGCTAAAACAGGAAGTCTTGACTCTACGAGCTCAAATTATATTTCTGCAGAATAATCGAAGTTCAGGAAAGCAATCCAATGGTAGTCTTCAGTTGCAAGAGACCACAGTGGGTCCACCAACTGCTCCACTGGGTCACCATTACGATTGTAGTAGCTATATCCGGAAGCAAGTGGGAGCCGCAGAAATTCTCCATGGGCTGCCGCTGAATAATGAGTACGAGCTGATACCCTACAATCACTTCACCTTCACCAGGGTGTATCCCATTGATTTGGGACTGGGTAAGCGGGTGGTGGAGAAACCCATAGGTTATCGAAGACGTGATCTCATCGAGTCGGTAAACAAAGCTTTGGAAAGCCTCAATCGAAACCATTCAGCCAGGATACGAGCAAAGGGATCTGGTTCTGCCGGAGGTTACCCCTCGGATGTGATCAAGTACACCCTGGATGATTTTATCGAGGGTATATATCGCAATGAACCCACCACAGGCACTCAGTATGAGCTGTATTTCCAAAGTGTAAAGCACCAGGCGAGTCCTGTAAGGAGAGCCCTGGTCATGCGACCCTTTGCTCCCCTCCAAACTGTCCAACTGTCGGAGTTATCCTTTAATGTGGATAATGGTAGTTCCCAGCCAAGTCACAGTCCACCTGTGATTCATGTGATACTACCCTTGGCTGGACGTCTGCATAGCTTTCGCAGTTTCCTACAGATGTTCGCCAAACTCGAGGATCAGCGATTGGAGCTCATAGTGGTATACTTTGGAACCAGTGGATTGGCGCAGGCTAAGAGGCTGGCTGGAAGATCTCAAAGGACACAGTTTCTGGCACTCAATGAGACTTTTAGCAGGGGTAGGTGGTTCTAGTTCTAATTAATTTTAGTTAATCATTGATATGTTGTATTTAGCCAAAGCTTTAAGACTGGGAGCGGAGCACATCCAACCTGCAGGCGAGGACGTTCTGCTCTTCATGTGCGATGTAGACATAATGTTCACTACAAGATTTCTGGAGCGTTGCCGTTGGAATGCTGCTCCAGGAAAGAAGGTAAAAGGATCTACTATTAGAGATACAAAAGTAACAATTTAAAGAAATAAAAAACCCCCTTAAAAAGGTCTACTACCCAGTGGTATTCAGCCTGTATAATCCCCATGTGGTATACTCGCTGCAGGGCAAACCCTTGCCCGCTGAAGAGGAGCAGCTGGTGATCTCTAGGGATACTGGTTTCTGGCGGGACTTTGGCTATGGCATGACTTGCCAGTACCGCTCGAACTTCCTGCAGGTGCGGGGTTTTGACGAGGAGGAGATCATAGGCTGGGGCGGTGAGGATGTGATGCTATACCGAAAGTATGTTCGCTCGAAGATTAAGATCATCAGAGCCACAGATCCGGGAATCTTCCATAGATGGCACACAAAGGTATTACTCTACATTTTTGTCATATCTATGATTTAATAAAATACTTTTTTATCTAACAGATATGTTCTAGTTCGTTGACTGCCGATCAGTACCGCGCTTGCATTAGATCGAGGGCTTTGAACGAGGCCTCTCATGCTCAACTTGGATTCCTGGCTTTCCGGGATGATATAGCCGCTGCTAGTGCTGCCAAAATGCTATCGTGATACTCGACTATACTTGATGTATCTCTAATCGCTTGGCTTTTCTATCTTAAGAAGGAATTTCAAGTGTGTGTGAAAAGGATTGCAGTGATATAGTTTAAATATTAAGGAGTTACTACTGTACTATGTTTATTTCTTAAATTCATAGTTCTGTCATCAACCCATTGGATACAAATTTTAGTTCATTTCATTTGATAAAACTTCGATCAGTAAAGTATTACTTATTAATAGGTAAAAATGCATGGTTTTAGATGGATAACAAACATATTTGTGATATTTACTTCTTATTTAACTTTTCTAATCTAAGTTAGATAAAATTCTTTTAAAACCAGCTTTTAGTTAGCCCTCTTAAGTTAATCATAACTTAACCATTACGTGCACTGCCATTATTTCACACATGCTAACACTCATACTTGTAGGCTATGAAGTATGTACAACTTGAGACAATAACTCGTATTTAGCAGAATCGTTGAATTAGCTTAATTGTTGATCTTGTTGCGTCCTCGAAAGAGACACACTCTACACACACTCTAAACACACCCACACACACACATCACAAATTGTTCTTCCATGAAGCAAACTAGATGCAATCTCCAAAGCCCAAGAAAAAGATATACATACATATATATATTTACGAGTACCATATCGAATCTGTATCTCAAACTGAGCCTAACAAATCTGCCAGACTGTTGCGCGCTTTGTAAAAAACTAAATTAAATCGTTTAATTAAACTTGTCGCCTGGTTGTTGTTTTTTTTATGTTGGTCTATGCTTTTTGATGGACGATGCCAACGACCTTTGCCTGGGGTTCACTGAGCATGCATACCAAGAAGTTGATCCATGGCGCCACCTGCTAGATCTCGACTATATCCCCACACCATGACGTGGTGTATCTCTTTGGCAAGGTAATTTGTCATGCTTTGATAGCGGAAATCCTTTTACATTTACCTGATTTTGGAGATGATCCGCTGTTGGATGTTCAACTTCTAACTAGTTATGTTGTTTCTAGAACTGATTATGTTGGAATATTTACTTCTAAATTATTTAAAGTCAATTTAACAGCTTAAATAGGTACATATTTAGCTTAAATGCTTGAAAAATGGAACGAATTTAACAAGCAGGACATTAAAAAGCATATTAAATTCATAAAGCAGAAAGAAGATTCTGAAAAAATATGCCTTTAATTTACAGAAATCCAAACTAAGATCGTTATTGATGAATAAACGCAAAGGAAAGGAAAGTTAAAGTAGAATTTGTAGAATATTTTCTCCCCTTATCTTGAATTTTCCTCAAAGAGTATTTAAAGTCTTTGATAGACCCCGAAGAAAATTTCTTCATTTGGGACGTCTTCAGGTGGAAAGTCTTTTCATGGTCACGGTCGTGGATTATGCAAGCGCTGAAAAGGCGTTTTGTTTCATTTTAAAGTGGAAATGCTAGTCTCATGCTGAGTATAAGACTCAACACCCTGTGAATCACTACCCAAGAAGTCAAAATAATCTGCGATAATTTCACAGGAGTGTTCTCTGAGGCATTACGCAACAGACGCATAATTAGCCCGTTTCTCGATGAGACAATCAAGGCGTTTTTCGGGCACATCCTCCCTGTCATTCTCCGAAAGCCAAACTGACCATGAAACGAGAGCCACAGCCCGCCCCAAGGTGTCGGAGCAGGCGAAGTGACAAATCGGCGACCCATCCCAACACACAAAAAAAGACTCAGCCAGGTGCCAACACCTTAGCCACGAATGCCAGCGAACCACAGCCATCAGCAGCAACCACTACCAAAAGCCCAAAAAAACCACCTCTAATAGCCACGATGATCCGGGGGCCTGGGATCGCGGTTCAGTGCTCTCGGCTCTGGGCAGAACCCAAGCTCGGGTTGGAGTTCAAATAAATACGGAGCCATTCGTTCCGGCCAGATCATTCGCGGTCTGACGCCAGTTCGAGAAGCTTTGGCTCGTTGTGATACAAGTGTGAAAAGGATATCTTCGGTTTAAACCCGCTCAAAATTGGAAAAGGCACAACGTGTGCCAGGTGCTAAATTTGTGATTGATTTGGTGGAAGCAAGTGAAGTGGGGTCACCATGCGTGCTATTATGTTGGTGAGTTCGGAGGTCATGGAGTTTTGCACAAGAAATGGGAAATGTACTTAAATTAATTATTTTAAAAATATTAAAAAATATTTGTGGTTAAATGTATAAATATATAAAAAATATGTAATATTATATGTAAAAATATTTCTATAACTTTCGTACTTAAAGAAACTAAAAAGGAGCATTAACGGCAAAATTCTTTAAGTCAAACTTTTATAGGATTTCTCATTAAGATAAAACTGGACTATGCTTCAGAACGATTTCTCTGGTTATTCCAGTTTTTCATAAATCACTAATAATTTTTAAAGTATTCATGAAGAATCTAAAAAAGTTTACTTAGTTTATTTAAATACGAAGGATCTTTTATGGATTTTATTTTAAATAATTTCCCATTTTATAAGCCAAAGACGGAATTTTTAAAATACATGAAAAGTAATTTCCCTCACTATAAGATAATTTCCCATTAAATAACTATTAAATTTGTTTAACATAGTTTACATTTAACACTTAAATTCACATATTTAACATTTAATTAAACATAACATTTTCATATTGATCGCTACAATGAACCAAATCTAAAGAATAACACCCTTGGTAGTTTTCAAATCCCTGAGCGTGCACCATATTTCATTTCTGTTTCATAACAATAAACTACCCTCAGATCTTTTAAATACTGTTTTGAAGAAGGGAACATAAATCAGTTTTAGACAATTGTTGTTTTCTTTTCAGAAAAGATTTCTTGTTCTCCACATAGTAAATGTCGAGCAAGGGAATTCCGTCTTGAAAGCACTGACATCCTCCCTTTCAACCAAACTTTGTTTACTCGTGGAATTTCTCTAACAAAACTGACCCCGAAATCTTGTTATATAACATTTGTAGAACACATTATGCAACCACCGAAATATTACCATTATGTTATGTAAATTTTCTGCTTATGGAAAAACTAAAAATCTAATAGAGCCTCCATTCATAGATTTTTCGATGCCAACGACCGGCAATTTGCCACATTCATATACAGAATTAACTTTCGGTACTCGCTCGAAATATAATTATTCTAATGAAGTTGGCCAGAGTCAGTGACAAGTCACGTTGATCCGATCCAATCCCATTCCACGCCAAAGCCAACACCACCATCGGCCTGACCGGAAGTTGTTCCTGATGCTTGGCTAACAAAGCGTGGCGGCCAGCTAGCAAAATATTTTCCATGATTAACTCTGCTCCGCGCTGGCTATTCTCTGGCTTTAACATATGCCACTAGAGTTATGATTCCAATTCCAATTCCGATGCCAAAAAACTCTGATTCATACAGCCATGAGTTGGGCCTGGAAATGATGTCAATGCTATGTGGCCAACCCCAAAAGTACTTGCGTGGTGCGATCACTTCTAGCCATGCCTGGCCTAAAAACCATTGCATAATCACTTTTAGTGGGAGCTGATCATATTTCACGCCGACTGGCCACACGGTGCTCTGTGTCGTCCATTTTACCGGTGGTGTTCATCTGTGGGCGGAGGGTGCCTTTGGCTTTTGGCTTTGTGCCTCACTCCTCAATTAAGCTCGGAGGCTGTTTCATAGCAGCTTTGGAGAATTTTGGCCCAGTTGGCAGCTGAACCGTGAGATATGTATTGGCTGGTTGATTCCCCGGCTCAGGCGATTGCGATAGGCCAGGCACTCAGCGGCAATTAAAGCCAATCAACTAATGGCCATCATGCTCCCGATCGCTTTTGTACTATTTGAGGTAAGGGTGATATTTGTTTAATTGAGTGCTTTGAAGGATCTTATCGGTGGCTTTAGAAGTAGAGCAGAGAAACTATTAGAACTTAGGCCTTATTTTATGTTTATAATTATACATTAGTCAATACTATAATATATATTCGAATTTGTTTTGTACTTTTTATAACCGCAAATTTTCTTATGACTAACTTTTTGATAAATCCATAAAGTAGAAATGCATCACAAATATTATTGGTCATATATTTAAGGGTTTTTATGAATAAACATTGTTTTTTAAATGCTTATATTACTTAAAAAAAGTATAAACATTAAATCACAACCACTTACATCATTCCTAGGATCATAGGAAAGACATAACTATGATATGTCTTGGAAACTCACGCAGCACTTTAAGTACATAAGCCATAATCCATAAACATTATTAAAAAATATCCCTAAAAATATATTTAATTTACCTAAAAACATACTTATTTACTCCTTTCATAGCTATCCTGCCTGACCCTGCTAGTCTGTGTCCAGGCAGCAGTGACAGGACCTGAGGCTCGTTCCAGTGTGGACTCCAAGGATCAACAGCTAGCCACTGCAAGTGTGGGAATCCTTGACTCCGTGCTGCGAGGCAAGAGTCGTCAGTCGCGTTGCGTGAGATGCTACGAGGATAGGGATAGGGATCGGTACTACAGTGGATACTCCAGTCGAACGGGCGATGATATGCGCGGCAGTGCCTGGTATTACTCCGGCTATGATGACCGCAGCAGCAGCAGGGATAGGGACTACGACAGGTACTACGATCGATCTCGTTACTATGAGGATCGCTATTCACCAAGGACTTATGATCGTTACGAGGGACGTGGCTATGATGATTACAGAAGGGGATCTGGCTATGGAGGATCTTATGATAGGGAAAGAGGATATGGATATGACAACAGGGATCGGTACTACGGAGGTGATCGGTATAGCGAGGGGTCTTCCAGAGGTATGTTTAGATAGAATTTTTTAAGAGTTTATAACTAACAAGATATTCCAATTTTAAATAAAAATCCTTTATCTTTTTCAGACCGATACTACGATCGCTCGAGGTCCGGCGGCTATGATCGCTACGATCCGTACGATCGCTACTACTCCAGGTATGATTTTCGCAACTATCGTCCTTGGGATGAAACCTACAGGTATCGTCGCCCTCTTTTGTATATATCAATGTATATCCATGTTGTCCGCTATCCCTATATCTCTGGCTTTCTATCTCTGAGTTCTTGTTTTTACTTTCTACTTTCATACAACAACAACAACACGCAAACAACAATAACCACACCAACATCATGTACAACAACAACAACAAAATGAACAATACACCACACCACAACAACACTGCGGATGTTCCACGGCTGGCCATAACAATCTAAAATACAAATTCCGTAATGCACTTCAAAAATCTGCAAACTGCACTAACTATTTTCTGCCCGAAAAATAAATCCCGCATCCGCCCCGTTGACTCCCACTCGACTACCGCTTCCGCTTCCGTTTGGCCCAACAACTTCGCTTGGATTAGGGGTCAATCCGGTTTCGATAACTCCGGACGTGGCTATTACTTTGCCGGCGATGATGATGACAGCGATAGGAATCGAGGATATGGCTATTCCTACTCGCGACCCTCCTCCTCTTCGATGAGTTCACCCTGCGGCCGCATCTCCGGTAATTGTCCTTATGCCGGCGGCTCCAAGGTCACCTCCCCGGCCATTGGCAGTGATAGTTCCCGTGTAGGTGGCCATACCAATGTAATGGGATCGGATGGTGGTCCGGGCAGTTGGACATATCTGGGAGATCAGGATAAGGTCGGAGGCAGTAGTGGGAGCAGTAGTGGCTCTGGAGGGAGCAGCAGCAGCAGCAGTAGCAGCAACAGCGGCTCAAGCGGCAGCGGTGGCAGTCGGGATCGGGAACGGGAACGGGACAGGGAGCGGGATGCACAGAGGTAAGTTGCAGTGGGTGCTGCCCCCTGCAACAGCAACATCAGTGCATTCAGAGAAATAAAAGAGCCTTGAATTTGAGAAAAGTTTTGGTAAAAAGTAAAGTAAACATTCCAAAATTGAAGGCTATTTCTTTCCCACTGAGTGCACCCACAGTTACTTTCGGCACGGAATCGATTCCGGATTCGGTCACGGCATTAAGATAGGCTTGCCCTCTTGTCGCCCCTTATAGCTCTTCCTATGGTAGCCGACCACGTCCTCTAGGCGTTAGCTATCTGCTCGAACGGGACGCGGACACTCCATCGGATGGAACAGGAAATACGGCGAATGCCGCCGCAAATGGTGGAAGTATTGGTGGTGGTGGTGGTGCCGGTGGTCAGAGCATGCCCATCCCAGCTGCCCAGACAGCCGCCGAGGGAAGTTCCGGCACAGCTGAGCAGCAGTAACTGGAAAAGGGTACACAGATCCAAATCCAAATCCAGGAACAGATACAGTGCAGCGGCAGCGGGAGAGATGACGCCGACCAGTGGGCGTAGCAGGGCTTAGTGTAACCTACCGTCCGTATTTATGTGTAATTCGTAAGCTAAGTCTCCAAAGAAACTATTTATGTGTGGCACAGCTTTGCTCAAATAAACAATTTTCAAAGATCCTCAAGAAGTTTTCTCTCCTTTTTTTTAGGATAATAAAAACAAAGAATATTTTTTATTTGGAAGTACAGTTCACTTTATTTTTCAAGTTTTAAATGCTTAACTAAGAGGTAATACATTTCCTTTTATTATTTTAATAAACTATCTTCCTGAGAGACCCAGAGCCTGATTAAGAAACCAAAGCAAATCAAATTTATAAAAATAATAAACTTATAATAGTGATATAGTAGAAAAAAATAACTAAAAAATATAATATTTAAATATTTAAAAACAAAGGATAAAAAAAAAAAAAAAAACAAAATTAAAATAAAAAATAATATTATATATTAAAAAAAAAACTAAACAAATAAAAAGTTTTTAAATTAAAAACCAATCCAATGATAAACTTACAAATGGAAAAACGAATAAATGGACCAAAAAAATATAATCAAAAATAATAAAAATGGATAACCGATTTAAAAATGAAATTATAAGAAAAAATCTTAGTAAAATAATAATCAAATAATGATAGAGCAAAATTTTAAAACTACTTAATATTGAATAAAATATAAAAAGTTTGAAATAAAACCAAGTAAAAAAACATACAAAAACTTATTTTTACAAAGTAACAAATATAATAAATTAAAAAAAAAAAAAAATAATAATAATAATTAAAAAATAAAACATTTATAAACAATAAAAATAAGGAAAACAATAAATATTTTAAAATGGCATAATAAAATATGTATATACTAAAGAGAATGTTTTAGAAATAAATAACACAATAAAACAATAAAACAATACAAAATAAAATAAGGAAAAAAGAAAACTAAATGATCTAGTAAATATAAAATGGATACTAAACATAAATAAACTAGTTAAAAATAATCTAAAATTAGCAAAAAATATATGAAAACGAAATAAAATATAAATAAATTAAATTCAAATGAAAATAATAAGTACCAAAATTGAGGTATAGAAAATATGTAATTTATTAAAGTAAAAAAATTTTTAAAGATTTGATATAAAAAATAGGAAATGCTTTTTAAAAATCAAGAAAATAACTTAATTCGTTAAAAAACTAAAGAAAAATACAGAACAATAAATTCTTTAAAAACTATTAACACACAAATTAAAAAAACTGAGTTTGCAAAAAGAACATATTTAAAAATCAAAATTTATTACAATTAAAAAAAAATTGCAAAATTATTAAAATAGGTTAAAACCGAATAAAATAAATACGAATTCTTTTATACTTGAAACCGAAATTATTCTAAAAATAATATTGAAATCAAAATTTTATAATAAAGATAAATAGTTTTCTGTCGATTTGTCAAATAATTAAAAAAAATGCATAATTAAACAAATAGTTAAATAAAAACCTTTTAAGATTTTATACAAAAGAAATTAAGTGAAAATAATTTTATTAAATTATTAAGGTTTTAAAAACATATTAATAAGCATAAATTTAATTGAAATTATATATACATAAATAAAATAAAAAAGTAAAAATAATAAAAGTAAGACACTTACCAAATCCAAAATTTGTAACCGAAAAAATCACAAAACGAGAATAATATAAAACCGAAAAATAATCAGTAAAACAAAAAAGAAATTAAGAAGTTTTTTAAAATAATAATTTGGAACATGTGAAGAAATTTAAATAAAATGATGAAAATATTAAGAAAATAAAGGCACAGCTCGGGGAACCTCATGTAATAAACAATTATTTTGCAACAAAAACACGCTTGCTATTGGCAATATTCATTGAGAAAACTTTCCTAATACTTCTTTTTCTTTGCAATAGAATTATTCTTAAATGGAAACCTTTATCAAGGATATTGTTAGACCAACAAATTTATAGCTTTCAAATTGGTTTAACAAAAAACATTAACAAAAATTAAAAAAAAAATAGAAAACTAAAAAGGCACAAATAAATTTTTAACTAAAGTTGCTCTTTAAATCTGAAGAACTTATGTGTAAACGATTTCGGAAGATTTGTTCTTTTGTTGGTTGTGAGTTTTTGATCATGATGAATCGCCTTTGAAAATCCAATCCTTGTTTTTGGATATAACTTTTTTGGTAGGGCAGATTTTAGTTAACATTTTACAGGGTTTATAGCTGCTGTTTTAGAAATATTCCCATCGAATTTCTGTTCCTATTTGGATCTAAACATTTTCCAGATCCTTGTTTTCTATATATGAGTGTGTGTATCTGGTGAGTATGGAGTTAATGATTTCAACTTGTTGATTGTAGCTTCAGCTCTGATATGCTCTTTTCTGGTCGAATTTTTTTTTGATAATTTCTTGGCAATTTTTTATCTGAAATTTGTTTTTAAATCAATATTTATAAGGTATTTATTGGGTGTAACTAGCTTCTTCTTCTTTGGATTAATAGAACCGCCAGTTTTAACACCAAATTTCTGTTTTTTTCAAGTTTTGCCAAATACAAATATTTGTTATATTTTTTCAGAAATGCCGGAAGTACTATTGATTTTTTCGTTGACTCAGTTCTTTTTGAGCAGGAACTTGTTGAGTCTAAGCGTTATATTTCCTGGTGCTATTATCATAATATTTTTTTAACCGGAAGTATACTTTAAATACGTTTAGGCGATAAACTGCTAAACTATTGTTGTCTGCTTGAATTGTTGTTTATTTTCGTATTCCTGTGAAAGGAAAACAAGCTGTTGTAGTTTCTGTTACAGAGACTTTCACTGGCTTAATACTTACAGATTTCCTTAGAGTGTTTCAACTGTTTGAAGATATGTTTAAATTGTTATTAATTAACCACTATTGACAACTTTCAATTAACAGCTAAGGCCGCCACACCAAAACGGTGGCGGCTCAGCGATCTTGAAGACCGATGTGTTAACTCGTTGGAACTCTGCACTGAACTGTGCTGTAATGCCGATCGGATCGGTCTTTTATACTGTGCGGAAAATCCACCACCAGCGTTAACTGCTTGGAAATACTTTCGCATGACGCAGGCGTGCCACAGAGGGGGAAATGGAAAAATAATGGAAGGGGTTACTACTCTCGGATACTGGGAACCAAGAACCGGGTGCGTGCCGTTGGGCCATAACAATAATAAAAACCGAGGGTTAGACTCAAGGAATGAATTGAATTGAAAATGTTTATTTCATTTTTATGCTGGTATTTCAGCAGTGTCCCCGAGATCGGTTTGGGACTCCGATTGCCATGCTTGGTGGAGGGTTACCGGGGGTTAAGTCACCCCCAGATCTTGAACGACTTTGCTTTTGTGGGAACCGAAGTGATCTACTAGGAGGGCTACCAGTTGAGTGCATAGTAATTAGTCAAGATTTCTCTCGTACGCTTTCTCACGCTCCTGGGGGTTTCTTTTGGTCCTGTTTATGGCGAAAATCTCCCCGTGAAAGGTGTTCACCCAGTTGTTTTCTCAAGAAACTGATAACAAAGCACTTGGATTTGGATTTGAAAATGGGGTAGGGGTATCTACATTGGGGTGGTTTTTTTTATGAACCAGCTCCTGTGTCATTTTGCTAGCTACTGGTAGCTCGGTTATGCTGGTTGCATTTAATTTCATTTAGGACTCTTGTGGGATCATCAATTGGACATGATTTGACTACTGGCAGTAGGATGCGGGTTGAGGATGAGCTAAAGGTGCAGCTGCAATGAGGGTCCTTCGAAAAGGATGGGTGGGAGATTTTTAAGTACTTAATTGGTTTAAGTATCAATTTTGGGGTATACGCTTTCTGCCGTTCTGAAGATATTTTATTGACTCTGAAAGATGTTTAAGAATACCCTTAACAGAAATGCACTTCAGGATAAACTCTTATTATTTCTAGCTTATAATTCCATAACTAACTTAAAGCAGATTACAATTTCCTTCCAAAAGTTGGTCAAGACATCAAACTTCTATTCTATTTTTAAACCCTACAAAGTGATGACCAATACACTAACTAAAACAAATACTTACTTAGACTAATTGTCTTGTTTGATTTCCTCTAGACACTCTTATCTACAAATATGCTTAGTAAAAGAGAAGTAGACTGTTTATTTACCTCCATAAAACTCTCCAAAAAACTACGCGAGAGCATTTTCTACCTGAGCGGCACATATATGTAGGTGCGTATCAATTTCGGCGATAGCAATTCTTATCAATGAAACTGAGCTGATAAAAACTGGGGAATTGGTATTCGGCAGGCGAGTGAACTATCTTCAGTTTAGTTTCACTTCGCTTCGTTTAGAGTTGGGTGTCCGTGATTTTCCGGCATTTTTGGAGGAAAATGCGTCGAATTTCCTTCTGGCAGCGTCCAAGGGTGACGCATTTCTGCTTTTTGGTCTTTTTAGTGTATGTTTTCCTTCTCGTCGGTTATAAATTCCTACAAGTGAGTGTGACAAATTGGCTGCATTCTATTAGCTACAAATAGGCTCTGTTAAAAACACAACCGGACCTCCTTTAAGTACTTAATGGTTTGAATAATTATTAATATTTCGCTTTGGCTAGCATGAAAATGAAAGAAATGCCTTGGCAAATGATTTGTTTCTATGAGAAAATGCTGTGAAGGAAAAACAAAATATAAATATATATCTTATATAGTTGAATGGACAGTGCGACGAGTGTTGGGTTTTAGGGGCAATAAAATTATTATCTTTATATGGTTGACTCTTCAACTTTCTGTTAACATTTGAAACTATAACCAGAAGACTACAACTTTACGTAGTCTTTAAAGAATAAAGTCATAAACTTTGATTAAATTAGTTTCTAAAAACATGCTTAAAAGCAAGAAACCATCTTCGGAATCTATTAAGATTTTAGTAATAAACCTTAATAGATCGTTTTTATCCCACTGTGCCAAAATAATATTAACCGAAGCATCAAGTGGTCAACGCCTTCGTTCACTTTCGATTCCCCATGCCCAAGACGAATGTATTAAATGCGGCAATTATACATAAACATGTGTCCGAATAAAAGAAAAGCGCGTCTATGTGTGCCGGCGCTGGCATGTGGCTATGTATAATTGATATATTTTCATTCTCAATAATAAAAGTGGAGGATGTTGGCCGTATTAACTTAAAAATAGCATGGAAAAGCGACGCTGACTCACTCGAAGCTGGCAGACATGGACATGGACACTCCAATCGGGAGACAAGCGTACAATTTATTAAGTCCCCCGTTCACGACCATTCACCATCTACAATCCTAGCAAGCACCCACCACCCACTTTTGGGGGCATGGAGTACTTTTACAAGGCCCACAAAGCTCTGCCAACTGCGCAGCTGCTGCGCTGCCGCCGAGTGCCGCCATTTGATGACAGCGCTTGTGGACTGAGGCGCCAGTTTGATGCGAGGCGTGCGTTGATTAACTTGTTGCATACGCGTCCTGGAGAAAAGCGGGAAAGTTCGCTATTTTCCCCACCTCCTCGTTAGTGCACGGCGGGAAAATTTGTAGAAATGCAAAAAAATCGTTGGAAAAGGGGGTTTAAACTGTGATATATCGTCCTAGACGAAGGAATATTTAGTGAAAAACCAAACAAAATCTATTAAAAAGGAATAAAATAGAAATAATGTTTTGAAAATTTCATGCCATCGAATATTAAACAAACTTACTTTAAAGGTCGTGAAGATAAATGACAGAAGTACAAGATTATTTTAAGTTAAATACCTTTAAATATCAAAAACAAGTTATTCTTAACTCAAGTTAGAAGGTTTTCCTCCCAATAGTAAACTATAAAAACGAGCATAAACAATAGACACAGAGATATATTTAATTTTTTATTAGCATTCTTTTAGTCTTCCTTATTATAAAAACCATATTTTATAATAAATTTAGCAAACGCCTTTGATATTGTTATTTTTGCACATCAAAAGCGATATACACAATTTAGAGATCTATTTTAAATGAGAGATGTTTTAGGTTGGACTGCTGGGATTAAAACAACATTATTTATCGCATTATCAGGCCAAGTTATACACATTTTCTGGCAGTGTGTGTGAGCCATAATTATTTGCGTATTGTGGGGCGCCAAGTGAACTTGTGGCTTGGTTCGGTCAGTGGTTGAGAGGGAGAAGTAGAAGGTGGTGAGGTGGTAGTAGCCAAAGAATGCCGAGGACGGGCGGCGACGTTGGCAGTCGATGGTGATGACACTGAAGGGACGCCCCCACAGAAAAGCAGCAGCAACAACCACACTCGTGCTATCGCTAATCGATGGCCGGCCATCAAGAGCGCTAAGCAAATAAGCAACAGGAGCCGCTTGGGTTGACTGGAGACAGAGACGGAGACCCCAAGTCCGAGAATCAGAAGACCCGACCACGCCAAAGACATCGGCTTCTCGGTCGCCGTCAACTACAACGCCGACGACGACGGCCAGCTAGAAAATAAATAAACAGTTTTAGTTGCCGTCGGCGATTCCTGTGGAGCGGTGTCCCGAGCGCTGTTTCTCTTCCACCCACTCGAGAAATGCTGGCCACCCAGGAGAACCGCTTCCAGCATGTGTACTTCGCGCTATCTGCCCTGGTGGCCAGCGCTATGCTCGTCCTGGTCTACATCTCCATGCGCTCGAGCCTTGTGAGTGTGGCGGATTACCTTTCGTCCATCTTTCAGCGATCTTTTTACTCATCCTTTTCGTGAACTCTCTACTTGTAGAACGAGCGACTGCGAGAGGACCTGGCTAAAGCGCAGCGCCAGATGATCTTCGAGAGACCCAATCCACATTGGGACTACAGCAACAGTTGGCGCAGGATAGGGAATACCTCGCTTAGACATGAAATATACTCGGCGTACTTCGATGCCAGGACGGATATTATAGGTGAGATTAGTTTAAGGGGGCGAGGAAAGTTTAGAATATTTCATGAGATATAGCTGGGCACTTCTTGACACGCCACTGTATGCTTTTTATTATAAAGGGGTCAAGTTTGGTGACCTAATTCTTCAGAGATTAAAGTTCAATTTCATTACTTCCAATAGCAAACGTCCGTCTGGATGAAGAGCAGATGACCATAGGATCGCTGCGTGTCTTCGCAATTTTGCCAGAGCGTCTGCGCGACTCCTCTGTGAACTGCATTGTGCGTTTCTCGGACTTCACTAGCCAAGAGATTGTGGCTGAGGAGGCGGGGGCCATGCATGATGTCCATAACAATACCTTTGCAGCGTGGAGCGTCATGTGTCCGCTGCACGCCACCCGCCGTGCTCCCATGCGGCTTCCTCAGGCGGTGGCCTTGGCTTATGCCTCCAACCGACTGAGTCATCTAAGTCCCACCTTTGTTCAGATCAGGTGAGTTTATCATACTTTTCAGTAGGAGGATATATTTAAAAGTCCTTTTCCCCAGTTATCCCCGCAATATGACAAACCTGTTCGGTCGATCCCGTCCCACGATCTCCGTGTGCGTGGGACCTTTGCAGGAGAACTACTCAAATGTCCTCCGACTGGTGGAATTCGTAGAGATGTACCGCCTGCAAGGCGCCACTCATTTCTACTTCTATTATGTGGAGGCCAGTGAGGACGTGCGTCGTGTTCTGGAGCACTACCAAAGGATTGGTTTGGCCGATGTCTTCGAGTGGAATGTCCAAGCACATCTACAGGATCTACATTATGCCGGAATAGTCGCGCAATTCAACGATTGTGTGTACCGGGCAAATGTGGTGGACAACTTCCGGTATGCTGCTGTAGTGGATCTGGACGAGGTGATGATGCCGCTGAAGCACAACACTCTAGCAGATTATCTACGTCAGTGCGACGAGGGCCGCACGGCGGGCTTCGTCTTTCGCAACGTCTTCTTCCACCGGCGGGACAGTAACGACACCTTCAATGCCCCCAGCCATGTCCTAAATAGGTTACTCTATACTCAATCTAAAGTGCGGAGAACTCTGGAGGTGTTACCTGCTTATATTAGGAGTAAGGTGGTGGTGAACGCCAGGGCCATTGTGGAGATGGGCAACCACCAGGTTTATCGATCGGCACCCGGCTACGCCGATCATGTAGTGCATCCTACAGTGGGATTACTGTTTCACTATCGGGACAAGTGCATCAACTGCAAGATGGTGCTAATCGTGGACTATACGGCAAGGAGATTTGGTTCCCTGCTTTTCGATCGAGTAGACAACACGTGCCTCGAGGTTTTTCTAAACCGCGGCGTCTGCGATCTGGTGTAGCCTCTGATCTGTGGTTCGACAAACGCCCCCTAAAAAAACCAGAGATCTCTCGGGTCAGTTGTTTTCGTGGCCTCAGTCCGTCGACATGCTGAAATTCTGCTCGCTGCGTAGAAGCAAGGAGCCACCGATTCCGGCACCAAAAGTGGCCAAGAGTGTACGACAAATTAGAATAAGTCCTAGCTGTTCCCATCTAAGTGTTATGTCGTAATAAATCGTGCTTTAAGTGATTTGTGATGTAATCCAAAGTGTTTGGTTTCCATTTTTATCCCCATAACATCCCACCCCAAAACCATTAGTCATCTATGCGCCTGAAGGATGTCCCGCTGAACGACGCCCAACTGCTCCAAGTGCTCCAGGCTCAGCGGGAGCGTGGTCCTTTGATTTTGGCCCTGAGCAGGTGAGCAGTTCGGTAGGTTCTCTACTCGAAGGTGAGAATTCTCTCCCCCTTTTCCACTTTCAGTACTGGGAGTCAAGGGAAAACTTGCCGGAAGTGCGGAACCCCCTACGAAAGCCGTCAGGTGGTCGAAAATGGAACAACAGGTAAGCCCTAGGGGGTGTGTTTTATTACATGCAGTACTCCACTCCCATAGTCAACCGCATCCTGATTGCCTTTACTAACTAAAACTGTGTAACATAATTAAATTAGTACGGCACTATCGCTAAATTACTAAATTGTTTTAGTATAGTTCAGCTCATAAACAACTATTCAGAAACATTTCCTCCCCTAATTGCTAATACCATAGAAATCGGGTCAGCCATTCAAATTCTAATTCATGACAAATATCCCCTTGGGACATTTTATCACAGCCAAGCAATCACACACTTTTAGAAACCAAAATAGAGGCTGTATATGGAAATTTTGAAGGGCACCCCTGAGATTGAAAACGTTTCTCCAACGATAAAAACACTTTAAATATGCGTAATCAGTTAAAAATGTTGAAAGATTAGCTTGTTTTGATAAAAATATTTATAAGGTTTGTTATTCAGAAATTGAGAAGAAAACTTAAGGAAATCAATAAGACTTTACCATGAGAACATGATGGAATTTACTGAGAAAATTATAATTATAAACAATAACTCTTCTCATCGCTCACTTAGAAAGCACTTAAGGAGTACGAGAGTTGCTAATTACTTTACCCATAAGTTGATTTTCTCTGATCATAAAACATGGCCCTGCATAAACGAAAACAAGACCATAAACGGTTTAGTGGGAAAAGAACTGAGCAGAGAACGGCTCTCGCTTTGCCAATGGTATTGGAAAAATAATAATAACTAACAGTGCACGCCGAACCATTTCAAAGCGAACCCCTTTTAGGGACCCTCCCCCTTTTTTAATGCACCCCATTTCCAGTCCCAGTCCCCTCTCCACTATTTCCCCCCACCCCTTTGACAGCGGCTCCGTCCATCTGTTGGAGCTTGACGACGCGCCGATGACAATGACGCTGGCATTATGTGTTTACGCCGAAGTATGACAGGCTGGAGAGGGGAACTATCAGGGAAGGGGGCTGTCGGGAATCAGGGAATTTTTGGGGGAGGGACAGCCCCAGCTTAACGGGAGGGTGCGCAACGAGTGGTCACCGCCTAAGCCGGCAAAAAAGTAAAAACCAAATAAAAGTCATAATAAATGCGAGAGGCGATTCATAAGTTATTAATTGGTTAAGGAAAGTTAGAAAACATTCAGAGCTATACCCTGGATTAAGTTTAATAAGTTTATTATTTAAGTTCTTACTCTTATATCGGTAAAGTAATACTTCCATCTGATAACTTCATATCCTCCCTATGAGCATTTCCAATGCCACCCGCTATGTCGTCATCGTCATTCATCGACTGCCTCCACTCCAGACAGATGTCTGTGCCTGTCGACCAGTAACTATAGTGTGAGTGATATAGCCCCATCCATACGAGTCCCAGTTCCGATTCCAGTTGAAGTCCCAGCTTCTGCTGCTGCTGCTGCCCTAAACCAGATGCGCACATGCTGCGGCACAATGCACTGACAATGATTGGATTCTTTTGTTCTGTTTGCTGGCCAGGCCTCTCTGTCCTCCCTGATCCCCCTTTCCTGTTCGGCTGTCCCCACCCCTGCCTCTGTCTCTATTTAAACTACTGACCCCCCGACCCTCGTTGTGCATTTGTGTGTGAATTTATGCATACAAATTTGAAAAATATCGGATCTGTGGTTCGTGCCCGCCGAACGCAGAACGCAAATCGGGGGAGTAACGACGACAAAGTTACAGAGAATGAGAGAGAACTGGTTTGTACGGAAGTTTAGATACCCTGGAATGATTTTGCGGGAAAGTTGGGAAATAAATTTTTAAATAACAATTTAAAATATTTAAGAAATTGAGTTCATCTGCCTTTATTTGTTTTTTATTTGATTTAAATATTATTCAGTTTTTAACATTGATAATCGGAAAATTAATCTTGTTTTAGGTTATTTACTTTGAACCTCCCCCTTTAAGTATCAAAAACACTTTAAGATCAAAGTCGCTTTAAAGTCATTATGATATTATGAATGAATTTCTTTGTTTCGCGCAGTTCCACTAAAATACCCACGGGGCGTATGATTACTGGGTATCGGCATGGCAAAACATCAACAAGTCACGGCTCTAAGCCGGCTACAACTACAACTACCAATGCAAATAGCGACCAGTCCTCACCCACCACTCAACGTTGCCGTTAGCAGAGGCAGAAGCAGCGACTGCGACAGAGGCAGCAACAAGTCACTAATCAACAGGCGACTTTTGCTCTCTGCTTTTCTGCTGCTGCGCTGTTTTAGCTCTGCTTTTGCTCTGCCTGGTGCTGCTGCTGGCGTGCTTTTTGCCTTCGGTGCCAGTGTGTTGGTGTTATACGATACGATACCGTATTCCCCAAGCGGTTTAGTTACTACAGAAGTTCTGCCAAGTCAAGTTGTCGCGAGCGAAAATCTATATATTTTTCGCTAGCTTTTGCGGGCGATCAGTCAAGTTCAGTGCCAAAAAAAAAATAAAGACAAACCGTAAACATTTCAAACGGTCGCGTGAAATGTATTAACTTTAAAGCTACCGTTGGTGCAGAAAGCATAAAAATAACGGTTATAAAATCAGGCCAAACAAAGTGAGTTACTCGAATTAGACGTATTCTCAACATTCTTACCATTCAAAAAAAATCCGTTCAGAGCTTGAGTTTGGCGCCCTTTTTCCGTGTCAGTTGGCCAAGACGCTATTGACCCAGTGTTGGCAGTTAAGGTGTCATACCTTCTTGGCTTCATTACGTATTTAAATCAATCGAACAGTTTCTGATTATCGGTTACCAATTTAAAATTCAGCTGATAGGCAAATGCAGACCAAATTTGGGTTAATCATTGCCTGTGCGTCTGTTGATAATAATACCCCGAAAATGGCACAAGCTATATAGATATATCCAGCCATATATAGATCAGTCTGTGCATATACATATATGTGATTTTAATTTGTTTTAAATTATACAGTGCAACCCTTTTTCCTCCGTTGGTCATAGTTCAATTAAGTCGCTAATGACCGGATGTTAGTGTTGTGTTTTTTTCTCTGTGTGCCCGTGTTGTGCATGCAAATGAAGCCGGGAATATATTATATATCTATATACGTGTATGTCCCGGAATTTGGATTTAATTTAATAGTGAAATTATATTTATAAAAATTGAATTTCGCCCCCAGTGGGTCAGCGGAGTGGAATTTATAATTCAATTGGCGAACCGGCACTCCCCGAGCTCGTTGACGATTAATTATAATTTTCTATTCCGAATTCTTCTATCGCTGAACCGAAAGAAAGCCAAGGCAAATAGCGAACACCGTCTATGTACTATTATTTATTCTGCTTTTGTTTACCGCTTCACGACAACACACACAATTATTTTTGATAAGCCTCAGCTGGCGAAAAGTCAAAATTTTTTGTTATTACCCCTTGTGTGTGCTTTTGGTTTTTGTGTGCTTTTCGGCCTGGCAAATAAAACACACAAACAAAAAGTTATTGTCAATTGCTAAAAGCGATAAAAAAAAGACACTAAAAGAGCGAGAAGGAGAGCGTCTGATTGTGAACTAGAAAATCTATTAAAAAATATTATTTAGGCTGGCAAAGAATACCCTTACTCACATCTGTAAGCCCATTAAAAAGTTTAAATAGTTTTACAACCACTTTACGCGTACATTATATTTCCCATAAAGAACGGAAATACCTCCTTAAGTACTTTTCCCTACTGTGCGAGTATATATGAAAACTGAAATCAATATGTATTACCGAGAACCTTTTAAAGTGACAAGTTCTTTGTTTACTACAATCGATTATAGAAGAAAGGCGACCTAGTTAAAAGCCCCGCCTAAATTTTTGAACTAGCAGCTGTTCTTTGTCCCAAGACAACTCATTTATAATTTGTACACAATTTATCAAAATTATTGTCAACATTCGACGGTGACTCAATCAAGTGCGGTTATTGGCACGGGGAATACGCCTCAATCAAAAATTTAGCGACCCTTTGATCCAGCTCAAAGTGAAGTTGCTGCGGTTTTTGGTTACCTAGGGAAAATTACCCGGGAGCGGTTCACCTCCTCTTTTGTGGTAGCTACTCAATTTGTTTGTCGGGCATCAATTTTAATGGCTTTTGTCACATTAATTAGCCATGAAGTATAAATGAGTGATTGCGATCGATTGCCGGAGGGTTTCTGTATTTTTCGGGTATCCGGCTTCAAATTGAGCTGAGGTGTCTGGATAAAATTATTCAATTAATAGCTTTTCTTTTTTAAGCCATTCATGAAGAGCTTATAGGTGTATACGTGCGGTAGTTCAATTAAATATTAGTAGAAGCATATAGTTAAATATTATATTATATTAAATATATTAAACATTTACTTTTTATTGATAATGAAAATGTAGGTCACACTTCACTTTGCTCTGCTTATAGAAGTTCAGTTTTAAACTAATTTTGCAGCATAGTTTTGGGTGAACTATTTAATGTTTTTTAATTAAAAACATAAATACCTTGATTTATTCGTTCTTTAATATTTTTTATGATGACAAATTTCAAGACATTTATTAACGATGATTTATTAATTTAGGAAAACAAAAAAACATATTTTCAAAAACAAACCAGATGACATCAACAAATATTTTCAACGGCTGATAGAACTTTTATTTTTAAAAACCCCACTAAAACACTTTTGTGTTAGGTGATAAGTTACCTGTGAAAATCAAGAGGAATAATGAAATGCCATAAAATAGCTAACTAAGCCTTTGAAGACATAAAACGACTAAAAGCCGCCTCTCCATTTCTGTTCCCATTTTCGGCTAGTTTAGTCTAAAGTTTACCTCCAAAAGCTTTACTTAAAGCAACCTGCTAATGGCGTCAGATTTTATTTTTTGGTAGCGCCCCCGCAGTTCGACCCCCACCGAACCTTTCCAAAAACCGCTTGACCATTGTGTCGCTTGACCATTATTTCATTATGATAATTTCGCCAGCCAGTTTGTGGCTATAAAGTCCATAAAGTCGTTTTGCCGCCGCTCAGCTGACGCAGCCGACTGGCTTTTGGGCCAGAATATTGTGTGCAAATGGCAAACAAAACCGAATTTCAGTATTGAATTGTGATTCAGTATCTCGCAAGGCAACACAAAACGGAAATTTTAACAATGCAATTAACGTGATTTTTGTTATTTGCCAAGAGATGACTTCAGAATATCTCGTGTCCAGTTTTGCATGCGTTACGGTTATATAATTTGTTCGCTGCTCTCCGGTTCAGGTTCTAAAATAAATCATTAAGCAAATGCTTGAATAAATATTGATAAACATTTCAAGTTTACTGTGCAAAAACTTCATTCTTATCGCTCTTTGATTTGTGTCGGTCTATGTTGTACGATAAGTTAACATAATGCCAAAACAAAGGCAAATCGTTGATTGCGGGACAGTGGAAAATGTGATAATGATTAGCTCATAAATCTAGAAAAATCAGTGATTATAAGTGACTAGTGAAAAGGGCAGTGATAAAAACAAGTTAAAAGTAAACGAATTGGATTCTTTTAATATTGTTTAAGTAAATAAACGTGAAATATGTTTAGTTTAAATCTCAAAAATTGAAGTCCAAAATTATGTGGTAAATTTTAGACGACTCCAAAAAGTATGCAATAAAAACATACATTACCGCCACTAGAAATTTCTATTTCCAATTTTTATTCCATTCTTAAGTTGAATAAACATATAAATGTCTTATGAAATTTACTATTTCGATTTTATTCCCACATTGCTTATAATATTCTTGTTTATCTGACTTTGAAATTCCAAATATTTGTATTAAATAGTCGAAATGGGTTAAAAGAATTCCAGCACTGCCAGACAATCAAGAGAAATGTACACAAATGTAAAATTTAAAGAACTTGCCGGAAACCTAACAAAACAAAGCTTACCCCTTAGATACTACAATTAACATTTAAAGATTTGCATCGCCTCGAAAGTGGCTGGTTTAACCCGTTTAACCTTAACTTTCCCATCTAATCAAGTTTATATTTTGCTTATGATTTCATGGCAGCCAAGGCACTCCTAATTGCTCCTCAGTAAGTCAAGCCCCCATGCCCCTTCACCCTCCTCCACCCCGTCTGTTTATTCCAGAAATCGAAAGCTGCTTCCAGCTGTCAACAGATTGGCGCAGTGCCAAAACATTTCTAATGTCCGATACCAAGCGCTCAGCAAATTAGTAGCTGTCGGAAACCGATTTGCAATCGATTCCAGTGCGTGAACGAGAGGGCTTGAGGAACGGAAGAGCGAGATGGGCGACAATCAGCAAAGCCTTCGTCAGAAACTTATCTGCTTTGTATAGCCGGCCGGCCAGCTACCTATTTCCAGGTGTTCGGGGGAGCTTTTTGGAGCTTCGGCTTCAGTTTGGCACTAGAACTTCGACTTTGACGTTGTGTGTCGATCGAGCGAGAGCTATATACATAGTTATAGCCATCGGAAATTACACTGCACTACATAGTCGGTTCCGGAATTGTAGTGATTTTTAGCCCAGTTGTGGTTTTTCGAGACTCGCCGATTGATTTCGCCCTTTAAAAATAGCCCACAGTGTGTGTGTTTGTATATACTTTGTGTTTTTTGTTTAGTTTTTCTTTATACTTCACTCTTACTCTCTCTGTGTAAGTGTGTGTGTGTGTGTATGTGCTAACTTCGGCTAAAGGAAAATTCGGAGGGAGGAAAAAAGCGTTTGGGAAAACCTGCAAAAAGAAAAACTGACGCAATAGGGCAAAGTTGATAGGTTTGTTTTGGGCCATGGCAAAGCCACAACTACTGTTATTAGCGAAAAGAAAAACGTTGGCAATTACGCGCCAAGTTTAACACTTGGATGCGAGGCACTGAGATCATTATACGATTTTAGAATATGCCGCTAAGATAACAGAATAAGGCCCACTGTACAACGGAGACAGTGGGGCAGGCGGCTCTTTTGTGGCTGTCTCTTTGCCGCACTTTGCAATTCAGTTGGCTCACGTACGCGGCCTTTGATGCAACGCTTTTTCGCCGATGCCGATGCCGACGATTTGCAATTAATTGGGAATTAAATTGTAAGAACGTGACGTCAGAGTGGGTTCGATGTTCTTCTTGGGGCGATTCATAAATTAATTTACTAAGCACATTGTTTGTGTTTTCTTAAACTGTATGTGTGAGTCGGTGTGTTGTGTAAAAGGCAAACAAACAATAAGTAGGAAGAGAGAGATAGAGAGAGAGGAGAACAGACATGTGCTCAGCTCGTTATGGGAGAACAAAACGCTCGACGCTGCCCAAATAAATAAGCAAAGCGTAAACATGACAGCACCAAGACTCTCAAAAATCTATGCTAATTAGCAGCAATAACAACAAAGCCGACGAGTGTATCTGTATCTGTATTTGTATCTCAGAGAACGTATATCGAACCCATACCCCCCATACCCCATAAGTACACCAAACAACATAAGTGCAAAGCCAACAAATCGGCAGGCAGCCAAACACACTCGAAATACCCTGAAAAAATAAAAATGACAAATAAATAGTAAATGCTGAGTGAATGGAAAGTGTGGCTAAGGTTAAACATTGCAAAGATCACAGTGAAAGGAAAACTTAGAGAGGAAAACTAATAAACTTAATGATGTTTGTGACTTTCAAGTGTTAGAAGATATATGATTAAAGTGGATATAGAATGTGTTCAACAGATTTTACAACTCATTAAGTGATAACTCAAGAAATTCTTAACTGAAATTTCAAAGTAACTTTCAAGTTTATGATCTGGTCCCTTTTTAATCAAAAAAGTGATTTATGTTTGGACATATTAAAGATCTTATCATTGTAACTTTCTTGATTTTTAATAAAAACAAGCAAGAAACCATAACAATCTCTTCCAGAACTTTGAATTACTTTGTAATCACCAAAGAATTTCCCAAGCGAAAAGCAAATCATATATCTTCTGTCATGCTAACTTGATGAACTAAATCTTAATGAAAGACTTCTTTTGATGACCCATCTATGATTGTTGAACTATAAGAAACCCATCTGTATTCAATTTCCAAGAAGCAAACATCACCTCACTTCGTTGAGCCCCCAACCATAGCTTGGCCCCCATGTTCTTTATCAAAAAATGCAAAATTTATCAGCGATAGCCCAGAAAAGATAACTAAAATGTGCGCTGTTCTACAGCAAATAAAAACGAGGAGCAAAGAAATCAATTTCGCATTTGTTGATATTACGGGGCAAGACATACAGAAAAATAGAAGCCACTACAAAGGTTCCATAGATAGCGGCTATTTAGATGTACATACGTCATTCATTCGGCCAACTTAACGGGGCCCAAACGAAATCCAAACGGAAACCGCAGCCAATTGAAGGCAAAACATATTAAGTTGATGTTCTGTGCTGTAGGGGAAATGATCGTTTTAGTGGTTCCTAATTGGTAACCCAGTGGGTCTGTCACACTGTACAGAAATTGCATAATGCTCGGGCCAAGATCCCCTTCCCCAACCACATCACGTGTCTGGGTCGTCTGGCACCTGACAGACCCACAGAAATCAACTTCAGTTCGAATGAGTTCTGGTAGGAGGAAGTTATAATGGACAAGATGATGATGATGATGGGGCTGCAGGCCAGACAGAACAAGAGAAATTGAAAGCCATTAAGTACCTTTAAAAATAAAAGCGGAATACTACTAACCGCATGGCCCACTAGGATGATACATCCGAGAGCTATATATATATATATATATATATGCTTCTTCAATTATTCAAGAGTACACCGAGAGCAGAGACTTGTGACCACAAAAATCAAAGAAATTACGCACGAAAAATATCTTGAAAATGCCATAAGTTGTATATAGATACACAGCCAGCACAGGCTATATACACACGTATATATATCCGCGAGAAGATATAGACAAACTCGAACTGTGGCAAACTATTTCCGTATTGAGTTCTCTTCTTCAATGCCCTGCATTAGATCTTTTTGGGCATATTGCAAGGCAGGTTTTTCCTCAAATCAAAATGTTTAAATTATTAAAGAATTTAGATAGTTTTTCTGTATCTTAGATGACCTCTAAATAATTTATTCTCCCTTAATATCTTACATCCTTCATTCTTAAGCATTTATCAACTGAAATTCAAGACAAAAATGTGTTTGTGACATTTTTGAGAAATATATTTTCGAGAACATATATGTTTTAGCTTAAATTCCACAAACAAATTATGTACGTGTTCCAAAAACATTTTCTAATATTTATGGATGCGCCAAATATATATTTTCGAAACGTACGATTCGTTTCTTTTCATTTGAGTTTAAGAGTTTGTTTGGCTTGTGGAAATTGCATTGACCTAGAAGTCATATTGTTGTTCTTTCGGTCTCTTGGTTACTTTTTATGATGTCTTTGGAATACCCTGCATTCTGATTCTGTTTTGGTTTTGCACATTTCTCCCAAGCACTCTCTCTCTCTCTTTTCTCTGTATGTATTTAACAAAATGAGCATCATTATGAATTCCCCGATTTTTCTTTTCTGTGTGTATATTTTCAAATACTTGCCACTGTGCATCCGATTTGGGTTGTGTGTGAAAGTGTGTGAGTGGGAGACTGGGGAGCTGGCTCCCGGCTGAGATCGTGGAAGACCCATGGCCCATTCCTTGTCCGTCGGTCGCCAGCGCCACGAGGAACGGGAAACGCGATCTTAAAAAATTTATTTTAAAAAACTAATTTACCGCATTTTCCCCAGTTAAAAAACGAACATACCCCTAAAAAAAAAAACGAGAGCGAAAGTTCAGTATTCAAAACGCAATTCAATTTGGCCAAAACAATTTGAGGCAAATTCGGAGACAAAGGCGCGATCTCGGCAGCGAAAAATAAACCTGAAAGCATAACGATTTCGGACGCGTGCCAGGCGGTGGGCGGTAGGCGGGGCGGCAGAGGACGCCAGCAGCGACTGCGACGTCGCTGTTTTTATATGATTTTCCGCTCGTAGTGCTCTTTTTTATTTTTTCATTTCGATTTTTTTCCCTCCGCTTTTTTTGCCGGCTGTCGTCGTGAGCAGAATGCCGCCGGTTCTCGGTTCTCCGTTCAGTTCTGGTTGAGTTTCTGGCGACGAGTGACACACACAGAGGGAACTAGAAATAAACGACATCGAAAAACGAAACAAAACTTAGTTGTACTGTAGATACTGGCTGATTAAGAAACACGAAACACAAAGCACTTACAGACACACACACATATATCTCTCTCATATATATTGAATAAACTGCATTAGTTCAGATCGAGCGAAAGTGCCGTAGACGATGCCCAATAACCGCAATCGTAATCGCAATCGCAATCGCAATAAACGCAATCGAAACCAAAATCAAAATCAAAACCCAAACCAAAACAGTCAACAGCAGCAGCAGCAGGTTGAAGGGGCAGAGGAGCGGGAGGAGCAGGAGCTGGAGCAGCAGGATTCTCAGATCGCAGTAGCAACATCTTCTTCATCCATAGATGATAATGGAAATTCTGGCAGCGTTTCAAATGGGCCAACGGAAAACAGCAAAAAGGTGACGAACACTCTTGAGAAAAGCGAAGAAAACGAAAAAATATCCAAGGAACCAGCAACAGTCATCCAAAAAGAAGAAGATTTTGATTTAGACGCAGAAATGGGTGCCAAAAACTCAAAACACCGCAAGGAAAAGACCGATAAGCAGGCAGCTAATGGACAAGCTGATGAGCAGGTGCGTCCACCACCCACAATTATACGAAGGCCGCCCGGCAGCCCGCGGCAAGCCAAGGTTATAGTTCATCGAATTGTCAGGGAAGAGGACAAGGCAAATGGCAAATCTGAAGCTCAAGAGCAACCCAAGGTTGTGGAAACCAAAGAGCAACACTTGGAAATTGAGGAATCAAAGGAGCAGCAGCTGGATATCAAGACATCCCAAGAGAAGGAGCAACTACCAGAAACTAGTCAGATTTCAGAAGACGCACAGCAGCAACATGTTGCAGTTGAAGAAAATCTAGAAGCTAATGAAATACAAGAAGATAGTCTGGCCTCTCCAAAGCCAGATGAAGTGGATCACTCACAGGAGAAAGTGCTTGAAGAGGAGCCACCACAGCAGCAACATGAGCCAAAAGAACCTGAGCAATATGTGTTGCAACTTCAAAAGGCAATGGAATTTGTGGAAAACGCACATCAGCAACATATTGCTGTGGTCAAAAATCATCAAAAACCAGAAGACATTGAAATTAAAGCTCAGGAGCTTGCAGCACAACAGCAACAGGAATCAAAGGAAGCACAGCTGCAACATGTTGCCGTTGCACAAAGTCTAGAGGTACCTGAGGAAAAGAAGGTAGAAATCGCACAACAGCAGCAACACGAAGTGAAGCAGCAAAAGGAGTCCTTATTGGACAGTGTCCAACAGCAACAAATCGAGAATGCTTTGAAATCCTTAGAGATCCCAATTCATGATCCTTTTCCCCAGCAGTTACCCCCAAAACATCCCACCTCAAAGATTATTATCCACCAGATACACATGGAAACCAACGAAGAAGAGCGGGCGCGAAAAGGTAAGCCCACCTTCGAGGAGATTAGCACTACATCCGGTTCCCTAGCTGGAACCTTGTCTCCACCACCTCGCTATTTAGTGGAGTCACCAAAGAACGTGTCAAGTGGTGGTCAGTTTTCTCGTTTTTCCCGCGATGTGCAAATCCAGGAGCTGGAGCTCAACAGCGATTGCAGCTCTGGGGAGTTTAATTCCCTACAATCGCCGCTTGTCTGTGAAGCGGACTCGGAATCAGAGGGATCGGTAGCCTTGGGCCCAGAGCGATCTCCGTCGGATCAGCAGGTGCCGTCCAGCAGCCGAGTGGAGCAGCAAGAGCAGCTGCGCCAGAAGCGCGCCCAGAAACGGAACGCTCTGGAGTCGCACTTCCTGCCGCAGATGCTTAATCCCCGCTATCTGGACAGCATCCTGGAGGAGAATGGCGAGGCAACCAGTTTCAGGAACTCCTCCACCTCCTCTATGGGAAGCGATCAGGCGGGGACACGCACACCCAAGCTAAATGAGACCTTTCCCAGGAGTCAGTTGGACTTCAGTCGCAGGCATAAGAGACGAGAGGAGGCACCGTCGCCTCTTAAATTGGAAACCAAGCTACTGGAAGAGTCACCCGATCTGGAAAGCTGCACCCGCCTTCAGAGCACCTTATCCCCTCAATCTGAAGATGCGGAGCTAGTGTACCTCAGCTCCTCGGCCTCGAGTAGTGTCTCTGACCTCATGGAAATGGAGCTGGAGCAGGCGGCCGCCTTGGCGGAGAGGGCTCTTGTGGATTTGGATACAGACGCGACTCGGTTGATTCTACGGCCGGATGATGAAATGAGCAGCACAAGCACTACGACACTAGACAGGAGTGAGACGGAACCGGAAACGGAAACGGAGACGGAAAGAGAGGCCGAGGAGAGCCGTGAGAGCACACCTGTTAATGTTAACCCAACGCATACTAGTTCGCTTTCTTCGCTGCTGAGCGCGGCAACGCCGACGCCGACGCCCACGCCCACGTCTGCCGATCGCGAACAATTAGCAAAAGATACAAATGTATCTGGTGGATCGACGATTAGTTTCGGGGCAGCATCGCCGCTAGCGGCCACGCGCGAGGAGTTCGTTCGCAACATGGACAAAGTGCGCGAGTTGATAGAAATGACGCGGCGCGAACAGGATGAGCAAGGTGAAGTGCCGCGTTCGCCGTCGCCGCCGCCCGTACCCCCGCCCCCTGCCTCTGTACCGCTTTACAGTCCCGAGTCCTCCACGTTCCACTTGACACCCTTGCAGCTGAAGCGGCAGGAGTCGAATGACTCCCACTGCTCCGACAGCACCACCCACAGCCAATGCACGGCCATCAATTTGGCCAGTCCCCCACCGCCACCCACTGCCCAGCCACCCACACCGCCACTCAGACAAAAGCCTGCACCACCACCAATACCCGCACCACCCACTCCCCAATCAGAGCCAGAGCTTTCAGTTCCAGATTTGGATGCCGATACCGATACGGATGCCATAAAGAAACTGCGTCTGCTGTGCACCGAGCAGTTGGCTTCTATGCCCTATGGCGAACAGGTGCTCGAGGAGTTAGCCAGTGTGGCCCAGAATATTGCTGATCAAAACCAAAACAAGATGCCCTATCCCATGCCCCAGTTGCCGCACATCAAGGAGCTGCAGTTAAACGCCAGCGAGAGCAAGTCATCCTCCGCCTGGCTAGGTTTGCCTACCCAATCCGATCCTCAGCTTTTGGTTTGCCTTTCACCCGGTCAAAGGGAACTGGTTGATGCCCAAACCCAACCAGATGACCTACTGGATGCCCATCAGAAGTTCGTGGAGCGTCGGGGCTACCATGAGCTGTCCAAGGCTGAGGTTCTCGAGCAGGATCATCAGCAGCAGCAGAGCGAGATGCTCAAGACGGCGGCCATGATGCGCGAGTTGCGCAAGAGCCTCTCGCCGACGGCGCCCCCCGTTCCCCCGCCACCCGTACCGCAAAAGAGCGCCGAAACGGCGGCCAAGGCGACCGCTCATGAAAACGCCAAGAGAGATGACGCAAGCGAACAAAAGCAGAAGATCGCAGAATCAGGCGAATCGTCATCGCTTGAAAATAAACCAAGGCGAGCAGCTGATCTTGGTGAGCAGCAGTCGGCAGAGCACCGCCAGAGCAGCAGCACCATCACCAGCAACAACACCACCACAGAGACCATGTCCAGCCCCACCGCTAAGTTTCCCACGCTGGACAGCATGGAAAGTGAACTGGCCAGGATGTTCCCACAGCACAAGGGCGATATTTTCGAGGAGCAGCGCAAGCGTTTCTCCAACATCGAATTCCCCAGCCATCAACAGCCTGTGAGTCAGACAAAACGTTATTCCAATATCGAAACGAGTAGCTATGAGTCCAAGAAGCGTGTGGAGAATGGTCAAGTCATCTACGATGTAAGCAGTTCCAGTCACGAAAAGAAGGAACAAGGAGATCCACCGAAAGAACAACCCGTTCCGCCCATCCCCCCGCCGCCAATTATGTCAGCAACGAAATTAAACGGTAACACTTTCATTGATGGAGACGTGGCGCCCAAAAATAGCCAGCCATCGAAAGAGAACGGTAGCGGCAACGGTACGTATGAGGAATTTCGGCAGCGTGCCAAGGCCGCTGCTGAAGCTTTTGGAGATCAGCGGGAACAGCAGCAGCAGAATGGGCTGGATCAAGATCGCGTGTTTAAGGACTTTGATAGGCTATCGCAGCAGATGCACGCTGAACTGCAAACGACCCGTGAAAGGCGGGAGAAGTCCGCTTCCCTGTACGATCTCAGTGGCTTCACCCGATCCTCAGCGGCAGGTCATCCAAAACTCGATGAGCTAAAGCAAAGGAGACACGCACACATGCAGGAGTTGGAAAAGGAAATAGAGCGATCTGCTAAGTCACGGCAGGAGCGTATGTCTTCGGTACCGAGACAAATGGAGGCCACCTCACCACATACCCATGAGATTCCCATTGAAGTGGAGCCACGTTCTCGACGAGCCGAATCCCTGTGCAATCTGAATGAACAGCCACCACGTCCACACACCACAGTGGGTCACTATAACTACCCAACGGCTCAAGATGACTGGTCGAGGTATGCCAGCGACTTGGGTTATTCTGAGAATATAGCTCGACCCTTTGCCAGAGAGGTGGAGATTTGCTATCAGCGTCAGAATCAGCGGGCACCACATGGCATTCGGGCTCCCCGACTCTCTGCCAGCACCAATGATCTGAGCAGCTCCAGTCAGTATAGCTATGATACCTTCAATGCCTACGGAGGAAGAAGAACCCATGCCCCTATGCTGAATCAGGCGCAACAGCAACAGCGTCCTCATTACGGCAGTTGTTACTCCATGATTGAGAGGGATCCCAATCCCAGGTACATTAGCACCACCTCGCGAAGAGGTGTGAGTCCGGCACCGGTTGCACCAGTGCAGCAGCAGCAAGTGCCACCACCCGCCTATGACCGCCAGCAGAGGAGATCCTCTCTGCCGAGGGAACTGCATGAACAGCAGCTGAAGTACATACTATCCAAGGAGGAGGAGCTCAAGTTTGAGGTGGAACGATTGCAGCAGGAACGCCGTCGCCTAATGGAGGAAATGCAAAGAGCACCGGTTTTGCCGGCTCCTCAGAGGAGGGAGAGCTACAGGCCCGCCGCCAAACTACCCACCCTGAGTGAAGATGAAGTCTTCCGGCAGCAAATGGCTGAGGAGTGGATGAACAAGGTGGCGGAGCGGGAGGAACGGCGCCAGCACAAGATCATACGCATATCCAAGATTGAGGATGAGCAGGATCACTCGAACGTCGATAGGGCAACCATAAGCGATGAGTTCTTGGATCGAGTGAAAGAGCGGCGACACAAGTTGGCTATGCCAGCGGACAGTGATTGGGAGAGTGGAGCGGAATCCCAGCCACAGCCGGCTGCCCAATCCCAGCCAGAATCGGATGTGGAAACGGCACCAGTGCGCATACTTGAGGGCCAGGCGGAGGCTAATCTGCGACAATTACCTCGTCACCTGAGGGAGTTTGCCAAGTTCTCGACAAGCGAGCAGTTGCCGGATGGTGCCCAAATGGAGCGACACGAGGAGCAGGAGCGAAGGGAAGAGGCCACCGACAATTCGCATAGCAGTGCCACCAAGAAGACGAGCATCGTGAAGACATACAAGGTTTCCAGGCTGCCGCCTTCCGTCCAGGGTGAGTTTCCCGGCAAGATTTCCGGGGCAAAGAGCGGCCGACTCTATCGCGAACGCTCGCAAACGGCGCGGCTCGTGAGTCATAACATCCCCCTGGAACTAACCAGTAACCACAGCTCATCGCCTGACTCCGTCTCCAATCCCGGTTGTGGTTCATCCTCAGCACCAGGTTCCTCCTCTTCCCCATCCTCTATCCCATCCCTAGTACAATCCTCTGCACTACTACCCCAACCCACTGAACCATTGAATCCTTCATCCAGCACCGCTGGCGGCATCTTGGGCACCGCTTTGTTGGTGGGCTTATCCCTGCTGACCGCCTGGAACAAGTTCAGTTAATTCATAACCCCCCTCCCCACCACACACACATTTTACTATATTTTTACGATCACTTTAGAAACTTGATCTTAAAAGGTATCAATATGAAGTTACTCAGAAAGCCATACCAAAAATTTCCATCTGTTAATATCAAGTTGAAAGTTTTCCTTTATCGGGTTTTTGGCCATCTCGCTCACACACTCACCTGCATACCGTAGCTATTTGGTGTTGTCCCATCTCTCTCTTTTGTATATCTCTCACTCTCTCTTCTGATTGTTCATTGTGCGCGAATTCCTCCTACTTCCTCCATACAGACGAGGCCACAGAATCCGAACCAAGGAACACCATAATCCACCAGATAGATCGCTCCAGCGATCCCCAGCCGGGAAAAATCAGTGCTAATATGAACGAGTTTTTTGCCAGCTCGCCCTTCCGATCGAAAATCTTCGAAGAGTTCGACAAGTACTGGCGAAACTTCGAGCACTCAGCCTCGAACACTTTTTAGGGCCATCCTGAACCACAAACCGAATGCTTTAACCCCTGACCCCAAGCCAAGTCCCCAAATACCTCCCACCTTTCCCCTCAAGCAGCTGCATGCAGCATCCCCAACACTCAGCTCATGTTAAATAATAAAAAAAAAAACACTTTAAAATTTGTCCAAATTGCGTTTGTGAAACTTTGTTAAATGTTTAAAAAACATTGAAAATAATCTTAATAGCAATAGCAATAAAACGAAACCGAAAATTATGTTTAGTGTTGTTAATGTTTAATAAACGAAATTATTTGATTAACCAAAAATTGTTTACTTGATTTGAGTATTTTCGTTGCATTCATTTCTATATTTGTTGTATATATATATATATATTCCGCATGCGTTTCCTTCTAGTTCTGTGTGTGTGTCTGATGTGTCCAAAAAGAGAGAGACGATGTGCTTGAAAAACAAAAACAAAACTAATCCATATTCGTGTGTAGTGTACAGATATCTGCAGACTGTGCGGTTGCGAAATATCAGACAGCCGTAAACAAAATGTTTAGGAAATATATGCAAGATCTATAAACGTTCGACTCATCATTTTGGGAAATGTTTCGATTTTGTATACAACAATCAAGATTTTAATCGAGAAAACCTAAACAAATACTTTTACCTTTCAAGAAAATTTTACTAATGAAAGAATCATAATCAGTTTATAACTTAAAATATATCATTAAAAGTATTTAAAACTGTCTGATATTTCTCGTACCCACCTTCTTTATTCGCCTAATCTTAAGCTTAAACTAAGATAATAAATCGCTTGGCTTTGTAATTTGCTGGCTTACGCTTAAGGCTCTTTGCTCAAATGCTCGAGGGCTGAAATCGGCTTATCCCTTCCGCGGCATCGCAAAGTGACCCATTCCACCCTCCTCAAAGACGACTTATATGCCCCCTAAGATTCGCAATCAAGCTCAAGAAACGAGAAGTAAGGAAAAGACAAGCGAAATTGCGATTAAGCGGAAATTTTAAATTAATTCCATTCAATTGCATGGACACAAAGTGCAGTCCGACAGACGATCCGTTTGTTTAATACAGAATTACGGAATCGGGGGCAATTGAGCTAGAGCGTCTACACAGAGAAAAATAGTTGTTTTGAACTTTTCATAATGTAGAAAAACTATTTAACGTTTTCATATATACTTTGAATATTATTATGTTATTTTAAAAACCTAAAAAACTTCCAAGAAATTGTTTCAAAATGATTTTTCATTTATTTAATTTTTGCTAAGGTTAAAATGTTCTGTTATTAAACTGCAACTTATTTTTGTTAAACAGATATTAATCATATTTTAACATGATCTTTGCATTTAAAACTGAACAAATTTTTACAAAACTTTTAATATTAAACAGAATCCAGTAAATAACACCAATGGAAGAATCCAAATTTAGTTGCCAATGTTGGCTAAATTTTTTCTCTGTGTACTAGCGAATATGCATGCTGAAATTGGAACAGGGACGGGGGCGAAATACAGACTCCGCTAGATGGCGAAGATCTAACCGAATGCTATCGTTCAGACAGAGCCACTGCATCTGAGGAGCCAAATACAACAGCGGCGGCGGGAATGGGTGTCCGGCTGCGACCACGCCCACACAAGCAGACGCGCTTCCTCCTCAATGCCCAGCAGCTGCAGCAGCAAATGCAGCGACGCAGCTGGTCGGAAAGTGATCTCCTCAAGGAGATCGACAACGAACTGCAGCTGGCCAAGGGCTTTCTCTACGCGAATGGTGTGTCAGAAAGAAACCCCAGAACGTCTACCCTCATCCCACTCTCCCACTTTCGATCCATGCCCCTGCTGTCTAATTGTCTAACCCCTTGACTGTATATGTTTAATTATGTTAAGTTTATTTTTAGCCCTAAATCCACTTTATACATAGTGAATTTCGTTTGGCTGCCTGAAAGTATGCAACGAAATTCACATGTTTTGTTTCAGCACATTGCGTATACGACGTGAAGGCTTCTCCTTGGTCACTTGCCACACTCGAGCATATATTTACCCATATCTCTCTATATATACATATATTTATCTTTATCTGAACTGTGTCCATAATTTATGACCCACTTGAGTCGAAGATCTCTCGTTTTCACTCCCTGAAGATCGCTCTTTCTTTTGGCTTCCTCTCCTGTCTCTGTTTACGAAAGCATAAAAAAAACTGTTGTTTATACTAAGGGGGCGAAAAGGAAAAAAAATACGAATTTTTCATCTGAGAACGAGAACGTTCAACAAATTTGTTGTCTTGCGCTCGCACACAAATTGAGATTTTTTTCGGCTGGGATCTTAGCAAACCGAAAGTCCAAGCAACCTGCCCGAAAATTCAACCGTTTCGTAGTCGTCGTCGTGTTAAAGTCGTGTGAGCAACGCGAAGGCGCGTCAGAAAATAGAAAAATATAGAAAAGTCCGAACTCGGAATTTGGAAATCAAAAAAAAAGAAGTCGCTTCTATATTTTTCGGCAGCACAAATGGGGCAGGGTTAGTTGAGTGTTTTGTATTCATATTTGTTTCTCTGTGCTTCCCCAAAAACTAGCTGCCACTTTCTCAGTGAAAAGATCGAGAAAAGATACAAAGATGCACGAGCTGCACCCGAAGTGAAGTGTAATTCAGTGTTGATTATTATTCCCGATTAAGATCGCCTTTTTTTTGGCCCATTTGCAATTTGATTTTTGCAGAGCACACACAAAGCACGGGCAGCGCGATGTTTGCACCCAAATTCAAGGCGCGCGCGCCACCAGGCTCAGGTAAATTCAATCTGGCGGATGTGTTTTGCATCCCGCGGATGCACCTACGACAAGTGTGACAAATTTGCCAACATGACGTTTTCAGTGGGTCGTCTTTGATGATTTCGCTGGCAGACTACGAGTTGAGTGGCTCTTTCGACGCGATTTCCCAGTCCCAGTCAACTTTCCACCTTTCGACTTATTCATTTCCAAATTTATTGCTCGTATTTATAGATCATTTTTTTTTTTGGTGTGTTAGCTCTTTCATTTCGTCTTCTTTTTTTTCTATTGGACTGAACTTGATTTTGCCTTTGGCAGATTGCGATTGTTTATTTTAAATATTTCACATTAGTTCATGTTAATTGTGCACAGACCAAAAATTTCCACATGATTTAGGGAAAAAAACAAACGTTTTTGGAAAATCCAAACTGGAAACGAGGTGCGCCATTGCTAAATATACGAAATGACGTAAAATTCGAGGGAGAAAATGCTGAATATTTATTACAATATTTGCAATGTTCTCAATTGTTGTTCGCTATTCGTGTTAGACGCCCACGCGGATGCCGCCTTTTACAGTCTCCAATAAAAATGCCAGCTAAATAAGATCAACACGGCGAGGAGAGAGTACTCTGCCATGTCGCCATCACGATCCATTTGGTGTTGTTGTTGTTTTGGCCAAGTCCATTGGATTTTCCATTCACCAGAATCCGTGCCGTGGGCCATAAAACCCCTTTGAGGATTTACGGGGGCGTAAGCAAATCCATCAAAACTTTCATTCCTTGATTGGCGTCATCTGATGGCATTATCTATGCTTTGGAAATTTCGATCTCCTACACATTTATTTAAAGCATTAATTTGTATGTTGTTATTTTTAACATTTTCCCCTTTGGTTGTTTTTGTTTTTATTTTTTTTTCGTTCTTCTCTTTTTTTTTTTGCCCATGCCAAAGAATGGAAAATATAAATTTTAAGACTTTTAGTGAGTGAAAATAATTTATAGTTCGGTATAAATTCAGTTGAACTTGAACGAAACGATTCCTTTGCCTTAGCTGCCTGCTGCTTGGAGAATGGCGATTTAATTTAGTTTGATGACGTTGCCATCGCTGGGATTATCAATCCGTGGAAAAGAGATCTTAATAACAGCGATCGGAAAGGAATTCGTGAGTCAATAGGTGGGCAGATGAATAAATATACAGATTGTGCACAAAGTGGCTGGAATTGGATTATAAGTTTTGGGTTTATAATCAAATTGTTTTTTGAGAATCTATTGGGTTGTGATTTTCTTTTCATTTTGTTTCTGTTTATAGGTAAATAGTATTCGGTTTTTGATAACAGAAGCTAAGAATTTCAAGGGGTAAAGATAACAAAAACCAAACACCAACTTTACAGAATTCCTAAGATCCCTTCCCTTCTTATAAACACAATAACTTACCCTCTAAAATGTTCACTGCACTTTTTAAATCTTATAATTTGGTGGTCCATTATGTGACTTCCAATTAGAGATTTTCCAATCAGTTCCGATTGAACCGCAAATATGCAGTCCATAAATAACCCGTAAATGGAGGAGTTCCCGCCTTATCCACGAGCCACACGCAGACGTACTCCCCCTAAATTCCACATAAATCAACTCAGGAAATGCTCTTAATTTGCCACAGCCAAAGCCGCACCCATTTCCATTCTCATTCTCATTCCTATTTCCGATTGACAGGTCGCACTTTGACTGGGAACTCCCGATCCCAACTCCCGTTTTTCCCAGTCTGTGACAGGTTGCCCAGATCCCCCCAACCAGCCATTCCTCCCGAACTATTTTCTCCATCACCTTTTGTGTGAAATTTACAAGGCCACAGTGAGCATATGGGTTCCGCTATTGGAAAAACATTTTACAAACTATCCCGAGTTAAAATTAAATGGTTCCCTCATAGCAGCTGCACTGTGAGAAAAGTGTTTGACTTGATTCTAGGATTTGTTTATTAATTTTGTTCTGATTAAATTGAAATCTATAATATTCTTGGGATAACGAGATGGGTTCATAAGACATAATATTAATATGAATATTCCACTTCAAGATCCTCTTTTAAGATCGATTTTTTCTCTGTGGAGTCCCCATTTCTGTTGTTTTTCCAACGTTTTCTTGTTCGCAAATCGATAAATTTGAAATGAATTGCCTCGAACAACGAAAGCCAGCGAAATGCGGCTTCTGCTCGACTGCGGGCGCTCCTTTAGCGGGTGTGTCGCGCTCTCAAGTGCCACTATTAACATTTTTCCAAGCGAATTTTCGAATTTTCCGTCTGATTTGTTCTAAAGCAGCAGCAGCAGCAGCAACAGCAGCAGCAACAGCAGCAGTAGTGTCAGTGGCCACCGGAAGTGCCAAGCCAAGTCAAGCCAAACCAATCGAGTTGGCTTTGTGTTTGGCTTTTTATTTTCTTTCATTTATTTTTTGTTTTGTTTTGGGTTTGCTTTTTGTCTGGCTTTGCCGAAGAGTTGTTTTGATGTTTTTTCCTTTTTGTTTGTTGTTTGTTTGTGACTTTTGTAGCTGCTTCACTGTACTCCGCCGCACACACTTCCGTTCCATTTCGCATTGCACGCATAATTGGCGTTTTCCCCTCGAGGTTCCCCTGTCTCCGGTTGATCGAGCACGGAGCAGCCAGTATAGTATGGTAATTGATCTGCTATTTGGGGATTGTGACGATAAGGCAAAGGAGAAGGAAGAGGTAGAGGAGGAGGAGGAGGAGCAACCGTAGCCAAAAACTGGGTGTGTTTGGCTTTTGTTTTTTCCCTGCCCATAGCCATTCCCATTCCCATTCCGAATCTGAATCTGAATCCGATTCCGATTCCGAATCCATCCCCATTCCCGGGCTTTTAGCTCTGCTCGACGCTGGCGAGTCACGCAAAATTCAGTTCGCCTCGAGCCGTGCGCGGAGTCAGCAACTCAATCAGCCTATCGCTCTAGAAACCGGTGGCCCATCCGTATTCGTATCCGCATATCGTATCGGTCCATAAGAGTATCTATCTCCTTAGGTAAATCCCTCAGATTTAAGCGACTAATCTGAGTGACTCAGAGGATATCGGTGTGTGCGAGTTTGATTGACATTTGCAAGGAGAAATTTCCTTTTGATTCGATTGTATAATTCAATTAAGTGCTGATTGAATAAAGACGTCAGCGCGCCCACATAAGAAACACCAGCATCAGCACCACCTACACCACCACTACCCCTAACAGTTTCTACCACTGCCACTACCCATCCCCTTATGTGAAATCCGCTAACGAATTTAGAGGCAGCACTTTTGCTCCTCGGCCCCAAATACGTGTCAATGTCTCGAAGGCAATGCGCCTAGGGCATCTCTATCTCGTATCTGTATCTGTATCTGTATCGGAATCGGTAAATGTATCTGTGATCTCGGGGTGTTTGTGGTTTTTGTTTTTTTACAGGTGGCAAATAAATCTGTAGAATGAAAGATTTTGGCTAGACCCAATGCAAAGCTGCACAGACATTGCGTGGGTAAGTTGACAAGTAACGAGATTATCCTCACAGAAGAAGAGTCGCAATTGTAGGCAATTTACACTCATTATGCTGAAGATTAGCAATTGTTTATCTACGATTTAAATTGCTTAACTGCTGATCAAAATGGATGATTAGCTAAGAAATGTATGAGATGAAATTGTACTCATAAATCTAATGGAAGGTTTTGGTGTGTAGCCAAATCGAGGTGAATTTGCATTTCCTTTAAAGATTTTAGACGATGTGACTTTCCCTAATTAATGTCTTAATCAAAGGATATCATCTGCTTATAAACAAAATAGATAAAGAAAAATACTTTTCAAGTTCAAAGAGATTTGCATATTTAAAAATGTTTTTATGGATAATATCAGTTCTTATAATAGACAGTTTTTCATTAATTTTGATACACTTTTATAATGGCTAGATAGCAAAGGTTATAGGCTAAAACAGAACCCTTATAGCTCACCTCGCCCAGTTCTTTAACGGTACGGGAATATAAATTTATACTATTCCTCTGGCTGTGTGTGCTTTTTGTGAATGCTAAACATGCGCCAAATGCGATGACTCATTGCATACGTGTGAGAGAAGCGTCAGTGTGCGTCCCTGTATGTATGTGTGTTTGTGTTTGTGCGGCTATGTGTGTTGGCCAAATTTTGAATGGCTGCCAAATGGCGGCTTCCTCGGTCGCCGTCGTATTAATTATGGCTGTTCCACGTCGCTGTGTTTGTTTGTCAATTTGTCTTCGCTCGGTTTGTTGACTGCCCAAAAAAGCTATTTTCGAGGAGATCTGCGGTTTAAGCATAGCCAGCTAGCATAAATTTGTTGACAAGTGTAAATGTCGCGATGGGGCGGGAAACTCAATCTCTGAACTCGCCGGCGCCCCTGAAAATGTCATCAGGCACATGAAAGACACCCCAAAGACCACCGCCCACATATATGCTCATCTTCTGAAACATTCGACAGGCGTGTGGACACCTTACGGTTCCAGCAGTGAAATAAATCAATCGGGCGCCACCTCAGCCACACCCCCGCCACCGCCACCGCCCTCGCTGCCAGTTTGGACGCCGCAACCATCGCCAGTGCTTAGCGGACGCAAAGAGTTCCGTCCCGTTCATTTTGAATCACCAACTCTGCCACGTCGCTATACGGCCCAACAACAGAAGACGACGACGACTACGATCCCACCTTGGTCATATACGGAAAACGGAGAAGGTCCTCAATTGCCACCCGCCCCGCCTTCCCTTAACTCCGTGAATTCCAACTCGGACTACGCCGAAACCGACTGCTCTGGACACTTTGGTCCCGTGGCGCCCAGTGCCAGTGTCTCCGATAAGATCAGAAGTATTATATCCATGCTTCCAAGCTTCCTTTGATTATTAGTTTTCAATCAGATTCTTCTCTCTTTTATCCAATACTCAAAGAAATCAAAATTTAATAAGTTCTTAATATATAATCTTTAAGGTATTTTCTACTGAATGCAAGTTTTTCATACCTAATTTTACCATCCCAAAAACCATACCATTTTATGGTTCACGTAATATAATTTGTATTCTATTTTGGTATCTCCCAATATCAATTACCTAATGATATTTTGGTACACAAATGGTATTCGTATCTATAATATATACCTATAGCTGACTGACCTTTGAGTTTTGGATATTGCCAAGTCGAATTTCCTGTCGTAAACTCTCTTTGTCTCCCCCTCCTTTTGGAAACCATTTTTCTCTCCTAAAAACTTCTCTTGATTTCTCTAACGATTCACTATCGTTTATCGCCCTGAAAAGCATTCGAACGCTCTTCTTCCAACTCGGACTTGCAGAGGCCGTTCTTGCGGCGTCAACTGTCCGACGCCAGTCGCCCAGTCTACAGGCCCAATGAAGTCAGTAAGTATAGTCGTAATGGGTAGGGCAAGTGACCAGGTGAAGCGAGCTCATGTCGACGCACAACACTCTGAATGTGTAGCTGTGATGTTTGTGTTCTCCGTTTAACCCTTAAGACCTTAACACATGACCCCCCAGCCAACCCAAAAGAACCTCCAAGAACTAACAAAAAACTACATCTGCGGTTTCCAGTCTACAAAGTCAAGCACGAGTATATGAGCGAACCGGAGACGGGAAGCGATCGTCCCCGGAAAATGGCACAGTTAGGTCGAAGGCAGTACGAAGGAATCGGTCCGGTGACCAACGATGGAATGCCCATCATCCTCAGATCGGTAACTGGGACATAACAGGGGGTTTTTGAACTCGAAGTGAGACCTTTTTGATACGAGTATTGTTCCTTATCCTTATCCAAATGCAGGAGGTCCAGGAGCCGCATCAGCATGAGTGGTACAAGCGTCTGTATCAGACGATTCACAAGCAGAAGAACGGCGGTAAATGACCCTTACTTTTCCCATTGGTCTGAAGCATTACGAAATTCCTTAGAACACCATTCCTACATCCCAGCTCATTCCCAGTTCCCAAAATTATCTCCATTTCCCAATCCCTCTAATGCTTCAGTCTGTTATTTGATCTCTGGACTTATCATTTTTTGGTCTCTACAAAAACTCTTGTTTCTCATTTCTCCATTCGCTTTCGCCTAAAGATGATTTCGTGATTCGCTACAAGTGTCCCAGAGGTGATTCTTTGATCTATAAACTATGCTATCCCCTAGTAGCTTTTCCCTTTTAGTTACCCGCTTTTGCCTGTACATATTCGTAGACAGGGTGTAGTGCCTTGTAGCCTCTAAAAAATAGAGCGATCCTCATTCTATTTTGGTTTTAGTCTTTTGTTTACATGCATGCTGTATTATTTGGTTTACCTACATATGATTTTTCTCATGTTCCCGTGTCTAGCTCATTGATTATTTGGAAGCTTCTACTAAATTTCAAGACTAACCTAATCTAAGGCCTAACTCACCCAACGCAAAACCACAAAACAACGCTGATATCATGTCTGCCAGTACACCACCAAGACAAAGTAATAATAATGATAAAGTAGAGCTTGTGAAACTGCTTAATGCTGATTCTAGTTAGTAGTTAGCCTTACTAATGTGTAATTATATATCCGATTAGCCCGTCCGTCGTACAAGAGCAACGGCTACGTCTCAGAGCCAGAACCCAACTACGATTCCGACTACTCTACGGTGAGGTACCGCACCCAGAATCCGCACCGCGTGCAGTCCGTCTCATCGGCTGTCAATGTGCGCAACCTCAGCCACGACGAGAAGTGAGTTCTTGATTACTTAATAATAATGATTTTGTACTAAACAAATACCCCTTAATCTCAAGGTTGTATGGTACTATGCCAAATCCCATAAAATCAGCCCAGAACTCGTATAAAAATCAGCCAGGTCGCATTGAGAACTATACGACAGGTCATTCATCTGTTTCCGAAAAGGAAAAGAAGGAGGTAAGTACTTAACACTTTACTCTCAAAGAAACATCCACTCAAACGTATCATTAGTATGACCGAAATGCTCATCATTTTGGTTCAAACCACTTCACCACCATCACTTTTAACCCATGCGAAGCAATCAGTGGCATTAGCTTAATGAAACCACATCATTAGCCTAATCCTCGGCACCAATATTAGCTTATTGCCCCTGCTCCTTCACAACGCCATGATAATACCCACCAAGCCCTAATCGGGTCCATAGTCATGCCGCATTCACATTCACCATCCACAATCAGTCCATTCAGATCGCCTCAAATATTCTAACTCACAGCAATTATTCTATTCACAATTCTAGTGGTGGGACGAAGTGATGGACATCTTTAACGGGGTATGATCTCTACTATATTATCTAGTTTTTAGTTTTAGTTTAGTTTATTATTCCGATTCAGTTACTCGAGATCGTTTTCCGTTTTCTAACGTGAACTAAACTTTTCCCAACTATATCTGCTTACTGTTGTATCTTTCCTTGCCTACCATTTATCGCCTGCCAAAATGCCTGATCCATAATCGTTCGCAAAGTGGCTTAGGGAGCATACACGCATCCCGCGTATTATCATAGAGTTCGTCGATGATTTCGACGGCATCGGAGTAAGTTTCCCTGGACAGGACATCCATCGGCCTGTCAGGGATATTGAGAAAGAGAGGCAGGAATCATTGCAAAAAAGGCACCAGAACTACTAATAGAAGCCACTCAATCAAATGCATTCTTTTTACAATACCATTTTCTGATTTATCATTCTTTCTTTTTCCCTTTGATAGAATCTAGAACAATCAAAACTATCGCCTTTGTACACCGAAGGTAACTTGTCCAGGTAAGCGGGAATGATTAATCTCCAACTTTAAAATGTATTCTAAATATAATCTTCATTCCCAGAGCTTTGGCCAAGGAATCCGGCTATACTAGCGATTCGAACCTGGTCTTCCGCAAGAAAGAGGTACCCGTTAGCAGTCCCCTTAGCCCCGTTGAACAAAAACAGGCCTACAAGAGTCTCCAGGCAGGCGGAGAACCTCCACTGCTAGGCTTCCGCAAACCAGCACCCGAGAAGCCCCGTGGTGAGTTCCCATCTCTCATTATTTTTGGGCTAGTTTTTTCCACGTAGCTTTAATCTAATAACTAACTTAGTTTTAAGTCGCTGGGCTATTCTACTCACTAATTCTGCAAACGGTGTTGGTTCCAAGGTCTATCTATCGTACACTTAAACTATGTAAGACTGTAAACTCTTTGCCACCTGTTGCCCTGGTTTTATCCCCCTCACCCACCATCACTGCTCACCCTAAAGTTGTATTTATCCGCCCACAAGGAGGCGGGCACCACCAAAAAGAAAATCCAAAATAGCACCATCGTTTATGGCACTGTCACAGGCACCACCAAATAAAAACAACAGAAGCCGCTGGCTAATTTTACAACCGGTTTATTGCCTTTCCCAAGAAATTGTGGAGGAGTTCGAATTCATACAGATCACTCCCACGCTCACAAAGATTCGTGTGAGCACGAAGGAGCTAGAAGAGGAGGAGCCCTTGAAAAAACCACCAACGCCACCACCTCCGCCGCCACCTCCACCACCGCCGCCGCCTCAAACTTTGACCAAGAGAAGGGAGAAGAAACCGGCGAAGATGTTCTCGCAGCTGTCGAAGAATCTGCCCTCGTTCATTCCGTTGAGCAAGAAGCAGCAAGTGTCGCAACAGGATGATCCACCTCCGAGGCCGCCCCACCGCAAATCCAGTTGCACGAAGAGCACCGTGAGGGTCCTGAGTTCCGCCTCGAAGTCCCGCCATGAGCAGTGCTTCCAGCCACCGAATGGTAATGCGCCTGGGGTATCCACCATTACCCTTAGGAAGGTAGCCACCTCGAGCTGCTCCCGTCGTGAACCAATTTGTCGATCGAAGTCTGCTGGTGCGGTGTCCACTCTTCTGCAAACTTTAACGGCCACCAAGGAGACCCGACTCACTCGACGCGTTCAGCAGCAGCAGCAGCAGTCCCGTTTACGATCTTCGAGTCCTAGTAGACGCCCGGCTCGTCTTCTAGCCCTTCGCCACTCCAGTCGGAGTCCTGTGGCCTTTGGCAGAAGCATCTCTAAAGAGAGAAGCTTTGCCGAGGAGAAGAAGCGATTGGAGAATACCCTGCCAGCTAATCGCACCAACTTTGAGGCTAGTACTAATATACTAAGGGATCCCTCCTTGAAATCCCCACAAGAAGTGAGGGAGGCCGTGCGTTCGTATGCCACTTCGCGTAGCAAGTCCTTGCCAAGACTTCGTCAGACTACAGTGAGCACCACCACGAGGCAAACTATGTGCTTCCCCCAAGTGCGACCTCAGACGCTTTTGGATTGTGGAACTCGTTCGCTAAGGAAGTCTTCCTCGAAGGCAGGAAAAGGTCAGGCCAAGAACGGATCCAATGACAGTCTGCCGAGAAGTAACTCCACATTCTCCATTGACTCGATGGTGCGTCAGGAGTTTGTGCCCATTGCACCACCTAAGACATATGTGGGTAAATCCAGAGGATCATTATCAAAAGCACTGGTTCCACTCCAGAATAGTCGTAGCGAAGGTCACGTGCCAAGGAAACGTCAGTCTGGAAAAACAGCTACCAAGCCATCACCACCGGTTACTATCCACTCCTACAGCGAATCGGTGAGGGAGAAGACCAACTTTTGGAACGAGTACAATGCCAAGCAGGCCATGTCCTTGCCGCAGGAGTACAAGTTCTGCCCAGAGGATGTGTGCGATTATGCTAGCCAAACGATTCAGCAACCCTGCATCGAGGACCTTGTCTGGAAATACGAGGGCAAGGAGCAACGTCCTCCGAAACAGGTGATCGTAACGGACATTGCTCGTCCTCAATCGCCGCTGCTAAGCCAGGAACGTCGCTTTTCGCCCACTCGAGAGGTTAGGGTTCCTCAAATCAGCCGAGAAGTGCGTTCTCCCTCTCGTCGACGCATCGATAGTTTGCGTTCCAAGGATAAGGAACAGTCCTTGGCCAGGGCCAGTAGTCTAAGTAGCGCAGATGAACGTAGGAGGGCTACTCCAGCTCCTGCCAATGGACTCTACCAATGCGGGGAGTTAGCACACAGCGCCACTTCTTTGACCCACTTGGAGCGGCATAGCCCCAGCTGTCGGTATCGCAACAATTGCGAGCGTTTCACTGAGCTGAATCGGTTTTACAGCACTCTGGAACGAGTTGGCCAACTGGAGAGAGCCACCTCGTCTAGCAGTTTCCATCCTTTGAGGAAAGATGCCGAACTCCTAGACTTTGATGAATGGCGTCGTGTCCGACTCCATGAACGAGCCGAAAAGGAGCTTCAATATTTGGTAGGCAAGCTACAAGATGATCAGAAACAGCGCGATTTGCACTTTCGTTCCAAGGACGTGGACTCCATCAAGTGGCGTCATGAGGCGGACCAATCGCTGATTGCCAAGAAGAAGTCTGTGGAGGATCTGCGCGATAACTTCGAGCAGTTGAATCTTCTCAGGCAGCAACAGCAGCTGCAATCGGAGCCAGTTCATCGCCATTGGAGACGCAACACAGTGGCTGATTTGGCCAGCAGTCTGGAGCACCAGACCACCGCTGAGCCGGAGATGGAACGCCACTTGGACAACGATTTAGTTAGTACTTTGTCCAAGGATCAGATCAAGAAAATCACTCAGCAGCTGAATGAGATTTACTCAGGAAATCGTCAGGTGCCTGCTGTCGAAGAGCAGTATGTGGTCACCGTAGAGAAGGGCTCCAGACCAAATGGTCTGAAGGTACGATGCAACTCGACCATCTCCAAGGATCAGCTACTGGGACCAGTTCAACGTAAAAGGGACGAACAGCAGGCCAATCAGACTCTGCCTCGCGCCACTCGCAGTCAATCGCCCGTGGTGGTGGCCAGGCAAACTCGTGGAGCCATTGCCGCCAAGAATGCAGAGTTAACTCTTTCGAAACCGCCAGATGTGCCACCTAGGCCAAAACCAACACCAAGTCAAGAGGTCAAGATCAAGGCATCATCAAAGATTGAATCCAAAGTGGAAACACGCGAGCCAGCTGAAGATATAAGCCATAAGATACAATATTTCGAAGATCGTCAGTTCGATGAGCCACCTAAGACCATTTACCACGCTCGCGAAGATTCCTCGCCAGATGAGGCTGAGGTAATGCGTCTCATCAATCAAAATATGCAGGAACGTCAGCGAGCCCGGCAACTCCATCATCACGAGGAGTTGAGCAACTCACTGACCGATTTGAGCGGAGTTTTTGGAGAGCGTCCTGCGGCCCGGGTAAATTTTCACTTGCACAGCCCGCCCGAGCGTCCGCCCGACGATACCGAGCTTATCAGCTTTGGGAACGGATCACCGGATCAAGGAGACGGCAGTCTTGAGCTCTACTCGGACTCCTACTACCGTTCGCGTAGTTTATCGCCTCAATCCCAGGCTTCCGCCTGCTCTAGCTCTTATTTGCAACGAGTCTACACCGGCGAGGTGAGGAAGATGCGTCAGCATTTCGAGAGTATCCAACAATCCGGAGAACAATCCCGGGAGCCATCCAATGAGCGGCGTGATTTTTTTGGGCTTAGCTCGCTGCGGAGGGCGCGCAGCGATCCCGAAATAAATGCGGGATCCAAAGACGCCCCGGACACCGTTACGGAGACGGTGTCGAAGGAGGATGTGCCGCGTTTAACCCACAAATTTGAGTCAAGGGCAGCCACACCGTCACCGGAACGAGGACGAAGGCGCCTGAGGAGCGCCCAGGATAGACTAATGCCCCATATTAATATCATCAGTAAGACGGCGGCCCTAAAGAGGGAGTTATCCACTCCCATTCGATCGAGTCCCACGAGGAGCGTGAGCAGCAACAGTCACTGTTTCGAACGGTTGAGGATGCGCTATGAATCACCAGAACCGCAGACCCAGAGCTACTTGTCCACTTCTCATCCGGATATGCGTGATGTCCATGACATATCGCCGCACCTGAGTGCCGACTGGGTCGCTCACAAGCACCCGGAACCATCGAAACCCAAGGACTTGCCCAAGAAGCCACAACGTGTGGTACGTGCCAGTTCCACATCACCACCTCGACCGGCCAGATCGCAGAACCACCAACTGAGCTCCCGGCTAACAAGTTGCATGAAGGATATATTTGCCAACCAGAAATTTGATCCCAACAAACATCGTCCCAAAGCTCGATATGTGCCCGATGGAGCAGAGAATGGTAATCAAAAACCCAAGGAGAATGGAACTTTGGAGCGCCTCAAGAAGACGGCCATGGTGACTTTTAAAGGTGATTAAAATTACAACTTTCAGGGGGGCAGTGATTAGGGATCTTCATGGGTGGGAAGACGAGGCCAGGGCAACTCTTCACCATCCTTATAGACTATGCTTCGTTGGTTGCCTGATCTCGTAGAATCTGCGACGTAGATCTCGTAGAGCTAGCTGCTGCTTTTGGGTTTTTCCTCATTGGTCCTAACTATTCGAAATTATCCCTTTACTCGTCTTAATCGTTGGCGCAGATCTCGACCCGAACGCGCCCCCCATTCCTCCCCAGCCACCAGTCAAGGGTCTTTCCTCCTACGATTTCCCGTACAACACTGACACCGTCGACGGATCAGGTGAGTGACGAAGATGGAGGTGTTCTCTGGTTTTTCCTATAACCGCCGCCTTAAAGCCTTACTAAAAAGTTAGGAACATATCTATACTTTAGTAACTTTTTAAATATTTTTCCATAAAAAGTACTTAAAATTTAAATTTAAGAAGTAACAATCTGATTATTTAAAAAAGATATAAAATTAAATACCATAAGCCAAGTTAACACACCATAAAAGTTGGTTAGTGGATTAAGTTTAGTAAGCTGATAGCTAAAACCATAGCCAGGACCTTTTAATATCCTTTACTATCGCTTTCCTAGCCAGTGTCATTCGTTGACCTTTGCTAAAAGCATTTTTACTACCGCAACGACGGGTAATTTCCGCAATTGGTGCAATTTCGCTTTGAAGGCGCGCCGTGCCTCAGTTGACCAAATTAATCGATATCTCCAATGAGAATGCCGGCCACGCGGACGGGCCTGACCTGCTTAGCTCACCTGGCCATAGCACTGAACCACCACCCACCTGTCCGCCTCGTCGGGTGGTGGAACCGCTGCTGTTGTTCGTTTTTGTTTTTGTTGCCGCTTCAGCTGTGGGGTGGCTCACCTTGCCGGCCTGCAGTTCGTTTGCGTTGCCATGGCCAAGACGATGCCGTCAACAAAACAAACTCGGGAACATACCTGTCGCGGCCGTTAGTCAGTTTCACTTTTCCGTGCCAAAAAAACGTGTCTTTCGGGTTGCGCTCGGAATAATTCCCAATTAAATGTCTTATGCAACTGCGGCAATATGATCCATCAAACCCTGGCGCCCCATCGCAGCCAATCGTCCAGTTATTCAAAGAGCAAGGCGGTCCACTGGCGGCAGAAGTTGCATCGCAGCTGCAATGACTTGGAGTTGGAGGATGAACGATTTCCGCAATCGCAAAGCTTGTGGCGCAGCCCGGAGATTAATGAAAATCCCTGGCAAAGACCACAAAGCAGTGGAGCTGACAGCAATATCCGTAACTCCAGCAACGTCACAGTCAGTGGGAGCAGCAATAACAATGGTTGCGATATACCAAATTGTGGAAAAATCCTTTGGATACATCGCCGAGGATATGATTACGAAAGATCTGCACCCCTGAGGCCACCTTCCCCCTCGAACTATCAGGGTGTTCCAGGTGCAGCAGGCTACCACGTGGTCGGTCTGCCCCACACGCCACAGCCCAGCCAAAGACAGGCCTATCTGGCCAATCAACGTGCCATTGGAGCTTCCATGCCACTAATTCTTTGGCAGCAGCAACAGCAATTGCAGCAACAGCAGCAACGACATCAGCAGCTTTTGCAACAGCAGCAGCAGCAAAAATATCTAAGGCTGCAACATCAGTTACCAAGCAGTTAGTATTATTATTAGGATATGTTTGGGTCCATTTAGAATGTTAAGGCTGTGAAGAATTAATTTTCCCAAGATAAGAAACACTTTTGGGCTACTTTCAAAATATTTTTTAGTAATTTTAAAACTTTTTGAACTAATAACCCAACCACTAATTTCGTTTTGATAGACCCCCAGTGAGATAAAAGAAAGTCAAGCGATCGATTGAACCCCCTTTTTTCGGCTCCCACCTTTCGAACCATTCGCTTTGCACTTTCTCATTTGACTAAGCGACCTTCCTGTTTTGCACTTTCTCACGGTTTTTCTTTTGCAAAAAGGTAAAAACTCGTTATCACCTGGCTCGCCTCAGATTGCTGAAGAGAGTGGCTAAAAGAGAGTCCAGCTTTGGGCCCAGCTCTATGCTCACATCCCAATCCCAAAGTTGTTGATAAAAGCTTGAAGCTGTATCAGTAGATGCGAGGAAAAGCTTTTATTTTACTATGATCAAGATGAAGAAAAAACTGTGGGAAGTTTTGTAGATTTGATTAAAGAAGATTAAAAAGTCATTGCGATATGATTTAAATTTAGAGAACGATAAGATCAATATTTTAGATAATTATCCAAAGAATGTGAGTTTGTGTTATGTTTCGTAAGCTAATTCTTCAGGTCTTGCAGAATCTTTTTGAAAAAAAAGATAACTAGACGTGTTTGAAAATAAGAGTGGTTTTATTTTTAAAAAGTTTTGAAAATGTTTGAGACATCCCCTGGTAATCCGTTTCCGAGATCGAATGTTTTTCTCTGTCATTCAGTTCGTCATAAAGAGAGCATTATTTAACCGCTTCGAGCCACTGTGCCGCCAATAAGCAATTCACACACCCCACTGTTCCCCCACCACCAACAACAATAACAACAATTAAACGTGAGGCGGCGCCGCCAGAAAAAAAAAACGGAACTTGTAGTAATACGAATGCCGCTATCTCTGGGGAATTACTCACCCGGCAGAGAGTCGAAATCTCTTTGACGTCGTCGTCGCGAAGCTTCGTCTTCTGGTCTTCCCTCTCTCTCTCATCTCTCCTTCACCTATCTCCCTCTCTTTTTTCTCCATATTGCTTAGCCGCCTTGGGGCCCCCATTCAATTTCGATTTCGGTTTCAGTTGAGCGCAACGCGTGCTACGGTAAAGTCGGCTATTATAGCCTCTCTCTTTCTACACCCCTTCTGCCCTTCTCTTTCTCTGGCTCAAGTGAAGCGCGAAGCGTTGTTTTGTTGTTGTTCGCCGATTCTCCTCAGCTTTATCAGAAAATTGCCATAGCCTTCGATTTCGATTCTGATTCTGATTGATTGTTGTGACTAATGTGTGCTCACCGAAGAAAACAGTAAAGAAAACCGTTTAAAAACTTAATTGAGCGTGAAAATGCAAGGAAAAGCCTTGAAAAGTCTAAGTGTAGCTGTGTGTGTTTGTGTCTCAGAGAAAGATGAATATAGGCAACGCTTTCCATACAGGGAGAAAAACTAATAAACAAAGTGTTCTTAATAGGGCATTAACAGGCAAGCCCTGTTTTCACTATTCATCTTAATGATCAAAGTTTCAAGTTTCCGGGAAAATATTCTAGACTTCAGCTTATAAACTTATATGTAGCTCATCATGAAGAAACATATCTTAAAGATACTTTAATTGACCTCAACATTTTATGATTACGTCCAACAATTTATGATAATAGTTATAACTAAAGCTAAAAAGGAATGTGCTAGAAATAGAGTTTACCTTGATAGTCTTTATAAAAGAAAAGATAACACTATCAAATTGATAGCCCTACGAATTTTTTCCCTGTGCAAGCAGCACTTTCAAACGCTGGCGAAAATATGCCGCAGCGAATCAGTGAAAGTGAAAATCCCAATCCCCCGAGTGTCAATTAAACCTCTTTTTCATTTCTTCACTCGGCGTAAACAGCACGTACAAAGCTGTTGTTAATTGTTGTTGTTCGAAGACAAAGCTTTGCGACTCATGGTTTATTTGCCGTGAAAATATTTGTGCAGCTGCCATGACAGCCCCAACCACCGCCAACCACTTCCATCTACCCCCCAACCTTTCGAGGTTTTCCCCTTGAGATTTTTCCTGAAATCAGGTCAATAGATGTTGAAGTTATATATTCCCATCTTAATCAGTTGACCAGCTGCTGCGCAATTCCGCCATGCATCAGGCATCAATTGAACCGAATGGAATCCGGGGCACTTTAGAACGATAAGTAACTCCGAGAGATTCGCATGCTAATAAGAAACAGTCTTATCTTGAGGTCAGTTGGCTTAGCAAAGCTCTAAATAGCTGGGAGTTGAGTTATAGTTCCCTCCCTTAAAGCCCAATTATCCGATTGTTAAGCTAACGAGCATTAACTTCAATTGCAGTGCTCATTCTCCGTTTGAGAGAGCTGCTTAATTCAATTTGAGATTGTGGAATGCCACTTTACACTGGTCGATGGGGTTGGGGGTGGCGGTGGAGTGGTGTCTCATGTGGTGGCTGTTTATTTGCCTACCAATTGGCAGACAGATATGTACGCCGCACCCGACTCTCAGATAAGCCAGTGTTTCGTAACAGAAGCGTTAGCAATAACGACGATTTGCGGTTAGATCGCCTTACGACTCAGAGACAACAACGCTGGCGACAACAGTTTGTTATTTCTAGGGTAAATATCAAGTACACTAAAGGAAAAGGGATTATTAATCTTAAGTTAAATGTCAAAGAGTGCTTGAAGATACAAAATAACTCAAGTTACTATAGATTGAAAGATTACCTAAGAGAACCAACACAGCCAAAAACGCATCGCTTAAGCTTGAGCCTGAAAACCCCATCTTGCCGCTTTGTACATCTCATCTGAACAGAGTCTCCCAATCGTTACTATGCCACAGACGTGAACATCCACTTCAAGACCCCGATCAGGCATGAACAGCGCCAGAACGTGCCGGAGGAGGAACTAGCCATTCGCCAAGCGGAGCATATGCAGAAGCTATACCACGAAGAGCGCCGCCGCAAGTATCTACAGGAGCTGCAGGACATGAACTCGCGCCGCCACACGGACAACTTTACGCCGTCGCAGAAGTCGCCTATCGCCCTCAATCGTTACGATGACTTCCCCACGGACGTGACCCTCAAGTCGCTGGTGGGACCCAAGACGGTGGCCCGGGCTCTCTTTAACTTCCAAGGACAGAGCTCAAAGTATGTACTTATAATTATATTTGGGAAGCTGATTAACAGGACCTTTTCAGGGAACTATCCTTCCGAAAGGGCGACACCATCTACATCAGGAGGCAAATCGATGCCAATTGGTATGAGGGCGAGCACAATGCCATGATTGGACTGCTTCCAGCCAGTTATGTTGAGGTTAGATATATACTTTCATAATAATTATAAACTAAAATCTTTAACATAAACATAATTATTCATAAAGAAAATATTTTTGAGACACTCAGCCAACCATTTCCTGTTATGCTTTGTAAATGAGTGTTCATGTTCTTCATGAATATGGTTATTCGTTTTTCCCAGAAAGCCTAACACATAAATGATTCAAGTTTTGTTTTCTATTTTCTATGACAATTCTATTAAAGAAAAAATGAGTAATTTTCTTCTCATGTTAGGATCTGACTCCTTCCATCAGCACAAACTCTTCTATATCATAAATTAACATATCGCTTATACCAATTCCAGATCGTCAGTCGAGATGGCGCCCGTACCCCATCGAAACGGCCATCGGAGGGTCAGGCCCGTGCCAAATACAACTTCCAAGCCCAATCCGGAATCGAGCTCTCCTTGAACAAGGGCGAATTGGTTACTCTGACACGCCGAGTGGATGGAAACTGGTTCGAGGGCAAGATTGCCAACAGGAAGGGCATCTTCCCATGCTCTTACGTGGAGGTGAGTTTATAAAGCTAACGAAATCCAAATCAATTTTGTAACTAACCCTGTTTCTTACGAAAGGTACTAACTGATATTGGTGCTGAGGATATTGCGGCCAGGACAACGACCGTGATCACCACACAGAGCACCACTAATCTGCGGCCCAATCTCGATGTGCTGCGCACAAACATCAACAATGAGTTCAATACGCTCACACAAAATGGAGCCCAGCCACCGAATGGAATCCTCAAGGAAACGCGGACACTACACAAGACGGACGCCCTCCACGTGGACACCAGTTCCGAGCCATTGGCGTAAGTTATCTAAATGGCAACTGATCCTTTTCAAAAATGGTTAATCTGAAAAATAATTTAGTTACCGCGCCCTGTACAAGTACCGGCCCCAGAACTCCGACGAACTGGAACTGCTCGAGGGAGATGTGGTCCATGTGCTAGAGAAGTGCGACGACGGATGGTTCGTGGGCACCTCACAGAGGACCGGCTGCTTCGGCACATTCCCCGGCAACTACGTGGAACGGGCCTAGAGGAGATCGATCGATCGATATGATCCTGACCCCGGATCAACGTTCGTCTCTAATCTTAATGAATTTGTAGTCTAATATGAGGAGGAATCAGCGTGGCCGGGGCGAAGGCAGTTCTATTATTAATTCTGACTTGGTTTTACTGGATTATTTTATGTTGTTGTTGAATAATTCTTATCCCGCTAATTCTGCTGCTTTCGTTTTGCCGTAATTTAAAGCTATTTATTTATTTTTAAACAGATCATTAATTATATCAATGTTGGAATTACGTTTATTTATGAGATGCAAATATTAACCAGAAGTTGTCCCCTCCACCTCTCCCCACTCCGACACCCCCCGTTCACTCAAACACACACAGACACACACACACCAAATATCGAAGGACCTAAATTAAGATCATACATATATATACTTTGTCGTTTACCTACTAATTTTAACTAGTCACAGCTAATTTCCAAAAAAAAGAAAATCAATTACAAAAAAAGATGAAGTGGAGACCGTTGAACTAAAGTGCCTTAAAGTTGAAATTTAAATGACTATAAAATTACAAAAAAAAATATTTTAAAAATGTACGAAGATCCCTTGTTGAGTCGGCAAAGTGGATAATTATTATTGATAATTATTAATATTATTTATGATGATATTGTCGAGTCCAAACCAACAAAAACCATTTTAAAATCATTACAAAAAGCGTTTATTACACAGACACTGTTGCAAGCGTATTTAGTAAATAAAGAAGAAACTAAAAAACAATGAGGATTGTTTGTTGTTTATTGGATTTGAAGGGGAATTGAATATGTAATTCATTACAACAATCTAATGAGTACTTAGAGTCACTCTCTTTAAACAAACCAAATTACAACCATTTATAAGCAAATATCGCATAAATGCACTGATTAACTTTCAAATATAAAATCGATATATTCTTGCTTTGCATTTGATTCATTTTAAGGGTCCAAGGCTAACCTTTCCTTTTTAATAAATACTATTTATGACTAACATTAGTTTAACAGTACCTCTTGGAACTCATCCTCCACCAGCCAGCGATCACGTTTCTGCCAATTTACGCTTTCGCTCCTGTTTCAGCTCTCGTTTCACCGCTCGCTGCTCCAATTCTTCTGTATATTCGGCGTACATGGCTAGCAAGGCAGGGTAGAGCTTATGGTAATGCTGCAGATCCTCAAGAGTCACTTCCATGTTGTCAAAGGCTATAGCCACCCGTTGCATATCTTCGTCACTGGGTAATCGCGGGCATTTGGCGTAACGCTGCGAAAAGTGGGTGAGAATCGTGTGACGAGCGTTCATATTACGACCCTGCTGAATAGCCTGCGAAACGGTGCTGTGCGTCTTCAATCGCGCCTCCTCTTCCAGATCGTCTTCCATTGTAGCCTCGTGGATAAGAACAGTAGAGTCACGACCCAAATCAATCAAATCCTGACAGGGCATTGTGTCACCGCTGTAAGTTATCTTTACAGGCTCCTCTTTGTGCTTAGCTGCCAGAGTAAGGCTTATTCCGAAGGAGTTGGGGCAATGCCTTACCAGGCAGGTGGATATGGATGCGATTCCTAGGGGATCAACTTTCTCGCCGGTGAGGGGACTAGCCAGCAGGTCACCGTTTCCGACTAGAGTATAGGCATCCTCAATAGTTTCTATTTGCCGATTGTAAAACTCTAGCCAGGGTTCTATTTGACGAGGAGCCAATAGAATGAGTGGATCTGCTTTGGGTTCCAGTTGCCTCCTTTCTCGGAGCAGACCCATCAATCCTATGTGGTGATCGGCGTGCAAATGTGACACATAAATCGCCTGCAGCTGTCGAAGAATCTGCTGCCCCTGGTCACGCCCATAGAGTCGAACAATCTGGCCGTAAGTACCCTCTCCACAGTCCAACAACACATAGGCATCAAGTGCCGTCTTCAAAAGAATTGAACTTACGTTGCGCGTCTTATTAGGAATGCAGGAGCCAGTGCCCAGGAAAATGATCTTCGGGAAGCTCTCGGCTGCGTTGTCAGGGAAACTATAATCTTCTTTGTATTTGGCCAAGAGTTCTAGAAATCCAGGCACAGCATGGGTCTCCTTAACGTACTCTTCGGGCGTGAGCTTGGACTCCAGAGTGCGATCCAGACCTTCGGAAGAGCATTGAAGTTATAATAATGAAAAAATATAATTGATAAAAAAGTACTTACCCTTTCTTGGCCTCAAGTGAAAGCTTGTCATGGCTACCACACCCTGTTGATCGTCATCGTCGGCTTTTGTTTTCTCTTTTTCGTCATTATCGGTTTCGTCCAGCTTCGTTTTCTTAAGGTTGACACTTAAACTCTGACTCTGGCAAGGTAACTGCTCGCCCAGGAGTGGAAACACCTGTGGAGCTAGTTGATGCAATTGGTGTTGGATGCGATGGGCAGCAGCATATCCAGAAAACTGGTTAAGGGGAGAGCTTAAATAGATGTGCTGGGTACCAGGCGAAAAGTTCTCTTTGACGAAATCTTTGTACTCTTGTATTAAGGTCATGTTGTAAGGCGTAAAGTGAACCACCAGGGCCACTTCAGTGAGCTTCTCTTCGCCCAATTTCTTGAGCCTTTTGCTGTGTGCCAACAATCCAGGTAAATAATCCTCAGTGGGCACATCCAGAAAAACAAATGAGAGAGCAGTTTCACTGGCCTCAGTAACGTCAGCTGATCGGACCACTTTCCCATCGGGTAAGGTAATATCCTTTCCATTCTTAAGCTGCCCAAGAAGAGGTCCTGGCGGCACGCCCTGCTCCACACATTTTACCAGATTTAAGGCACCAGCACGAGGTTTCAGTTGACAAATGTAGTTTATCACAATTTTCTCTGGATCTTGTGAGCTAATCAACGGCAGATAGTCTACCTTTAGGATGGAATCCTCAAAACAGGCGCCCTCTGAGCAATCTATTGGACGAACTTGCAGGTTCTTCAGCACCACAAAGCGTCGCATAGATTGCAACATAGCACCAAGATGTGGTGGCCCGTGAAGACCCAGATCTCGTACTCCGGCATCCTGAATGGTTAGTGTTAGACCAGGCAATCCTCCACAGGATGCCCATGTGTTTTGTGTAAGAAAGATCTGCTCCAACCGAGAGAGCCGCGTTTTGTGCTCATGAGCCAATCTCTGGGTTCCCTCGCCACAGTTAAACAAATAACGCGCCTGATCCGTAAACAAATAAACAGCAGCAGGTGCTCCATTGGCTCCGGAGCCCAAGACTTGCAGATTCACAGTTCCAGGCACTACGGAGGCTAGCTTTTTCTTTAGTACGTTGGGTTCCCGCTCATAGCGAGGCCCTGTTAAGGGATCTTTGGCCGAAGCAATTGTGGCCGCCATCGCATTACTCGTCGTGAGCGTTCGCAGAGTTCTAATGATTGGCGACCCCGCTGATTTCACTAAATACATTCGTATTTCGTCGACGTCTATAATGATTGGTTGGTTAACTTTAATTGACGGGGAGCGCTGGGAATTTCATCGAAATCATTCACGTAAATTTCATCAGCAGCCGCAACGTGTGTCTTGCCTTCGAACAGCTGTTGCTATTAGTGATGGCCCTGCGGCTGCGATATATCGAAGACACATTTTCAACCAATTTAAATTAATATATTAACATTAATGTCCCTTCTGTTTAATATTATTTAATGTAGAATTAAAGTAAACATATTTTTTAGCATTCAATCTAAACATATAAGACGTTTAATTTAAATTGATTTGTTTTATAGTGTGTGCACACTCAAACTGTTCACCAACACTGAGATCGTGGTATTTTCGACGTGCACCTGTACGGTCTCATTTATGCCCACGTGCGTTTTGTTTGGCCTCTGCCGGCGTTAAATTAAAACGATATTTTCAAAAATTCTAAGGATTCCCCAGAGCCTAAGATATCAACTACTGAGACACCATGGTATTCTTCACATGCAACATCTGTGGCGAGTCGGCAAAGAAGCCGGCGGTGGAGAAACACTACCAGACACGCTGTCGTGGCAAAGACATAAATGTGTCCTGCATGGACTGCCTGAAGGACTTTTACGGACAGGAGTACGTAGCACACACTAAATGCATCTCGGAGGCCCAGAAGTATGCCAGCCAAAGTCAGGGATTTGCAACCAAGGAACCGCGGAACAAGAATGCCCAAAAGCAAGAGAGCTGGATGGACATTATACGAGCGATTCTCGATAACAGCGAATACAAACTATCTTCGGATGTAAGATCAGCTTTCGTGAAACTCCAAAGCGTCGACAATGTTCCACGGAAGAAGGCCAAATTCGAAAACTTTGTGGGCAATTGCATGAGGATGCCTCACCGGCAGGCCAGTCAAGTATGGGACATCCTCGAGAAGGAGCTGAACAAAATGAAAGATGCAAAACAGGCGGAGCTGGCCAGGATCAAGGCAGAAAAGGTGGCGGCACTGCAAAAGCAGCAGAAGGAGGATGCCGAGGAGGAGGAGGCACCGCCCAAAAAGAAATCAAAACTGGAGCCAACCGAGGATGCGGCTACCGAGGAGTCCGCCAATGGTGTCTCCAGCGACTTTGATTGGCCTGCCCAGCTTACCAAGATTGTCACCAAGCAACCCGATGGTATTTTCCTTGAAAAACTACGCAAGAAATTGCTTAAGAAGTATGCCAAGCATCTCTCCGTCGAAGATTTGAGCGAAAAGCAGGCCAAGAAGTTCCAAAAACGCTTCGATAAGCAACTCAAGCTCGCCGACTCACTGCAGGTCGATGGTGATCTGGTCAAGGTCGCTAGCTAGTTAAGCATTTAAGCTTTAGTCATAATTAATTTATAGCGAAGGACAATAAAAGTGTAAGCTGCAAGTGCTCTTTGTTTTAATCCAAGTTTAGAACTTGTACTTTAGGTACTGCATACATTGCTTCAGATGATTGCGGGTCTCCTCGCACTGGGCTGTTTGATGGAACCGCTTGGCGGGACAGTGGAGGATCATCTCATTGGCCACGCACTCGAGAACCAAGCCGGGGTATGGATGACAGCCGTGCTGGGAGAGGCGTTTGCCCAGCTGCTTGACTCCCTTGTGCGGCAAAAGGGCGAGCGCTAGAATAGGCAGTCATGTTAGCTCTAGCATTTTTTCCTGGAATTTGTACGCACCATGTCTATCGCACTTCACGTAGGTGTCATAGAGAAGCTTCACATCCTCATCGTGGACCAGATCGTTTTCCAAATGTTCTCTTACCTCCACCAAGTTCAGTGAACGGCGATCCCTGCCTAAGAACTCTGTATTGTTGAAACTGCACTCTGCGGTGCACTGATTAAACAATTAGTTGGATATTTGTTGATCCTCCTCAACTAAACTCACAAACATATACGTCTGCTCCTCCTCATCCGTCTCATACTGAATCTTTTCGTGCCATTTCATTTGGCAGTCGGTGAATTGCGAACTTTCGTCGTGCAAGTCGCAGCAGAAATCGTGCTGCGAAGAAGAGTTTTCATTTACTTATTAACATGGAGTTGTAAGTTGTTAGATTTACATGTCCTACTCATAGATGCTGATCTCCTTACCATTGTATCAACAGCATTCAGTTCGCAATCCTCGTCAAGATCCAGTGTAATGACTCTACCCATTACCCAAACGGTCAGGGAGAGCAGAAGAAATGCTTTTAGTTCTTCGGGCCACATTATGCGCAATGCCATGGGCAGCTCAATCCATAAGTCAGGGGCTTTTATAACTGAGTAATCGCTTCGAAAGTTTAATTTTGCATAACATTTGATGGCTTTTAATTTTGGGCTTAATTTACGTTTATAATTATACCACCCGAAATTGGCTGAACCGTCTGTCCGTCGTCGTCGCCGTCGTCATTGTTCCGCTCCAGTTCCTGGAACGCACTGCAGTTCCATTAGCCCGCTGCACTCGAAGATAAATGATGAAAAGGCGCAGGCATCCATCACCGATCAAGCGGCGCAATATCCAAATATAGCAAAAATTACCCAGAGCCCTAAGCCACGCACTTTCTTTTGGTCTTCTGGTCGGCTGAAGATGATGTCTAGCAAATGCATGCGGAAGCATTCCCTATCCATATCCCGATTCCAATTCCATTCCCACACCCATTCCGCTGTGTTCAGCTGCAACTAATTAACCGAGAAATACATCATAAATAGTCCAACTGCTGCCGTTCCCCCATCCACCGTCATTGGTTCCAGTTGCATCTTGGGTTCCAGTTCCTACACCTCCTCCTACTCCTTCTCCTCCCCCTACCAGCCAGCACCCGATCATCATCAGTCAGGGCGCAGACGTTACGTCGCTGCCTCAGAAGTTTACCATTTGTTTATTTTCGACTCGCACACACCCCGCCTTAGGAAAGGGAGTGTAGTGGAGCAGAGATGTCTGGATTTGGATATAAATTTCAAATAATTTAAATATGCAAAAAATATGTTAACAAATTTTTAAACTTAGTTTTTTTTGTGTTCGACTTTAAAGTGTATAAAAATGGATTTTTTAGTTTCTCCAAACACAGACATTTTTTAAGTGTTCAATAAAAATAAAAAAAAAAATATTTGTTGTTTGCTTAAAATTTTATAGCAAAATCCAACTTGGCACCACTGCTGAAAAAGTCTTGGAATGGGGACTAGACTTGAGGTATGGGTGTGGATATGCGTGTGGACTTGGTTGTGTCTGTAGGGAAGGTATCCGCTCCTCCCTTCCTGTACGGCGCTTCATGGTGGCATGCTTTAGGGAATTTTGGGGGGCAAGAGCAATAGAGCGGCACGTGCCCGCCTCAAGTTCAGTTCCCTGGAATTAGAACGCCCGAAACTAGTAAGTTGCATCAGTTAGTATTAGGAAAGCCAGGCCTACATTTCAGCGTCTAGAAAATAGATTCTAATAAGAGAGGTGACCATATGTTTACAGACCACTAACCCTTGTATTAAAAAATAAATTCTTTAGAAGAATGTATAGAATGTAAGTCATATTTTGGTTTTATAGAATTCCCTATTAACAAGTCTTCTGGTATATTATTTTCGAGCAGCATGAATCCGAATATTACCAGTTTTTCCGAATTAATTAGAATTTTTCCCAGTTTACATATGCCACTATTTTAGTGATTACTAACTATTATTATTTATTATTTTATCCCTTCAGTAATTAAGTAACCATCGCTTGTTGATGGTAAACATCAATAAAGAATTGTCATAATCAAAAAGCATTTGGCTTTGACTGCAGTTTGTGGATCCTATTCGGCGGCCTCCAGGGAAACTCTCGCTTTCCGGCACTCACCACAGACACACACACACACACCATCTAGCAGTTTACACACACAGATACTCGAGTGTAACGGACGGATGAGCACCGAGTCGAGGAGAATCCACTGAGGAGACGATGGCCAATCAGTCGAGAATCTGTTGGCAAGGCGTGCGGTTCGTTCGGTTCTTCTTGCTCCCGTGCTCAGGAAGCAAAAGAAAAGCAAGAAGAAAATTATAAAATCAAAAAGCAGAGGAGCTGGGCCGCCACTTGGAGCGACAGTTCCAAAAAACTGTCAAACTATACACACGCCATACACCTCTCTATAGATACACGTCGAATAGATAGTGCCACATTTTATTTATAAACCGCCTATATTTTTGGATCAAACTTGAGGCGAAAGCAAAAGTGTTTTGAGGAATTCAGTTTTGTGTCTAGTGTGAAAATGCCTCTGGCAAAATTGTGAAATCCTCGCGTGTCAAAGTCAAAAAAATAAATACATATATATATATAATCCAGAAAGGAGCTATAATATCCCGCCATAATGCCGAATATCGGCAGTAAATTTATCGTGTGCCTGCTACTAAGCTCGTTGATCCTGGTCAACGGTCAGTTCGAGCACTATCTGGATAGTTTCAGATCCTCGGATTTCTACGAGTTCCCCGAAGGTTCCTTGGGCAGCATTCAGTATTTGCCCAAGGGCAATGACGAGACGCTCGAACTGAAACTGGAGCAGCCCATTCACTTCTATGGGGAGCAGTACGAACAGATATTTGTGAGTAATATACCCCCCTTTAATAAATCCAGAGTTCGATTCGGCTACAAAGTATCTCGCAGATTGTGCACTGAATGAATTTTTGCAGCTAGCTGGGTGATAACGAGATGATAAGCTCGACTCGAGTCGATAAGAGTCAATCAATATGCAAATACAAAGCGGTTCAATAGTTTCTAGACTACTTACAATTTTGTTTTCTATTTCTGTGTGTGGGCACTGCTTTGTTGTGTCCCGTGTATTTATAGGCGACATTAATTTTCGGCAAAACATGACAGGTCGTCGTCGTCGGACATCGATTTCCCAATCCTCATGCTACAATCCGCAGCCACTTGAGGGTGGTCCAAGACCAACCAAAAACCCAACCCATTGATGTCGCTTTGCCGCCTTGGCCAAGTGCCAGTTGCCAGAGTTCTGAGCATCCAAGTATCTGAGTGGTTTCGGCACTTGGCAGCCAAAGTTATGAGTTCTCCGAATTGAGAGTCTTCTGCGAGTGTCGCCTATTTTTGAACGCTTTTTTTTTAATCTGCTCTGCATTTTGTTAGTTAATTAACTAAATTTATGTGTCTGACGTAGAGAAATAGCACGCGGCATAGAATCGGAACGGGCCGGAATGGGCACTTTGGCCATAGAAATCCATAAATTTTATTGAAATTCCTTGACGGAATGGTCGAAAAGATCACAGAAGCCTATCGCCAGCTCCAAAGCTCTTGGGTCAAATTGGTGTCGAAACCATAACGCTGGCATATAAATAGATTCGTCAATCCACAATAGCGTGTGAATAACCCCAGTCCAGTTATAGAACATACTACATTTTTTAGCTCCGATGAGTTTTTTCGTAAGAAAATGCAGAATTCTCAAGAAATTCTGGAGTGACATATGACAGATAAGAATGCAAATACTTGTTTTCTATGTTCTTCATTGAATACAAACAATAATATATATAAATTTAAGTATAAACATAGATTTATCAGATAAATTTAGATATATATGTTGCAGTTTTTATTTAATAAACAATCTGGAATAATTCAAGTGTTCAAAAGGGGGCATGCAGCAAAGAAGTATTTGATGTTTGCTTTCCCAACCTCAATTTGGCATCTAGTGCGGCTCGGGCATTATCCATGTGGAGTTAGGAATCCGTACAAATCACCTGCCAAGCTGCCGGAATTTCAAGACATGCGGTGTTCTCCCGCCGAGACGAATGGACCCCGTGGTGCCAGACACCAGTGGCATGATTTATGTTGCGGCCTATCGGCAACCCACAAGAAAGGCATTTCTCGAACACCTGTGCTCCAATTCCTGGTTGTTTATTCAGGTTGCGCCTGTTGCATCGCTGGAGATGCATCTAATTTTAGATGCATAGTTTGGCGGATGTCGGCCGAGGACTCAATTAGGAGGCGCAGTAGAATTTCACTTAATATCTATGTATCTCGAGGGCATATCCCTTCGTCAGATCATTTGCCGCCTTGTTAATGGTTTGTTGTTGTTTTGTTTCCGCCAGAAGAATGCCCATTAGGAGTTAAGTGGCCCGTTAGCACTTCACGGGGCGCACTAATTGCCACGCCATATGGAGGCTAAGTATTTCCACTTCAAACGATCCGAACTATAACTTCCTTGTTCCCATACACGTAGAAAAATGTATATCTTAAAGCCTTGAATTTTTCTCACAATTGGATTCTCAATTTCCCAGATCAACACCAATGGTATCCTGACTTTCAACTCGGAGTTCCCTGAGTACCTGAACCAGCCCTTTCCGCTGGAATATGCTTCGATAGCAGCCTTTTACTCAAATGTGGATACCTCGTTCAGCGATGAGGGCACATCGATCTCTCTGTTTGAGACCAAGGATCAAAATATCCTTGACAAAGCATCTAGTTTGGTGGCTTACGCCTTCGATAATCATTCGAAATTTTTGGCAAGTCAATTGATCGTGGCCACATGGAACAAAGTTGGTTACTTTGACTCCAAGACGGACCGTCTGAACACCTTCCAGGTGGCACTGATTGCCAACGAAGATCAGACCTTTGTGCAGTTCATATACCCGAACGGCGGTCTTAACTGGCTCCAGGGTGAGACAGCTGGATTAGGTCTGCCCGACATTCGCGCCCAGGCAGGATTCGTGGCTGAAGATGGACGATACTTCACATTGAACGGTTCGGGATCAGCAAATGTAAGTATATTGGCTGCTCTTTTATCTTCAGTAGCTTTAACAGAAAGTAACTTTCACATTTTCAGGCCCGTTTTCTGAGCGAGAGCACTAACCTGGGCGTTCCCGGAGTCTGGTTGTTCGATGTTGCTCCTATTGACCCTGAACAGAACGTGAGGAGTCCCGACAATTACGAATCCCGTACGGAGTCACCTGCCTTGGCCCAGAGTTGCCAGGCCAATGCCCATCAGTGCCACGAAAAAGCCGACTGTTTTGACAAGTCCGAAGGATATTGCTGCGTCTGCGAGTCCGGATTCTATGGCAATGGAAAGTCTTGTCTGGCCAATGATCAACCCATCCGAGTGACAGGAACTCTGAGCGGAGAGCTGAACAAGCAGCCCGTGAATGAGGAAGCCAAGCTGCAGTCGTATGTGGTGACCAGCGAAGGTCGTACATACACCACCATCAATCCTCTAGGCCCTGAAGTGGGCGCCCAACTTCGATTGGCCCTTCCACTGTTGACCACTGTGCCATGGTTGTTCGCCAAGTCGGTGGGTGGAGTGCCCAATGGATACCAACTGACCGGTGGTGTCTACACCCATGTATCTCGTTTGCAATTCGATTCTGGAGAGAGTCTTCATGTGAATCAGACATTTGAGGGTCTCAACTACTGGGATCAGCTGTCCGTGAAGATCGAGCTTTATGGTGAAGTTCCCAACGTGCCAGCTGATTCCGTCCTACTTCTCCCAGACTATGTGGAGGAGTATACTTTCGAAAGGCCTGGAGAACTTAAGTCTGTGCAGTTGCTAAACCTTAATGTTGAGGGAGAACAGCGGGTGCTTGGACTTCAGGTAAGTTCAATAACTTGTTTCTTGAAAGGATGATTCCTATTTGTATGTATTGCAGGTGGAGCAAAGGATTTTGTTCAACAACTGCCTGCGGGATGATGAGCCGGATCCGAGTGCCACCAAAGTGGTGCAGAAGATCTCCAAGGTGGCTCTGGACTATGTGGATCGTGACCAGGCTCTGCGAATTGGAGCCATGAGCAAGGTAGGCGTTACCGCCGAGTCAAACGCCTGCAATGATGGTACCGCCAACTGTGTGGAATTTTCCGTGTGCGTACCTTATGAGGACACGTATAGGTGCGATTGCTACAATGGTTATGCGGCTCAGTTGGATGAGCGTGGCGTAGAGGTCTGCCTAGATATCGACGAGTGTGCAGCGGGTACTCATGTCTGCGATGAGAACGCTATCTGTGTTAACATGGAGGGCGGATTCAACTGTTACTGTACAGAAGGTTTCGAGGGCAATGGCTACCGTTGCCTAGCCAACAGCACTGCTGACAATATTGAATATCCACCAGCGGTTGTGGTGCAAGATGAAACTACCAATCCCAATCCTTATCCGGGACAAGATCAGGATCAGAATCAGGAGCACGAACAGGAGCGCGATCAGGAGCGGGAAAGGGAAGAGGAACTGGAAAGGGAACGCGAACGACAGCGGCAAGCTGAGCAGGACCGAGAACGCGAGCAATACCCGCATCCGGAATATCCTGGGGAGCAGGTTTCACAACAGCCAGACGAGTGTTACGTAAGTAAACTAAAAAAATTTAAAAGTTAAAAAAGGCAGTCCGGCTTTTTGTCATTTTATAATTTGTACGCTTAAAAGTATGCTAGGTATTTTGTTTTTCATAGTTTGTTTTTTAACCATCATAATTATAATTTTTGTCCAGCGCTGCTCAAAGGATGCTGACTGCTACAAAGGACGCTGCACCTGCCACGAAGGATTCGATGGTGACGGTTATAGCTGCACAAACATCTGTGCAAACGGCGAAGTTTGGGAGAACGGAAGTTGCGAGCCTTTGATTCTTGAGAGGCACGATGTAGCGCCAATGTGCGATGCTTTAGGCGAATGCCAATGCCCCTATGGATACGAATTAGCCGAGAATGGCCAGCACTGCACCTACGTCCAAGAGTATGATCCGGAAAGGAATTCTGATCTGAGTAAGAATGTTTTAAAAATAATAGTCTATGTTTATAAAATATCTTTAACGATCTTTATACCTGACAGTTCCTTGTGATGTGGATGAAAACTGTCATATCAATGCCACCTGTAATTGGTTTGGCCACGAACTTCGTCACATTTGCACCTGCCAGCCTGGATTCCGAGGTGATGGATACAACTGCGAGCCAATTAGCGACGAGTCCTGTGCAATCGTAAGTTGGCTGCATAGGCTTTAACCTCTCAAATCTCTATTGAAGAAACTATGGCACTTTTTTAGAGACCCGAGATTTGCGACGTTCATGCCGACTGCATTTTTAACGAGCCCTTGGGCCGATCGGAATGCCAGTGCCTCGCTGGCTATGAAGGCGACGGCTTCCGCTGTCAATTGGCGGACGAGTGCCAATCCGCCGAACAATGTGGTGATAATGCCATCTGCGACGATGGCGTGTGCCGCTGCAAGCCGGACTTCGAGCGGGACGTTAGTGACCATTGTGTACCGGTGGGCCGATGCGGCAGCGTCTTCTGTGGATTAAATGCTATCTGCAAGTTGGACTCTGTGCAGGGCGTTCCGTTTTGCGATTGCGTCGAAGGATACCAGGGTGACGCCATAACAGGATGCACCAGTAAACCTCTATCCTGCCACGTCCTTAATAACTGCGGCATCCATGCAACCTGCGAGCCCACAGAGTAAGTGCCTTATAATCTGTATTCCAGCTTTCTCTATTACTTAAATTGTTGATAAGCTAGTTCAAGGTCCCCATTCTAACAGATTATCCTAACAAGTTACTAATTTAAATGTTTTTCCTTTTTTTTCAGGGATCCGGCTAACTACGAGTGCCAGTGCATTGCTGGATTCAACGGCGATGGATACGTGTGCATTGAGGAGCAAAACTGCTTAAACAACCCAACGCTGTGCGACATGAATGCAAAGTGCCATTCAACCAACTCAGGACTGGTCTGCGTCTGCAATCAAGGTAAGCTCCTGCTTATTACCGATTGATAGGTGGCCTTAATCCCGGAATCATTGTGGTCGGCTTGGACGCTCTTCAGGGCCACCTCTCCGCTGTTCGCATGGGGCGCACGAGTTAAAGAAACAAAATCCAAAAATCGACAAAGCCAGAACTACATTGAAGTAGCCATTGTTGCGATCCCAGGTCAGCGGATGCATAAAGAATTCGCGCATGGACTGAAAGTGTGTAGGGCGCTTACCCGGCTCATCGGCAATCCTCGGGCTAAAGTTTTGCCGATTAAAGGAGCGGCATTTCATTTTAAGTTTACCGACAGTTCGGGGCCACATCTTTGTCAGCAGCTTTTGCGTGTGAAGCATACCTTTATTAAACAAAGGAGATATATTAGTTGCCAAAAAATGCTATTAAAGGGGTAACTTACCGACTTAGCAAGAAACGGAAAATTTAGATGTTAAGATTTAGTTAGACAAAACGAAGGCCTAGGAAAGAATTATAAAGCTGAGAGTGCTACGTATGACACTGAGTTTCAAATTCCTATCTTTTTCAGGTTTCTATGGTAATGGATCTCTGTGCCATGAGCGCCAGCAGCACGACTCCGACTTCCTGATAGTTAGCCAAGGCGTTATGATCGCTCGGGTTCCACTTAATGGTCGCAATGTGCGACCCATTTCAGTGGCCCAGATGGCCATTGGTCTGGACAAGGATTGTGTCGAAGGTCGAGTCTACTGGGGTGATATTTCTACCAAGAAGATCGTAAGCGCCAAGTACGACGGCTCTGATCTGCGTACATTCATCGATACTGGTAGGATCAAAATGTATTTGCCAGAAAGCAACTTCTAAACTGTTTGTTCTCTGTAGATATCATTTCTCCTGAGGGCATTGCCATTGATGTGATCTCACGTCGACTTTACTGGGCAGATTCAGCAAAGGACACCATTGAGGTGGCCAGCCTGGACGATTCCTCGTTGCGGACAGTGATCATTAATAAGCAGCTGGTTAACCCACGTGGCATAGCTGTGGATGCCTACAGAGAGTAAGTTCTCTGCATATCCTTAAACATTTTAAAACATTTTCTAATGTATCTTTTTTCTCTGACAGAAAACTATACTGGTCAGATTGGGACCGCTCATCGCCCAAGATCGAGACTTCTAACTTGGATGGAACTGGTCGCGAGCTTTTGCTGGGTAAGGATTCTGTAACCCTGCCCAACTCTCTGGTGGTGCTCGATAACTCCGGTGAGGTGTGCTACGCGGATGCGGGTACCAAGAAGGTGGAGTGCATTGACCCACAGAATCGCCAGATTCGTACAATCTCCAACGAGTTGTCCTATCCCTTCGGTATCACCTTTACCCACGATCAGTTCTACTGGACGGATTGGACCACGTAAGTCTAAGGATCTTCTTCTTTGGAGATTTTACTTAATGATATATCTTTAATATTAGCAAAAAAGTGGAGATTGTCGACAGCATGGGAACGCGACAGCAGCCCATTCAGCCGCCCTTCTTCGGCAGCCACAAGATGTACGGCATGACGGTCGTAGAGCAGAACTGCCCGCAATACCAAAGTGCTTGCCAGATCAACAACGGTGGATGCACGGACTCACGGATCTGCCTAGTGAATCGACAGGCTCCGTCCGGCAAGAGCTGCAAGTGCACCAGCGCCTCCACAGAATGCACTGTGCCAGCGCCTGGCAACTAAGTCTATGTTTAATGCAAACTGAAATTATTTTTCGATACGTATACAATCAAACAGAAAAAGCAAGTTAACCAAAGCGTAACGTAAGGGTATCGAGGTAAACTAAACTAAATTTAATTAACTAACTAGGAGTGCCTGTGTGCCATTTCAAAGAACAACAATTAATAAAGAGAAACAAGCCTTAGACAGAATTTAATTGCTTACCCTTAGAAAATATCATCGATAATCATAAATGCTAATCAATTATTTCCAACTATAGTTTGAGTTTATTGTGAGTTCTGTTCGGCATGCCTTAAAGAGCATGGGCGCCGATAAATATTACAGCAAGTTTATACCCTAGTCCGCACTAAATGTATCTCTAATGCTGCAGCCAATGCCCATTTGCGGTTTAGTTAACTACTTTTGTACATTGAGACATCGATTTGATCTATGTGGCTTATGTGGTTGCAGTTATACAGTTACAGCAGTATACTCGTACAGATCTATATAAATAGGTTTCTGGGGTGCTAGGCATAAGCTTAACTAGTTATTCTCTCGAGACACTGGAATGCATTTCATCATCGTCATCGTTGACTAAAATTTTCTTATAAAACTGCCATAAGTGCATTAACTAACATTTTTAAGTGAGTGTTGATGTGTTTTTTTTTTTGGTTTTTTTTTTTTTTTTTTTATGGTATATGGTATGTGTTATGTTGTTGTGTAGGTACATTGTTTGCATTAGCTACTTTCTAAGGAGCCTATATAGCTGGGATCGAATTGAGTTTGAGAGGGACTTGGTATGTGCGTCGCCTGACACTATGCTACAAGGTTGTGTTAGCCGCGAACGCTGGTTCATATAGCTCATTGAATTTGGTACAGTTGCCGATATTCGATCCTCGGTCCAAACTAGCCTTAATTAGTTAAATCTAAACTCTAGCTCTAGATTCTAGATTCTAGATTCTAGATTCTGTTGTTTTTCGAATTAAGTTTCTTTCATTAGGTTCTAATAGTTTGTTTTTCGTTTTGTTTTACTTTTGAATGCATTTTTGGTTCTTACATATATAGTTTATATACAAATTCTTTGATTTCCTTGTTTTATATATATATGTATGTATACATATTTGTTGTTGTTTTTTTTTTTTGTAAAGCATTAGAGTATACCAAAGCCCGTTCCAATTTATGTTATGAAAACCATTTCACTTTCTTGGCTTGTTTATCGCCTTCTAACTTTCCTATAATTGTGTAAAACATTACTAGTAGTTGTGGATCTGAGTTTGAGTGTGTGTGTGTGTGTATAGTACAAGACATTGATAGCACCTTCATATATGTATCTATATGGGGTTTATGTGGGTCACGGGGAAGTTCCTCCCAATGGTAAGGGGAAGCTAAACCGAGCTGAAGCCCAATTAAATGGTCATACCTAAGGTATTTACATGGTTTCTAGCATTTAAGCCTGATCTATTTGATAGTTTGCTATGTCTGGCTGCTCCTCGGGGATATGCTTAGAACTAGGCATCAGATATATACAGTTTTACAGTTTGCTAAATCATCGTCCCACCTAACCAATAGTTTAACTACATTTGTTGTTCCCAAAACACAATTTGCCGCGGCTTTCTTTGTGCAAAGCCGACATATTCATAGCTTAAAACTAATTGCAAAATATGCAATATACAATATATATATTATATATAGATCTATATAATCCCTAGGGAAAAACTGATAAGCACGCGCCACTCCCTAGTGAACAATTGAACTTACGATACTAACTTAATGGGACTCGAAATGGATTACTATTCACCGGGAACACACACCACAGACAGCCTTTTTGGGGTGGGTGGGTTTAGTTGGTTGGGTTCCTAATACTTTCGCTCTGCCTAGAACTTATCTCTACGGGTGTGTCTGTGTGTGCTGGCCGTGTTCTATATCCACTTGTTTTTCGACATGGAGGAGCGGAGTCGGCGCCCCCACATCAGGTTGTATCATACGATCGTTCCCTGCAAATGTTGTGGCGATGACACTTGAGATGACTGCTGTCCCAGCGAATCCTGTGGCTGCAGTGATCCACTTGCCCCTGAAGAAGTACTTGGTCCGGGTCCTAGGTCAGCAGTATTAATGGCCAATGAGGAGCCGCCGCCTAGCATGCCACCGGTGGAGGAACCTGCTCCAGATGGATTGATGCCACCACCACCGCCTCCGCCAACCACACAAGGAACACCCAACATGGGTGTGGGCTCCTCGGGCGGCGTTACCTGCAAGGAGATTTGGTTCTGGGAGAGAAGTTAGTCTCCTGGGTGATTACAAATATCATAATAGCACCCACCTCCATGCCAATGCTACCGTTTAGGGATATCTTAATGGGATTGCTATGGTTCGTTGCCTGCATGAGGGTAGTGAAGTGACTTATGCCGATCTCCTCCAGCGACGACTTTCTCCGGCCGTGGCTGACGCCGACGCTGGGAAGGCCCTGTCGCAGGGACGAGGATCGACGGAGCAGGATATCGTTGTCGATCTGCAAGAGGAGCAAGCATGGGGAAATATCCACCAAGAGTGGCGGCCATTAGTGGGGTTAGTAAGCCCAAAACCGATACATTATGATACCAACAAAACTCAATTACGTTTACACATACAAATTGGCTATAGTTGCAGTTAAGATTACAGTTACTCAAAGAAATAAACGAACACATTAAGAAGAAACACATGAACTTCAACTCGAAATGCGGCTCGATGGTGGGGCTGTAATATTTATCTGTTTTGATTCGGACTCTGGGATGAAACGTATTATTTCATGAGTTCCTTGACTTAGTGATTATCCTCTCTTGAGTGCGAACTATGACTATGATTTATTGTTGTTGTTGATTGTTGCAGTTGTTCTTGCGGTTGCTGCTGTTGATTGTTGCAGTTGCAGTATGGCTGCCGTGCTGTTTTTTGGTGGGGTGTTCTGCGGCTTTGAAACGTGTACCCAGAATTTTGATGCTCAGTGTTAAAAGTGCAAATGCTTTGCCCCCAGAAAGGGCAAAGGCAACGGGGTGAACACATTCGTTTGTTTTTAGCCAATTTGTTAAGAACTCAACAATAAAACCAAGCTTAGACTAAAGTGTTAAGGAAGTTTGTGGTGTTTCTTGAGACTCAGTAAGGAGCTCAATTTAGAGATTGGAAGATTAGGTTTATACTGCGATTTGATTTTGATTATTTAAGTTTTTGTTTTGGGATATTTAGTAATCGCACCATAAAACTACATCATTATGTGTTCTTGGTGTTGTTGAACAAAAATCGAACAAACCAACGTGAATCGTATCAAATCAAACAAACAAATATATAGAGAGAGAGAGGGAAATAGGGTGGTGTGTGTTCGGTGTGTGTGTGTGGGTGTAATAGGAATAATAGCCAACCCGCAATGAGTTACTCCGTCCACGCTGATTGCCAACCACCGTCGGACTGTCGGGTAGAGAAAGAGAATTCGATTTAATTTGCTGCATCGGGGGGCTACAGCGTTGCGAGGATGATCCATACCCGGCCAACGTCTGAACGCTTTGCATTTGCATGGGGTTCAAGCCGGCGATGCCGGATCCTCGACGCGATCCAGCCCCGACGGCGGTGTTGGCCATGTTCATGTTCATCTGCGGCATCTGGGGACCGCACGTGGCACCCAGGTTAATGTTCGAGCAGAACGAGATGTTCGATTTGCGGCGCGAGTTGTGTCGCTCGAAGGTCTTTTGCGCCGAGAACGGTGAAGGCCTCACCAGGTATCTAAGGAAATAAGGTACAGCATGTAGGAATATGTTAACTGATAAACAAGAGCCTGTATTGCTATTTTAAGATTAATGTTATAAGTTAAGGCTGATTTTCTGTGTAAGCTTAAGTAGATTTTAACTCACATGAGATCGCCCTCCTCCAGTTTGAGATCACAGCTCGGGTTGATTATCACATAGGACAGGTGGTTGCGCTTTTCGCTCACATCATCGTAGTCGATGGTCGGCAGATTCAGAGACTCCATACGACTTCTTACTAGATTCGCGATCTCGGCGCGCTCGATCTGCTGAGCATGGTTGTCCCTCGCCTCGTCGGCCAGGTTGATGGAATACTAAAATAGTTGGGTAGTTTCTTAGCACAAAGCCTTTAGGTGTATGATTAACACAGAGATTCAGGCCAGTTAGGGTTCTAACTTCAATTTTGGTAACCAAAAGTTAATAGAAATTGAACCCAAGCTGGCCTGTAGTATATATGCTATCTGATCCTGAGTGAGTGTCATTGTTGTGCTGAAATGCAGACGGATGGAGCGTTGACTGACCGATGGGCTTCATCGTCGCTTGCTGGTTTAGTTGTTTTAGTTGCAGTGAATCATGCTACCATACAAAGAACATCATGCTGCAGAAGCCAGAATGGAATCAAGACGGACCTACCTGGGGACCTACCCAAACTTTACTCATAAACCCAAACCTTCAACGCATGGAAAATCAGTCGCTTGGTGGAAAATGAAGAATGCTATCGTGTGGAGAGTTACTTACGGATGATCCCTTGCGCTCCGAGCAACCGCCCAGGCAGTTGACCGACCGCTGACGCTGCGTTTGAGGCCGGAAGCTGCTGGCGCCACCTGTTGCCGACCCCGGCGGACGATAGGTGACCCCGCGCAGCATTTCCGTGGAGTCCTTCGTCGAGTCGGGCGTGCCGGTCTCCTCGTCGTACTGAGGCATGCCCATGATTTGTTTGGTGTATGCAAATTCGAGTTCGATGAGTTCGGTTAAACACAAAATGATTTACATATTTAATTGGTTTTTAATTGAAATGGCAAATTGCTTTCACTGCTTTCAGTGTTCCAGTATATGCATGTGTGTGTGTGTGAGAGAGAGTATATGTGTGTGTGTATGGTTTGGTGATTGAATTGTGGCCTTAGCAAAATTGTTAACATTTAGGTTGTTTAGGCATGCCGTGGAAAGGAAACACGCAAAAGTTCGTTTCCCCCTTCCGCTAACGGTGAAATTATAGAATTTAAAGGAAATTAAAACACGCGATTCATTGATTTAAGAAGCCAGAAAGCAAAAAGTTTCTCAAACCAAAAACGTTTTTTAAACTCTAGGAAAGAAGGTGCTGGGCAAGCGTTAGGCGTTTTGTTTTCCAACTCTGGGAATTGGGTAAAAACAAAGTTTGCGACTTTTGGGAATACTTTTCATCTACTTTCTGAGGTTGTTCTAGTCTAATTAAATTAATTTGTTTTTTTTTCTCTTTTTGTGTTTGCCAATTAACCCAAAATTGTTTTCCCTTCGTTGACGCGGCTGACTCTTATTGATTTTTGAAATCGAGCAAGCATTTTTAATGAGCAATCAGCGTGAGCGTCAAGGCTGGGACACAAACTTTGAGTAATTGGTGGAGTTTCTATGCCAGAGAAAATGGGTTAGAGAAAATCAGAACTGCAAGGCCTGGCACAGTAAACAAATGCAATCAGCTAATTAAAAGGCGGCATGCAAACATCAAACTGCAACGGAAACGGAAAAGGAACCAGAAACAAAACATAAACCGAAATCAAATGAAAAAGCCGGAAAAGCCAAACATGCAGCAGCCAACAGGTCACGCAATTAGGACCAAAGGGAACTGGATTGGAGCTACCACTACCCACTCCCAAGGACAACAACTACGACTAGACTACACACAGTTACACACAACGAATTGGAGGCCAGGCTAATGGGGCAGGCATATGAGATTGTATGAAGTGTGGATTGTTTTTTATTTTGTTTTCATTTTCATTTTGTTTTTTTTTCTTTTCGCTTTGGGGAACTCACTGCGTGCGTGTGCGTCAGGTCCAATACAAACGCAAATCAATTGTTTAATTTGTACAACGGGGCGTATGTGTAATGTGTATGAGTAATTTCATTGACCTGATCTAATATGCTCACAGAATGCTGGCTAATGTGGTTCTGACTGTCTGATCTGTTTGCCTAACGAATGACGAGTTGATGCTGTGACGGCGAAACTTAATTCAAAAACGAAACGGGCGATTTGGATATATGTGTGTTAGTCCTGCAATCCGATTGCAGCAAGGTCAGAGCTACTGATACTGATAAAGTAAACAAAATGAGGTGGGACAATCTGAACCGCAACTGCAATGGGAGTGGGAGTCGTAATCGGAATCGAAATCAGCACGCTATGCTTTTTTATTGATAATATATATATATATTTTAGATATGTAGGAAAGTTTACTTTAAAGGGAGCAAATCTATATCTTTACCAATTTGGTCATTTACGTATAGAAATTGAATGGGATTATATATACTTGGATATATATAATTAAGTATATGTATAGAAAGAGAGACAGAGAGCGAGAGAGGATTACAGGTTAACGTATGCACTTAACAATATTCGAGGTAAATATGCAAAACTTCGTATGATGAACAGACTTGAGACTCAATGCAGTTAGTAGTAAAGCGTAAGCGTGTGATTGATAAAACAAAAACTATAAAACCAACTTAGGGATAGTTCAAATCAAAAAACCGAACAGAACAAAACAGAATTTCGATTAGGCCTCATCTTCATCTGGGGGAACTCAATTTGTTAATTGGCAACTAAAGTTAAAAATTGATAATTTTTCCGGTTTAATTTGCTTTTTCGCTGTGTTTCGGTGTGTGTACCTAATCGCAGCTCGAGATACGAATAAGTGAGCAAGAGACAAGTAAAAGGCTATAGTTAGAGTAGAGCTAGGAAGATAGAGTTAGACATAGAGAAACAGAGAGAGATAGAGAGATATATAGTCAGGCTAAGTGTGGGCGAGTGAGTGAGTGAGCTGTGTTAGTTGGGTTAGAAATACGAGTAGATGTCTCTTGAGTGTCCTGCAGAGTCGTACCCAATTGGGTGCGCGATTTTGAAGCTTGATCTTTGGGATCTTGAGATTTGCTATTGTTTGTTTACCCTTGGACTCACCGATGGACGCAACCGCACACAATGCCTGCTGAAGGCCGAGAAGGGTCCCCATCTCTCGACCGGCGAGTTACTCACATGAGACGTGTCCGCATTCGAAGTGTCCTGCGTGCGGTAAATACCAATCGGTATTTCGCAGGTGGTCGAGCACAGCTTCTGATAAAGTCTTCCGTATGTGCGTATCCACATGTCGTCCTTGGTGATGCGCATCTGTGGGATAAACGGGATAAAGTTGAGACTTGTTTTAGCCTTCCATCTCCTGATTAGCACTCACCGAGGTCAGAAATCCACTGCCTGGGGCCTGGTCAATGCCCAGCAGTAACCGCACAAAGGTAATCACATAGTCCTTCACGAAGGCCTGGTACAACAGGGTGTCCAACATGGAGGCACTGAACACGGCTCCTGCGGCGAACGGCAGCCGGAACATGTAGGAGATGTGCGACCCGCGCTCCTTCTCGCGCTGCAATTAAGTGAGCGGCAAATTAACCAAATGTCAGCTGAAAGGATGGGCGTGGGGCCAACGCGCTACCGACCTTCTCCATTTTGCTGAGATGAAGGGCATACTTGTCGTGGGCCCGGAACTGCATGAATCTCATGTTGGAACTTTGGGACAGCTCGGTGATGCTCTTGATGCTGGGAAAGAATCTGGAAAGAGATTTAAGGATTAAGATTTACTTTCAAGTCTACAGTTTTTCTAGCAATCCTTTCACTTACTTAAACATATTCTGAACGGCTACAATGGTGTTGCAGTCGGAGAGGGAATCTTCTTCAGCTGAGTTGGAAAGCTCCTTGTTGACCACCACCACACTTTCAGCTAAAGTGATGCCAGCTCTCAGCAGATCGTCCAGACAGTCGATTGAGCCCAGCATCCAGTAGACCTAGCACACAGAGAAATCAACATCTTCCATCTAGAAGAAAGTAATATAAACCTACCAAAGGAAAGTATGAGAGGGCATCTAGGAAGGCCACATCTGGCCTTCTCTCCAGGAGCAGTATGATGGGGTTCAACGAGGTTTTCGATCGGAAATGAGCTCTCAGCGGGATGATGAAGTTGTATATGCCATTGGAGGCATAATCCGCGGCCAGGATGATGGTCTTGTTTTGCCACTGATACTCCTTGGCATTCCGATAGCTACAGTGCTCGCAGACCTACGAAAGAGATTGGTTTTAAACCTAATGAAATGGCCAGGCGGGTCGTGTAAATGTCTAACCTGAGCCAACTGCAGACAGCAGAGGGGCTTCTTCTCTTTGAGCAGGTAACACAGCGTAGGACTCACGCCAATGAAGGGTGACACGGGCGGAAAACCCTTGACGATGCTGGAATGGCAGACGATTCTTGGTTAGACGTGACCTCCCAGTGGACAAGTCGGTTGGGCTGCAGGTTATCAAGGTGGTGGGTGGTGGCGGTGATGTTTACGAGTGGGGAAACAAGCAGATTGTGCTGGGACTCAAAAGATTTAGCTACGAGTTGGGAAATTGTGTTGGGTGTTTCTGGGGGGAAATATGCAAACTACGAGCAGATCCAAAGCATTCACTACGAATTAACAAAATGGTGAAACTTAAAGTGTGTGATTTCCGGAAAACCCTGCAGTTCTGCTCCTTCGACGAAACTTTATCGCTCCCGGCGAGCTCTTTAGAAATGAATACACAATTGAAGCCGAAAAACAAAAACAAAGCCAAGGAACAAGCAGAAGCAAATGCAGATGAGATGCACAGATGCACAGATGCACCAAGAGCAACCAAGTGTCACGACAAACAGCCACCTGGCGAACAGCATGGAATCTCGAGTTCTTCCTCAGTTGGTCCAAGGTAAACGGCGGCGTCATTAAAAGATGTCCTGCGGCAGGCAAACAAAAGCAACAACAACGAACGAACAGCAACAACGAGACAAGAACTCTTCAACAAATGGCGTGTGTCCGCAGAATGTCCTTTCCCACCCACATAGTTTCCCGCTCACCTCCAATCAGTCAGACTTACCAGGAGTAGTCGTAGACCCAAACCGGACGCACCGTTCGACGTGTCTCTACGGAACTGCTCGACGTGAATGCCGTTGCCCCACTTCCTGCTGCCATTGCTGCTGTTGTTGCTGCCACCGCCGGTGCTGTTGTTGTTGTTGTTGTGGTGGTGGAGCAACTGCAGGAGCAACATCGTTGCAATTGTCGCCTTCGTGCCGCCAATCTGGCCAAGGCTCCACCACCCAGACCCAAACCCATGCCCATTCCCATTCCAGGCACTGAACGGCACTCACTGTCGCAGCTGTAGCTCTTTTTCATGACACGCCTGCGCAACTGGGGCAGATACTCCTCGGATGGCAGTGCGGTGGCAAAGTCAACCGAATCAGCATTAGTTACGGATTCACCTGGCGAATCACCAGGATAAACATCATCGCCAGCTGGTGGAGCAGCAGCAACAGCAGCCGTGGAAGCGGAAGCAGTGGCATTGCAGAAGCTGCAACCGCGCTGATACGAATCCTCCGAGGAGCTCATGATGAGCGAATAGGTTCGCGATTGGGGAAAATGCCCGCCCAAGCAGCTGAGGCGAAGTTTTCGATTTTCGTTTAGTTTGATGTGTTCATAAGGATTGTGGTTACAAATAGGGAAGGGGGGTCTAGTGTCTAGTGCTTAAATACAACATATACAATTTACATTCAGTTAGGTCTCACAATCCTTAGCGATCGAGTTGGTACAGAAATTCACTAATGCAGAACTTCGATCGTTTTGGATTGCAGAAATCAGACTAGCATGGTCTATGTACACAGATTCATGTTCAATGTTAGTTTCTCGTGGAAAATTTGTTTAGCTAAAAAGTATAGTTAGTGATACACATACGTGGTACAATCTGAGGGTTAAACTCTATGTAGATAGAGACACTACACTGGGAAGGGTGGATACGGTGCCTCGGAATAGTGACAAAAAGAGGGATTCTTAGGGATCCGATTAGAGGGGCGATACTTACGCAATCTTCTCGGATGGCGAACGCCAGGGCATCTCGTCATCGATCTCATCATCACTCTCGTCCCCCTCCTCACCATCGTCATTGCCAGCGATGCTGAACGAGGAGGAGGTGAACATATCGGGCACGGGCAGGATCGAGGGACGTCTACTACCTGGGCAGAGAAGCGGTAATTTGAAGTGAAATTTCCATAAAAAAGGATTTCTAGTCGATTAGTCGTAAATAATAGTTTAAGATATCCTAAAGTGGAACCCCTTTTCGTTAGTTAAAGTTGATGAGAATTTTACGTGAATCTATTAAGCTCAAACTGCTAATAATCCTGGCTAATGAATATAAAGTTAACTTACCCCTCCGCTGGTTGAGCACATCCGGACTGAGCAGGTTGGGATTGTTGGCAAAGGGCACGTCTAGGTGATTGCCCGTGGTGGTCAGTGTGGCTGGTGTGATACTGAGCGATGTGCCCATACTGTGGGCACTACCCAAGCCAAGGCCTCCACCACCACCCGAACCACCGGCCATGCTCGGGGATCCCATTGTCTGGGATGGAGGCGGCAGGGTCGTTGTGGTTATCGTCGCCGCCGTCTGGGTCACCGTAGTGTCCTTGAGGTTCTGCCTGGAGTCCGAGATTATCACAGCCGTCGGATTATCGCTGGCTGGATGGGGAGAGAGCAGCGGAAAGTGCAATTAGTCTCGGTCCAACTTGCCGATCAATATCCATTCTAATTACAGCTACTTTGGCGCTTGCTATACAGGCTAAAATGTCCACTAATTTCAGCTGAGCGACAAAATAAAAGGTGATAGAGAAAAAAGGGCAGTAAAAAAGGCAAAGTTGGGGGAGGAGAATCTACAAGACAAACCTGGGGAAAACAACTCGTTAAAAGTCCTCGACAAGCTTGCACTGGCCGGGAAACTTTCGGCAAAGTGATTAAGGTGCAACTTGGCCAAAATGTTGTCTTTCCCTTTCTGCCAATAGTTTTTGGTTACTTAATTACAGGGACGTCAGGACGGAGTTGATAAAAGGGGTTTAGCTACAGGATTGGGGGGAAAGGCTCTTAATTTGAACGCACAACAAGCTAAACTATTTCTATGAAGCTAATTTACACGAATTGTTGCGTGAGGTGGATATATTATTTACAGCCATTTCTAGACATACAAAACTCATGCTCACACACACAGATATGTACCAACACAAATACCAAGACAAACAGAACGAAATGCAAAGACAGGCGGAAGAAGAAAATGATGGGCGGAAGTTGAAAAAGTGATGTTTGAGCAAAAAGACAACTACGAAACGTGAGCAAGAAAAAGTAGAAGAAGGCAAGTAAAAAATGAAGCAAACAACAAAAATAGTTTTGCATAGAGTGGCAAAAGAAGAATAAAGGAAAAAGGGCAAGGCTAGGTTAGGTGTGGTCATTAGGGTGGACCTTGGTAGTACAATTTTATAAACTTTTAATGTTATAAAAATATTTTTAACATTTATTTCTTATGATTTTTAACAAATAATATTTACAAAAAGATTATGTGCAAGTTTTCATGGTGTTAAAAATATCAAGCTAGAATATTTTTGATAAATAGAAATTATCAATATTATTATTATTGTTATATTATATAATATTATTAAAAAATATTATTTAAAAGATTTGTACAAAAAACTTAAACCTTAGTTTTTTTCTGTTTCTTGGTCCACCCTAGTGTTCATGTTTGGGTTTTTATATTACTCGTGTGTATGTGAGAAGAAGGAATGCAGAAACGGGTTTTGATGGCGGCGGAAATGTGTTCTGACATGGGTAGCGGAGAATGTGAGTTATATGGGGCTGGGGCTTTAAAGGCAGCTCAAGCTCCAAAATCGAGACAGCAAGAGAGCAATGGCGGAAGATATAGCTTGGATGTGTGGGAACGCTGAATTGGTTTAATTTTTTAGGTGAGTGATAGAGTTAGGCAAAGAACGTGAACGAAATATTTGTGATTTGCTTCATTTTTTTAAGAAAATGTTTTGTATTCCAAAGATGCGGGTTTTTTTTTCTTGACTTGCAGGTTTTTATATTTATTTATTTTTATTTTTTGTTTGTATTACTTTCGCTTGGGGTTTTGGTATTTCTGGTGTCACACTCACGCACAAATAGTGATGCAAACTCGCCACTGTCTGGTGTTTGCATTGGCGGATGCGATTGCGGATACGGATACGGTTGCAAGTGGGTGGTGCCGGTGGTGCCACCACCACTATCGTAACTGGGACTGTGGGGCACACGCACACAAACAGACGGCACTGGTGGTGGTGCGGCTGCGGCGGTTGAGGTTGCATTTATTGTTGCTGTTGTTGTTGATGCTGATAGTAATGTTGATGATGTGAAGGTGGTGCTAATTGTTGTTGTTGTTGTTATTGTTGCTTGTACTGTTGTTGTTGTTATTGTTGGATTGGCTGTTGTCATAGTTGATGATGTAGTAGTTTACTTATATTGTTGTACTTAGGCGACATTCATACATTACATTTAACGATCAAATGAGTGTTTATGTGGACTACATGTGTGGAGACTTTGTGGAGGTTTCCCCTTAACCCATGTTTACTATTTCCGAGTTCAATCAAATGTGCAAGAGTTCTGGTGTTAAATCTATTATCTACCACATTTGATTGAAAGCGAAAACGAAAACTGAACCTACATTTGGTTTCTAATGATATAGGAGTTCGAGTATATGTATGTTAATATGTCTGGTTGTAAAACTAGCGTGTGTTTGTGTGTGTGTGGGGTTATAGACATAATCTAACCTAAAATTATCCAATCCTAAGTGAGATCTAAGTTCACCTAAAGGACATTGCCTCTAGAACCTATAAGCGTGTTCTTAAACATCAATTCTCAAATGTTGTATTAATTTTGATATACATTTTGTTAAAGTAACAAAGCCGCTAAGTAACTCCCTCGTAGGAATATATTAATTAACAAATTGAAACCCATACGAAATGATTAAAGTGGAAAGTTTCACGAACACAAAATCAAAATTAAAATCGGGCCAGGCGAATATTATGATTAACGTTAATTCGAGGCAGACTCGCTCGCAAAACACACACTTAAAGCGTTTTCTTTTCATTCAGACAAACCAAACAAACTGAAAAGTCGGGTGGAAACGACAAAGGAAAACTTTTAACTCAGCCTCAAAAATAAGGATTATTGGATAAATGTAATAAGAGAAGAGAAAGAGAGAGAGAGAGACAGAGCAAGAACTTGTTGCTAAATAAGGAAAGCTCATAATTCATATATATATATCATATTTATGTTTGTATGTAAATGGATATATATAGTATAGTAGTTTTGTTCATTCATTCGCTTGAATTTTAAATGGTTGAACCTCACACACACACACACACAATCATACACTCAAGGTCTTAGGGAGAGGGTCTACCCACCAGTTGCAGCAGCGGGGTGGGTGGAGACGGACGAGGAGGGACCGCCTCCAGACCCGCCCCCATCTTTGCCAGCTGCCGTCGGGTCCGATGTTTGATTTTGATTAACGACAAAGGCGGAATTCTCCTCTTTGGTGATGCTCATGTAATAGCACGTGTCATCCTTTTTCATAATGTGCCTGGGTCCCGGATTCAACAGAATGGTCTCCTCGTAGAATTCCGGCAGCTCCGCCGGACGCACGCCCACCAGGGCCACACCATATCTGTATAGAATTGGAATGGGAATTGGATGGAGTTTAGCACGAATTCCGGCTGTGAATTGTGGAGAATTCTCCATTCCGATGCCTTAGGGGTTAACCACTTACTTGCGATGCGAATGGAAACTGGCGTAGGTGAAGCTCTTGCCCTCGTACTCGCCAAAGAATCGACTGTCGCCTAGGACAATGTGGTAGATCTCGTTCCCGGAGCACTTGCCGTACAGTCGATGCCATTCCTCTGGACTCTGCTGGCCCTCCCTGTAGATAATTTAAAGGATCGATATGTATTTGGGATATATGAACTTATAGAGATGTGACTTAGGTTAGGCTCATGTGAAATTCATGAGTCACGGCTCAGTTGGTGTCCCAATTAGCAATTCGCTGACATCTGATTAAACCGGCTTTTCATGCCACACGACCACAGCTCACGGAAACTACAACTGAAAGCCGCATTTAATTGAAGGTTTCGCGGGAAACCACTTCTACCTGAACTCGACCTCCTCGCTCTGCTAATTTTCACACTTGCCAAAGGCGAGCAAAGTTTTTTTGTTTTACTTTGGCATGTCACAAAATGCTTTTAATTAAAACTGGAATTTTAAATTGAATTCCTGTCATGTAAGTGCGAGAGATATAAGGAGGCAAAATATCTCATTTGCTTGCGGTTTACTCGTTAAATCTAAATGAAGTTTTTAGCTATTTCAGGTTTTCTTTACTAGCTTATTAAAGTTTATATTAATTTGTTTCCATTTTAAAGGTGATACAGCTGCTCGGCTTAAGGTATGAAAAATAATATGATGCAGCCAATAAGTATGCTATGATTTAAGCACCAAGTTACAGCCTTAAGTTATTTTAAGCTTTTACTTTAGTATTTGTGTTATTTTTAGCAATTTAACTACAACTTTTTATCGCTTTATGATACAGTTTTTCTTTTTATATCTAGTTTTGTGATTTTTCCTATAAACCTACTCCTTCAACCCATAACTTGGGGAATATGCGGCATGAAAAAAAACTTTCAATAAGCAAAAAGTAAGCACTGAATCATGGCTTTGCCATCTAGCTTTTGCATTTAACCACCCACACTAACTTAAACTAAATTAGCTGGGCCGCAAAAAAAAAACCTATATACTACACTGAATATAAATGTACATAAAGGGCCCGGGGAAAAACGTCTGAATGAGCAATCAAGCGGCTGTGACCTGACCACCGACTCCGCCGGTGACGTGACGCATCCAAGCGAGCCGATGACGCAAAGCGGATAGAGAATTTTTTGCATGTCCTGCGCCAGCAGTACAACCATGCGTATACGTACTGTCCGCGGGATGTGTGGAGCAGCAGGGTGACCAATGTACTGGCGCCGGGACAGGTGCAGTTGTTGGCCAACAGGGCGTACTTGAACTCGTCCTCGCAGACCACGTGCTCCGCGAACTTCACATGCAGCTTGTGCTCAGGTCTGCGGAATGGCGGAAATGCGAAATGGAATTTCCGTAGGATGTGCGATTGGTTGCGTCGCATTTGGCATTTGCAAATGTCGAAAAAAAACAAGGAAAATCGCATTATTCGTGAAAATGATATGGACATCGCAGAAGTAGCAGAATGTGCTGTTAACTCACCTGAAAATCTGCACATACTGCGGTACATTCGGTGCAAAATCCTTGACAGCCCAGGAACGTAGGATGGTGTGCTCATCGGCGGCCGTTTTGTCCGCATAATTTCTGGCAGCCAGGATAAAGCAAGCCTCCGCCTCGTTCATTCTAGCGCGTGCCAAGTCACCATCCTTCAGACAGGATCCCTGCAATTGCGTGGGTGTTTTTTTTTTTGGTGCCCCCATTGAGTCAGTTACTTGTGTATAACTAAGCCGGATTAAGGACCAAATGTACCTGAATGTAGATGACGCGTTGCGCCCAAATGGGCACCTGCAGGATCATCCGCATCGTCGTGTCCAGCTCCATGGGACTGAGCAGAACCACATAGAAGTCCTGCAGCAGCGGGTGGGCGTAGAACTCGTTGAGGAAATCCATGATGGTGTCCGCATGCAGGGTGGTGGAGCACACCACCACATGCTTCTCACTTTGAGCGCGATGTGAACTATAGCTGCCGCCCAGCTTTTGGCGCTCCATCCACGTGAAGGCCAGCTGCTCGAACTGCATGGGACAGGAGTAATTTATTAGCCAACTAAATCATCAATCATATCGGAAAACCATTATCTTTTAATCGTTAGATTTTGACATTAAGCTCTGATAGGTACTACTTTCCTTACTCTTAGGATCGCATTATAGATACGCCCACGTTGTACTATTTTTATGGCCAGACTTACATTGAATCGACTTCCCGAATCTTCCTTATCATTTTACTCATTCCATGGTTAGGTTTAATGTTGATATTAAAGTCCGTTTAACCCCAGGCCCTATAACGCCTGTTTACCGAACCCATCAAAACTAAACTGGAGTTTGGGAATCAAGCTCATATAAAAATATTTTTATGTACAGTTTTTCAAAGGTTACCATGACCTTGCTACTTGCCAGCTTAATGTTCTCATAAAACTTAAGCATAGGATGAGAAATGTTGCTCTTAAAAGATTGAAATAATACCTCACCTTAAACTTTTTCGCACCATAAAATGCTACACCGTTGAAAAATTTGACTATATAATGGATTTTCCTTAATAACCTTTTAAATTATTACTTATAGAAGACGAACTTGTTTAGTTTTTCTCTGTGTAGAGAATATTGAAAGCCTCTCTGGAGGAAATTGAATTGCTAGAATTGAATAAGTTCAATTAAATTTAAGTGCCAGCACCTTCCATGGATTTTTGCAACATTTTGTTCAAAAAGGCATGCAACTTGTTGTTTTTATAGAGGCGAGGGGCGGTGCCCAGAAAGTCATAAATTGTGCAGCATATTGACATGCACTTGGAACTTTTAGTGCTGGGGTGAACAAAACCCATTCCACTAGACGAAACTATGCTAGAAAAAAGGTAGAAAAACTGTTTTGATGGATGCTCTTGTTGTTTGCTGTTTGGCCAAGTCACCAATGGGTAAGTCGTATTTTTATACTCTTCCAATAGCTGAGACTATGCAGGACTATGTTGGCTTGGTAAATGTTCAGGAATAGTTTTGGGTTTTTGTATTAATCTATCTATCTATCTATCTATCTATCTATCTATCTATCTATCTATCTATCTATCTATCTATCTATCTATCTATCTATCATTTTAAGACAACTTAAAGAGTGTTCACTTCTCCATATTCCCATTTTCAGATTTATTCCAGCTCGCATTTCTCCATAGAATCTCTAGTCCTGCTGCTGCTGCCTGTTCAGCGTTTGTTTTTGTTGATAAAACAATTGTTTGCAAATTGTTGAACATGGCAGTCAGTCAGTCAGTCTGGCTATGGGTTGGGGTCACGGACAGACAGTGAGGCGAGCAAATGGTGAACAATTTCCATCGACAGCAGCCCCTCTATTTATTAATATCGATTGATGACCAAAGTCTCCCACCCAGAAACCTCACCCCAACTAGAATGCAGATGATGAATGGGGATAAGGCTTGGTCCCGGCTTATGAAGCATAAATATTTGATGTGGCTTTTTTGCCTGGCTATAAGATAGCTTCTAAACGGAACTATTTGACTTTGGGTAATGCCCTATCCTGGAGCTACTAGATGCCTCGTTAAGCTCACCTGCGTGGGCAGCACAATGAGGGCGACACAAATCATGATGACCATATAGAGCTGCGATGGCCAAATGTCCGGGACAAAGTCACCATAGCCCACCGTGGAGAAGGTCACAACCACATAGTAAGTGCTCTGAAAGAGATTCAAATGTCGATGGCCAGCGCGCTGAAAGTGCTGGATACCACAAACGCTGAAAGATATATAGATTGATATTTATGTAGATTAAATTCATTGGATTAAGGGAGCCAATTACCTCGTGAAGACTAAACACAGCAATGTGGCTGATAGTATGGTCAACTGTTGGGAGAGAGCTGACTGAGACTTTTGCATGGCCCGATGGAGGTCATTCTAATGATAAACAGGATATTAAGTCGGAAACTAGGATAAAGTTGGGATTTTTACTTACAAACATATTCTCCAGCGATCTTTTGGCCAGCCAGCAGTTGAGGAAAATGGGAATGAAGAGATTCCGCAGTGGAGGATGAACAATCTATAATGATAAGCCCTAGTAATATGACTGATTTTAGAATTCAAAGATTAAAACCTACTGTGAGTGCGAAGGGTATTGTCGTTACTAATTCTAGTATAAAGTGAAATGAGAGTATCTGCTGCCAGATGTTGCCCTGTAATTTGGTTTACAAATGTTAATGTTAAGGTAAGTTCTAGTTCTAAAAGTTATTGATATACCTTATAGCCTAGATATGTGAGAACCAAGGATTGCGTTAGCGACACCATGGCTAGAAGCAGCTGCAGGACCCAGAGCACAGTTGGCCGATTCACCCAGAGTATGGCGTCCCAGTTGATGATGGGATTCTCCTGGAACTCCTCCTCCGTCAGTTTGGCCGAGATGATGAACTCCGTCTTATTGCCCACTTCGCAGCCATAGCTTTTATTTATGAAATTTTCATATTTAATTATTTATTGAAGAGCTGCCTGTCCCATAACTCACTCACCATGTTATAAATGTTGGATTTTTATCCAATATCACACGTATTATGTAGAGAACACACGACAGTAACTTAAGGAATAAATCGGCGATTCGTATGCGCAGGCCTTTCGTTTTTTTTTTTGGAGGGGGGGAGGGTAGAAGTAAATAGCAAATGCGTTAGAATTTGGGTCAGTTGAGTGAATTACACTGTCTGGGAATGTTTGTCCAGTGGGTTTTACCTTTTGGCCCCGAAAATAACAAACTCCCCCTCTCAATCGAGACCTGTTTACCTGTTCAATTATTTCCTTTCCAAATCAATATTTACCCAAGATTATCGAATTCGCTTTTGTAATGTCATTCGTTCGTCTGTCTGTGTATGTAAACTTGTGTGTGTGTGTGTGTGTGCTTTTATCCTGGCAGGATACATCGATATATACTTCAGTTTCCCGAACATCCCGCCACTAATCAAATTCAATTAAATACTACCTTGTTGATTGTTGTAATTAAGTCGAGTATTTTGGTTAATTCAAAGACAATACTTGGCTGTTGATTACTTACTTGAACGCTGATTCTTAATGAAATAGAGTTGCAGTCTTTCTTTAAATGTGTTTTCGTTCACATAGTACTCCACACGAACTCTGCAAAGGAACGAGAAGAAAAGAAGGGGAACACTGATGATTGAGCTTCTAAATTGAGTTGTCGAACAAAAGCCTTTGCCGAGGACCCTTGTACAACATCACGCCTTTATCCCCGACAATCGAATTCCCCTCGTTTCCGTGGCGCCACTTGCTGCACTTGACAATTGATGCGCTTACTTATCACATTAAGTGACGCAGCTGGCTGCACACTTCCCTATAACTTATTACTTTACATTGAGAAAGAAGGTTCGTTGATGAGAAACAGAGGGAAAATGGTAAGTTTAGTTTTACAAAAGAAGTTTAAACCAGTTAGCATGGGAATTGCCTTAGAATAAGCATTATTTTTGCAACATCTTAAATCATTTCTTAAATAATTCAATTACTTAATCAACTATAACAAACTTTAAGTGTATTTCTATAAAAAATTAAAATCAATAATATAATTTTCTTTTTGTGTAAGTCCATAGTTAGTGCGTGCAGCTAAGTATCTTGAAAGGCACCGAGAGCGACAGTTGGTGGCAAGGAAAAGCTGGAGCTGGAGCTGGGCACATGGCAGCCCTGCACACACGTGACTGTCTTGTCCACCCCTTTGCCCTCCCAAATAGCTCAAGGACGAATGGTGTCTGCAAAGGGCTTTTCCCTGAGATAATGCACTGGGTGAATGGGGTTTTTCATCAATGACTATCTGTCTGTGCCCGGGGCATAAGCATTGATGTTCTAGAGAATTAGATCAAAGGAAAATCTCTTATTTTGTAGTCATTTGTAATCAAAGTTATAAATAAGAAAGTTATTTTAGTTATAGGGCATGCCCTCTTCGACTCTTTGAGTTCTTTCTCTGAACTTCTTCTTATTCTTTATATTTGATAACCCTTGACTGCAGCTGCAACACTGCTGCCTTAAGTGTATAACGAGTTTTAACCACTCGGGCACACATGGCGTATGAGCAACGAAATATGGGTCTTAAGCTTAAGCTTTTTTCTACAATTCTCCTTGCTATATACTATACTCGGTGTATATAGAATATATTTTTATGTGCTGCTCGAGTTTTGCATTTGGCGTCTCACAGTCTGAGTATTCCAGTCCAGGCACATCATAAGTGTTGAGCAAACATTTTTGTGGGATCTTTTTGCACTTGACTGCACAGAGACATTGGCCGCACTACAGTTGAAAATCCGTTTCGGGTTCAAGTAATTAAAGGAGTAGCTTTAAAAGCCCGGAGCACAAAGGAAACCCAGGCGAGATTCAATTAACTGCTTGCCACCTTCTTGCTTGTCCTTTGTTTTTTTGGGCAGCTTTCTGTCGCAGCTCATTTCGGGTAGATTTCAGTTCAGAATATTCATGGTACGGGGTTAATGCACTTGCAGCCGTAGTGGAGACTACAGAAAAACACTGTAAGAATAGTTCAAGTCAAGTGAGGCTCCCGGCAGCGGTGTTGACTCAGAAATGGCACCTTAGGGGCCATTCGAGGGCCAAGGACGATGACTGGATGAGTGCGTGGTGAAATTAACGAGCTTGCTGGCCCAAACCATCGCAGTCATCATCTCACACACATAGCAACCAAGTGACCAAGAATCAGTTATGACCCGGCCAGAAGCACCAACGTGCCACTGCATACAATCAACTCTGACCTGCCCCCGAAGGATGTTTCGCACTTCTGTGCGGTTTGTGGCGGCAAGTTCATTCCTCTCTCACTTTTTTTCCGGCCATTGAACGCGGCACAATCGTTTTGCCCAGATGGCCATAAGTTCTGGCCAAGAAGGGGTCCTCCAATCACTTGTCACTTGTTAGCCATTTTCTTTCTGCTTTATGTCTTTAGTTTGGCACACAGAGAGCTTTGCATATATTTCAAATGAATTTCGTATTTTCATTTATCCAAGCTGAATCGTAATCAAAACTACAAAATATTTGCATTGAATTTGATTGCAAATTTTCCAATAAACAAAAATAATTGTGAAAATGCCAGCAAAGAGAGCTGCAGGTGGTAAAAAATTTCTGTTGAAAATTCACTTTGAAAGTAAAAGCTGCGGGTTAGCCACTGAATTGGAAATAACGGAAAAGTTGTCAGGTTTGAAAATTAAGGATTATTTAAATCGATGTCCTAAATATAAAATCAACGCTGTTGTCGAGAACTTTGTAGGATTTATTGTTTATTTATTTGACACTTTAATTTAATGGTTGGCTTTAAATATTTACAGGTGATTGCTGTTTTAACTGCTTTAAAATAAACTAAAAAATTATGAAGTTTATTTGCCAACCCATTTTTAGGGGAATGTTTTTTCAAGGAAACTTCGTTTTCTAAAATTTCCACAGTTTTGCATCTTTTTATGCTTACATTTTGGCAAGTTTAAATAATACCATTTTGCATATTTTTTGGTTGAACTTTCTAGCCTCGAATAATTGGTTTTATACCCGCAGGATTTCACATTTTTCCTATGTGATGTTCTGTTCGTGAACCCCGCAAAGTTATGAACTTTTAAAGTAACCCCCAAAACTTGGTCTTAAATTGATTCCTTTCTTCTGCTGCTCTTCAAGCTCTACCATGGTCTCGGTCTGTGGGAACTACCTTGGCCAGAGATGAGCCGGGCTGACAAATTGCACGTTAATGTGTTTTTGTTGTGCCATCATTTGATTATCCACAGATATTGAGTTTAAAGCTGGCTAAAATGGCAAATGGGCAAATGGGCAGCCCGCGGCTGGATGTGCTTAGATTGTTTTACCTTTATTGATTTTTGATTTGGTGAGCTTTTTAAAGAAAATTTGATTTAATTTCGTGTGCGTGGTAGGCTCCGGTTTCTGTGTTCGTGTCGAGATTTGATTACAACTCCTTGATGAAATTGCGCTAGGGAAAAAAAGGAAGACGAAGGCGAAGCCAAGCAAATCAAAGGCCACAAAGGAGAGCTACGAAAATGCCTAGCACAACAGCGCTTTTTGCTTTTTTTTTTGGGTCTGGCCAACACAAAGGATTGGCGGACAAAGGACACCATTCAAGCCCATGCGTGGTTTCAGGTAGCTACAAATTGCATCCTTGGGCGGGTTCAAGAGAAATTCGGTATTATAGACTGTTTTTGTTTGTTCTCGGTTCCTGCATGTTTATTGCTGCTCTGATGAGGTATCTCTATAGCTCTGCTAAAGTGTCCATTAAGGAAGCGCTGCTGCATTGATTGCCGCTCATAAAAACCTAAGAGCTCTTAGCCAGGGATGTACACTTATTTATGTGTGTGTCTCGGTGTGTTTGTGTGCCGATGACAGCAGCTCAGCGGGGAAGGAAGCTGAGTGGGCGGAATTTGAGAAATTACTCAAGATGAGAATGCATTTTGCTTGACAAGCTTCCGGCACTCATTTGGCATTTCCAATGCAATCCTGTCTTTTGTTTGCTGAAATATTTATAAGGAAATATTTCTGTGAAAAAGCTACTCAAATGCCTTGAGAATTTCCTGTTTCCAGTAAGTTATTTACACTGAAAGAAAAGTAGTAGTAAATAATATAAAAAGAAGGCAGCAGAAACACTTTGGAAACACTACTTTTCTGTCAGTGTAGGCTTTTAGTTGAGACCTGATTTGATTATGAATTGACGCCTTGCCACTGCTTTGACCTGTTAATGGCCCAAATCGAATTTCGAATTGAGTTATGGAGTATACGCGGCGTATACGAGATATTCGAGAACCAAGCGGCGTATACGCAATGTCGGACGCTTACCTGGGTATTCGATCATAGGAGTCCCACGAGGAGAGACAATTGTAGGACGAATTGCGACTGTTGCCCGCCATATTGCATAATAGATGATCCATTGGCTCGAATGACCGCGGCTCGAAGCACTTTATTTAATTTCACGTTTCGATCACTTTGTCAAATTGCCTTGCATTTTGCGAACTCTGGATGGTTATACTGATATGTATGGATAGTTTGGTTATGGATTTAACTCTGGACCCTTTAGTTTTTGTTTCTCTAAAAGAGAATATCACACTTTAATGCCAGCACTCTACTAGCTTGAAGTTCTACTTCAACTTTAATCAAAATTGATTGCCCTGGCTGGGCAATTAATTTTGTTGTTTGAACACGCAATTGAGGACAGAACGCATGTACACATACACATGCATACGTTGGCACACACACTTATTTATAGCTTGTTTAACATGATTTTTTTGTTGCCGGCCATGTGGGTGCTGTTGCCCGTCCGCCCATTGTGTGTGTGTTCTTTGGCCATTTAATAAATTTATTGCCCTAACGGCCATAGCCTTGAAAAGCAGAAATGGCACCGGCGTAGGAAATGGATGTGGCTGATAGAGCCGACATTGTGCCCTCATTTTGTCATTAAGCCTTGTTTTTTTTTTTATTTTTTACACTTTTTATTATTTGACATGGCATTACTACTTTTCACTTAAAGGTCTCCGCTCCCCTTTTCTTTCTGTTTACATTATTTTCAGCTTCCATTTTCAATTTACGCAATTAATTAAAATGCATGAATTGACGGGAATTTGCTTGTTGTTAATCCCGAAATTCAATTGTAAATTCATACATTATTTAAGGTTCTCCGTGGTTTTCAATGGCTTTGTTCATTTTGATTGCTTTTTAATTGCAAATTCATGTTCACTGCGGGATAGGAAATCTGTTAAATCTGTCGTTACGGAAGTCACAGACTGTTGAATATCCCAAAAAGAGTGACTGATTTGGGCAAGCCAAATCAGAAGAGTAAAGGAAATTTATTGACTTTAACTTTCGCTGACAGACACAAAGCCAAATCATTAGACGTGACCTGAGAACTCTCGCTAAGTGACACATTGATAAATGACAAGGCCAAGTAGCGTCTATCAATGGATAGAAAGGACTTTCTTGCGGTACTCATTCCGCTTTGATAAATCTATCTTTTCCTTAAAGCGTTTTCCCTCTTAGCCTTTTTGCTATTTGCAATTTAAATTACCCGTGGTCTGACCTTAAACCATCTGCCACCTTGCTTTATGGCTTTGGGTGCTGCTGGGACTTCAATTAAAAAATCTCTGAGAGAAAATCTCAAAGAAATTCTTATCCCGTTCTTTGACATTCTCGTTTGAACTTTGAACTTTGTGAACTGCTTGCACTTTTTAGCTAGCGCGAGAGACCTGATTGATTCACTTCTCCTGCTATCGAATGCATTTATTCTTTTATTCATTCTGTCTCCAAATGCAATTTGCATGGCAATGGCTTGCTCTGAATTATTTAGTCCTTCGAAGTGATTAATCGAAGTGCTTTCATTGGAAATCCTGTGCGTGCCGCCTCTGTCTGTGTCGCGTACATCAAGTATACGCCCTCTTAGGGCCAAGTATCTGCTCGTAATGCCTGTGTGATGTGGCGTTTTTTTTTTTTTTTTTTTCGTGGTCCCCACAATTACGGTAATTGGCCTGTCCCGCGACTAACACCTTTTTATGGAGGCTCAAATTCAAGGCCCAAACGGTATGAGTCTCGGGGGAACAAGTAACCCAATTTCTGGTCTTAAAGGGTGCGAAACAAGCTACAGAAATATCGCCTCAACTATATAATTTGAAGCAACCCGAAAATAATTTCCCGTAACCAAATTTCTGGGGTTGGAACTAGTCTGTCGTAAATGTACAGCGAAAAATTGTTATTAATATATTTTATATTTTTCCCTTCTATTATGGTTCTTCATTGAATAATTTATTAAGATTTTTCTATTCAAAAAGTTAAGGTGAGTTGCTTAAAAAAGTTTATAAATAGAAATCAGAGAAGTTCTTTTAAAACAAAAGCTCATAAAAGTATTTCCTTTTCCCCTTCTTAAAATACATACAAAAATCGAACAAGAGGAAATAATTTATTCATTTATGAGCAATTTTTCGTTATGTTACTGATTTTTCTCCCCATCAAGGAAGTACTTTGAGTTTTCCTGCTCGCGTTTATTTTTGGGTTGCCGCATGAGGGTTAATTTTAAAACAAAAGCCCCGCGACGACGACACTCCGTCTGCTCGTCTGTGTCACAGCTCATTAGGTTTATCGATTGCTCAGATTGGAGCAGTCTGTCGTGCCCCAAATATCCTTGAAGGCAGACAGAGGGACCGAAAAGGCTCCACCAATCGTATAATCGTGTGTGTTGCCTAAATATATGCAAACATTTGCATTAACACTTGCTAGTCCTTTAAGGAGTTAGAGAGGAAAAAAAGAAAGAAAACCCGAGGAGCGTTGAACTGGCAGCAGCTCACAAAACAAATCAATTTGGCTGCATAAAATTTAAATATTTTCATAGAGCCCCATAGAGGTTTTCATTGTTTCATTGTCCAGACAGAGTTTGGCTTTGTTTCGCTGATGCTGCTGGTGGGGCAGCATTTGCATACTGAAAATATCTTTATTCATTTTGGTGAGCCAAGCGAATAGAAATTGGTAATCCGGTGACCTTTGCTGGCAGTTTGCCCGCTGTTCCTACGGAAGTCCAAAGACGTCACAGTTCATGAACTCTTTTGGTGCTCATTCTGAGTCCCCCGTCCCCCGTTCTACGAATCCCTGACCTCGTACTCCCTTCACTACCATTGCTTTTTATGATTTCTGCTGGCAGTTTATGTCCTGGCTTTATGTGCAGCATAATAAACTTGATGTCTGAATCGCTTAAATTGAGTGAAGGTCGCCTTTTAATGGTTTTGAATCTTGATTGCACACAAAATCCTTCACCCCCCCAAAAATATGATAGGATCAAATGTATCCCGAATTTGCCTCTAAATGCTGCACATTCCATCGGCCTGGAAATGAAAATGGGAAATGGCTTTGATGTGCTCTTAGCATCTGCTCACCGGAGCAGACCTAAGTTGCATTCGCTTTTGCCCAAATTAGCCTTACAAATTGGCCATGTTTGGAGGCATCAGCAACATATTGCCATTTCCCACGCGATCGAGCCATTCACGGTTTTCAAATAACCAAGCTGGGCCAATTTTACTTATCCCTTTGAAAGGGTATATTTATGGGTTATATTTGTTTACTAAAAGTTTTCTTTAGTTTGCCACAAAATTGTATATTATAAGGCTAAAAAATACATATACTCAGAAGCTAGCCTTTCATTCCTAAAAATAAAATTTCCCAAAACTGATACTTTTTTATGTCTTTCCATGGAAAAGCAAAGGGTACAACTTTTCCGACATAAAAACTGCCATGTTTTTCCGCTATATTTTCCACAACTTGTTGATGACTACTTTAGTTTTCCAGCTCCTGCTGTTTTTTCCCATTGCGTGTTCTTCGCCATTTCGAGTGAAAGTTGGCACGCGCCATCAAAACACGGGAAAGCGAAAGCGAAGGGCGGGGAGAATGAATGTGATATAGACACAATAAAGAGGAAGGGGAAGGACTTTGAACAGTAGACAGCGGCACGCCTTGGCTGTCGGCCAACAAAAATGCGCAACAGTTTAAAAAAGTAGGCGTCAACCAGCGGGGCACGACATGTCATAGCAGAAAAGACAACAAAAAGAAAACTAGGAGAAAATCCAAGGGGGGAAGGAAGGACGAGGACAAGGAAGGAAGTAGAGCTATGAAGACGAGCAGACAAACTGTTGCTTCTTTCCCCTTCACTTTCAGCTTAGCATATTTAATCGTGCGGAAGCAATCGATTGCCGCTAAATGGGTGGCAATTTGTCCCTAATGACGTCATTACATGCAACAAGCAAACAACAAAGAGAAACCAACAGCCGCAGGACATTCCTGGCCAAGAAGAAAGGCTAATGTCCGCACCAGCAGCCCGTTCATAAATCAATGCTCTAAACTTGGCCAAAACCGCACGCGACCTTTTCTCAGGCAGGCCAGACCAGCATGGCCATGCACTGGGAGAAACCTTAACCCACGAATTTTCTAAAAACTAATGAACTTTACTGACTTTTTCAGTAGATATTTGAAAAATTCTTAATACAAAATCTATTAAAGTCAATAAATATATAGAAACTAGTAAAAGAAAGTTCTATAGAGGAACTCAAGCCCAAATCCTACAGTTTTTCTCTCTCTGCAGCAGCAAAGGCGCAAAAAAACTTGAGTAGGCAGAACGAATTTATCACTTGGCCAGCTTAATGGCTCTTGGGCCAAACAAAAGCGTATTACAAAGCGTTTAGCATGTTGTTTTTCCACTCCTCTTTTTAACATTTCACTTGATCCCTCTTTTGTGGTCTGTGCGTGTGTGTGAGTGTGTGTGTTGATGGGCAGGTTAAAAGGAACGAAAGGAAAGCGCATTAAAAGAAACGTTGGCCAAAAGGTGAAGTCTTGGGGCTTAAGTAAGTCCTGATGAACTACTACTGCGAAAATGAAGTCATAAGTGTGTGGAAAATAAAGTGAATCAGTGGCTAGATTAGCCATTACGAAGACAAACTTTCAGAGGGAAAATTATTGTTTTAGGTTCATAAATATTGGAAAAGTTTTGGTAAAAAAGAAAGAAGAAAGTTCTTAAAATAAACACAAAGAAGTGTGTTAGGTAGAACTCATTAAATATGACTTTAAGAACTTAATTAAATCATTAACTTGAACGCCTGAAATACATTTTCAATTAGTGGCCCCTTTTATTATGGAAAACATCTACGACCTTTTGGCCCCAAATTGACTTTTGTTTACCAGTTTCGCTGGAACTCCTCATTCTTGTGTTTTCTTTTTCTGGCTTTTAACTCAACCGTCTAGCATTTTCTTGGCCAAATGTATGCAAATAGAAATGTCGCACATATTTCATAATTTTCATATATTCTTCGTGCCGAAAAGCAATTTGCATTTGTTCTTGCTGTTTGAGAACAAATTGGTTGCCATTTCTGTTTATCATACATGGAAATTCACAGAGCCAGAGGCAGGTTGGGAGTTATGGGCCAAATTAGCTTATTTGACATTTGAATGTGCAAATATTTGGAAAAGTGCGAAACTCAAAGTCGCTACGCATTTATCATGCCCCAATGCAATCGTTTTTGGATTCATTTTTCTTTTGGTAATCGATGGAGCTTTAAGATTGTGCGGTAAACGTTGAGTGGGTATTTTTCGTTTATCTGCAGCTGTCAGTTAATTTCCGTTCAAGTAGCCATTAAAACAATCAGAACGCCGCTTAGGCTTATACACCCACTCACCCACTTACACAGATACCACAACATGAACACCCATACAGAGAGAGAGGAATGCCATTTTATGGACTGCCATTAACAGCTTGTTGTCGCAGCAGCCATTTAATAATAATAATAATAATAAAATGATAAAAATGGCTAAAATCCAGGCGAATAACTCAATTACATGGCCAACCAAGCCAGCCCAGACGTTAGACTTGTCAACACTACGCCATCGTCTGCTAATTAAAATCCTCTTCTCCGGCTTCTTGGCCAAACGGCCTCCCACCACCATCTCCACTTTGATTACTACTAATATCGAATCCAATTAATCTTCCCCATTTGACTAAGTCAGTCGCTCGCAACATGTGGCGCGTGTCAAGTTATCATAAATGATTTCGACTTGTAGAAAGTTTGTCAAAAACTTTCTCTTGCCAAGATGATTGGCTTGGCTTGAGACTTCTAGCTCAATTGCCGCAAATTTCCAATGACATCCAAATGGCTGACGCTGCCAGCAGCAGGACCAGTTCATAATCCCCAACAGCCAACAGCGCCTGATTAGGTAGAGCATTAACTTGGCTAATTACACAAAAGTGTCTGGCTTAAAGCTGCGTAATTTGCTTTGACTTTCGGGAATTTTTAATTTCAATTTAAATTCAATTTATTTAAATTTTTCTTTTATACGAATTTTTGTTTGGTTTGATGTTTAGGCTTAATTATTATTTGGTTTGATTTAAAATTTTAAGTTTTGGTTAAAAATATTGTTTAATTTATGGATAATTTTAAGTTATTATTTTATAAACTTTTATTTGTATTTCGACTGGCACTGTAAGAATTTGCTAACTTAAAATTTAAGTTTGCTGATAAATATTTATAATATTTTATTTTAAGTCCATCTAATTATTTATTGGATTTAAACTAAAGCTTAGTTAGTTTTATTAAATCACATAAATTTATTATTATTACATTATGTTAAACGGCTTTATTTTGATGGTATTTAATTTTTAATAATTATTAATAATATTTTTGAAATTAGCAGTACCACTTTTATGTTTACTTTTCAAATCACTTTTGTTTTCTTTGACAAAGAACTTTTCTATTATTATAATATTCTATTAATTCTAAACTAGTTTGCATTCCCTCGTTTAAAATTCGATTTGAAATTCATTTTCAAACTTTACGATTTGAAAAAAGAGCGCGTTGGACACGTTGAAGCGGCAGTTTTAGATACGCTCGCCTCGGCACTAAGATAAGGACTGAAATCCTACCGAAGGCCTTCACTCGGCAAAAGGAAGTGGCGCAGACTCGCAAGGCGAAACGGAAATGCGGGAACTCACCATAGTGGTGGGTTCGAAAGGCGCCAAACAGCTGACATGCCGGCAACCGTTATTGTTTACATTTTTTCTCCCAAAAAGAGAGAGCTGTTCCCCCCGAGAGAGAGAGAGAGAGAAAGCAAAAAGCTTAAGGAGAACAGGAAAACTGACTGTTAGGAAAGCTTTCTATTAACATTAGCTTTTCTCATAGCTCAATCGAAATTCAAATATCAACTGTTAACTAGAAAACTGCATAAATTAAAACTGCCAAGCATGTGAGCCAAAAAATTCAATTAAAACTTTTTATTGACAAATTAGCAAGCGGAATGCCAGAATAAATCCTTGAGAAAGGGTAGAGGGACAGAGAGTTAACCCCAATCAGTAAAAGTGGCAAAGGGTGTCTCCCATTTGAAGGCCAGGCGAGAGGCCCTTGAGCTGCTCCACCTGTTGGCCTGGCTTATAAATCCAAGTCCCCTGCTGAACCGCACGGCCAAGCAATTTAACCTTTGGATCGAATGGGAGGAACCCACATCCCGGCAAGGGGCATCAATCATTCTAGAAGGCAACCGTTTCATTTGGTAGGCGAGTCAATCTTGTGAGCGCCACCTTAACCAATTACCTAAACCGCAGATGAAAAACCGAGGGGAAATCGTGGGAAAACAGGGGGTGCGGAGGTAGAGAGAAGGACTCAACCTTTGTTTGCTTCGCAGATAAGACTTGCCACAAACATTCCCGACCCTAAGTTATGCACAGCGACGCACTCGAGCCTTACCCAACTGGAAATGGATCCGGATGGAGAACTGGTGCCGAGTTCATAAAATATTTATTTATGCGGATGCTGCGGCTCGATCTTTGTGAGGTTATAGTGGGGGTTAGGGCCAGGACCAAAGACTGATTGAAATGGCGAACGAGTTCATTTGTGTGTCAGGAGGTCGTCTGTCTTCTCATTTGTTAAACGTTTTGTGCGGCTGACGACGTCGAACACATACACACATGTCTATCCCTGGATTTGCGCAATAATCAATCATAATGAATGGCCAGGTGGAGGTGGTCAGAAAGGATATCTCAACTCCCTCCCACCCACACATGAAATGGCAAATTGGTTTCCCTTAAAGTTTGAGTTAACTCCCCACCTTTGCGTAGCCTCACCGAAAAGATAGAGGAAGTGAAAAGTTTTCGCCTTTCCTTTAAGTTTTCCCAACTTTTACCCAACTCAGGTCCTGACGTGTGTATTTATTGCGGATGCCTTTGTTTTTCCAGCCATTAAAACGGAAAGGTGGCAAAACTTTCCCAAAAGTCATAAATGCAATCGGCTTTAATCCCTGGTAAGTTTTCTTTGAAAATATATATCGTTTTAAGTTAATATTTTTAAGAATATATTCCTTAAAAAAATAGTTCATGTATGGTAGATGTCTACTTACGATTCATAATTTATGTTAAACTGACAAGGGATTGTTGTTAATTACCTGTAAAAGAGAAAAATTTCATCCATTAAACTTGATAAATAATAATACAAATAAACATATTTTTTCAGGAGGGTTTTATTGGGAGTTCATATTAAAAGTTTATCTTGGGATCTTGAATTTCTGTAGGTCTAAGGTTTGATTAGGTTTGATAGATTCTTCTCAATCAGGGTTCGCAGCGTCGGCACACGAACATGCCAAAAACCATGCCCATTCCAAAGCAGATAACATAAGCCATGTTTACTAAATACAGATTATCTTTAGTAGCACCAAGGAACTAAATTAATTACAGAAACTTACACGAGTGTTCTTGGCAATGAGAAAACCAACGATTCCTCCAACGATGAATGTAATAAACCGCTGCATATTTTTTTTAAAATAGAACTCGAAGCTCCCCGATTTTTTTACGGAAAATTTCGTTTATTTTTTTAAAGCATACGTAAGGTATGTACTTATCGTCTAGACTGTCGACTAAGGAATAAATGTTTTTGATGAGAGGAAAACTTTATAAAAGCTAAAGCCAGGGCTACTAGACCTCCTTTTTGTGATAAAGTAATATTTAAATATTTTATCAATTTTTGTATTCTACAAAACTATCTTAATCGCTTTTAGGTATTCTTTGATATGAGAAAACCCACAATGCAGCCCATGATGAAGACTATAATCCACTCCATGTCTACTTAAGAAAATGATTTTTAAGAAAATTTCACAGCAATTATGAGGCGAATTTGGTTTGAATTAACTAAAAAGACTTTCTAAGTAAGGCCAACTGATGGGATAAGTTTTAATCCACAAAATGGCTTTTATTTTAATACATTAAAACTACAAAAAGTTTACATTTTCTTAAGATAAAAATTATATTTCTTGCTCTTAGTTGTACATAATTTGTATTTATTAATTTAGATTATTTCCAGTTCAGAAGGTTAGAGTACTAGCACCTCCGGCAGGTCATCATTCCAATAATCACGCCCAAGGCAAAGGAGATAATGTGCGTCATGTTTCTGTTTCGCTTAGGATTTCTAGAAACCAGAATGGACTTCTAAGTTTTGATCTGAAGAATATTGTTTACCTTCCTTCCAATCAAAGTCCAGTGAGAGAGATTTTTGACTTGCTGCCAGAGAAATGTTAGCCAGTACATCAAATTCCAAGCGTACTTTGGTTTGAGCTGCCTCACTTACTCTATGTATTCTTGGCCAACAAGTATCCCACCAAACAGCCAACCAGAAATGTAATCACCCAATCTATATCCATTTTCTCCAAAAGTAGTCAGTTTGTGTGTAAATTGTTTAAGAAAGCAGACTAAAAACAGAATGAGAGATCGGGAAAGGCTTACTGAAAAACGCATCGAAGTTCTTACCCTTTTATTTATGTTTGCCTATTAAGTAGCCCACAATACAGCCCACAACAAAGGTTAGAAAAATGGAATTATCCATAGTTTTTGGCCGGAAAGAATATTATTATGTTTAGAATTGCTTAGGGAAAAGTATTTTGAAGTGACATTACTAGCAAGGAAATTTAGATAGAAAAAGATTGATTTTGATTATTATACACAAATTTATTTCTAGGTAAAGCCTTGAAATGTTTTTTCTACGGTTTCAGTTACTTTATTCTAGTAGGTAAAAATATTGAAAGAGCATGGATTCTCGAAAATCTATGAAAATCAATGAAAAATCATTTCATTGAGTGGGTTAGGCTTAACTTTCATATTTCCAATGATTTTAGGCATGATAAAAATAATTTCTCAGAAAGTAGTTTATGACATTAACATCAGTTACTCAGCTCATATGTAAAAGCAACTGAGAGCTCACTGTTCCAAATTCTCCATTCGGCTAACATCAATTTTGTTGATTTATTTTTTTTGGCGTAAAATTTAAAAGTTTTTGGAGGGATCCTAAGATTACCAGGACATCTAAGCTCGAAATCCGTTGAAGATGTGTGACAAGCCTGCATGCCCTCCGCCACCGAGGTGTTGTCCACCACCACCGCCTCCCTGCCGTCCGCCTCCCACCCTCTGGCAGAAATTGAACTGCGTGCCATGCAACCGATTCTTTTTCTTCGTGATCGGGGCGGGTATCGGCCTCTACTGGGATCAAATGAAGAAGGATGCCCAAAAGGCTGCCGAGGAGGCCAACAAGTCCCCCAAGGAGAAGGCGAAGGAGGCAAAGGAGAAAGAAAAGAAGCAGAAGGAGAAGGAAAAGGCGGACAAAGAGAAGGCGGATAAAGAGAAGAAAGAAAAGGAGAAAAAGGAAAAAGAGAACAAGGGCAAGGGCAAGGATAAGGGCAAAGAGGAAGGCAAGTAACGCGAATGAATCCCAAAGTGGAGATGTCCAGGAGCAGGATCCTGTGCCCCGAAATGTATGCCACGTTTCAACAATAACAAAATTTCAAGTACATTTTATCGATAACTTAAAAATTATTAATGGTCAGTTTAATGAACCTTTTAATATATTCAATTTCTTAATTTAATATATTCGTTTGTTTTAGATCATGAAAATATAATCGGATGGGAATTTCAACTGGAGACAGGAAATTTGAATGATCATATGTGCTTGCAGATATGAGGAATTTTAGAAGTCTTAAAACATAAAACTAAGGTTAAATTCTAAAATTCAATAATACCGAATGGGCCGTACCAACATGTGGAATTTCCAACTAAAGTTGTACTACCAGGATTGAAGTTCTTTGGCATTTAAATAAAACTTCATTTAAATTTACCCACCAATTCGTGCATTAAATCGCTTTTATTAATCATGTTCTTACAACTTTTATCTATTTAGAAAATAATCCCTTTTAAGAGCATTTTGTTTCCACCCTGCCTAATAGTATGCAACATATTTATATACGATTGCAATCGTATTGGGTTGAATGTATTTAGATAAGAAAATGTTGCCTACTTTTTAGCTCCTATATTAAAGAGTAACTTTGTAAGACCCCTGATATGTGAGAACTAAGGGCATTGAAAGAGACCCACTGCCACTCCTTAATCTCGGCGAAAAGGCTAACCAAAAAACCCAGAAAAATAATTTGAAAAGCGCCGCCCAACAGGCTTTAATTACGAACCCAAATTGAATCGGAAGAACTTCAGATAGCAATATCTTGTACAGCATTGAATTTATAAATATTCTTTCAACAGGAATAGAGAATAGATCAATCGAAGAAATCCGTATGGAATTGTTGGCAGTAGTATGGCAGTTGTTCGATTGACAAATTGCTCCATAGATAAATTTATCGACTGAAAAATTTCGTATTCTACAATTCTTCGGCGGACAAACTTATCGAATGGCATTTCATCTTTGCTGGTTAACGTCCGGTTTCAAGTGGCTTGGATAAATCGTGGAATATAGTTTCAGGTAGCTGCTTATCGGTTCAGGCTATGAATCTTGTTGAGGCTCCATCATCTCCTACTTCTTGCCCTTGCCATCGTCCTTCTTCTTGCTGCCCGACTTGTTGTTGCCCTCGTCCTTGTTCCGCACGAACAGTACGCCCAGTCCTACTCCGATCATGAAGAACAGGACGCGATTGCATGGGGTACAGTTAAGCCTGGCCAAGAGCGACGGCATGGGCCGGCATACCCTCCGGACCTCGGTACGCTTGCAACAGGGCATGGCTCAAAAAGCTCGTCAGGATTTGCCAGAATTTAGACCGAAACTTAAATGGCTGGCTTGCTGATTTTGTTGATTTAAAATCAAAAGGAAAAAAGAATTTTGTGCAAATCGAAAAATTTTGATATACTAGATGTGAAGCCGAATAGTTACTGAGCTATGTCAGGCCAACCGGTTTGACAGGCCGTCGAAATGACTTGAAGTTTTCAGCTCACCTACTAGATCAAGGACATCAGCTAAGGGCTTAATATTTTTATGAGTCTTACCCACCTAAATTGCTGATTTCTGCAGTGGTTTCGGGTTAGTAAGGTAAATATATTTGGCGTTTCCTCCTCCAATTTCACTCCTACTTCTTCTTGTCCTTGTCCTTGCCCTTGTCCTTGCCGCCCTTGTCCTTAGCGTCATCCGGAAAGGTTTTTGCGTACCACAAACCCACTAAGACACCCGCAAAAATCGAAGACAGTCGCTCGCACATTAAATGCATGTCGGTGGTAGCTAAAGGATATTTCTGTTGAGGCAACTAACAAATTTTGTACAATTTTGAAAATTTTCTAATTCATTGATGTCTACTGCTGCGTCCAAAACGGATAACTGAAAAATGTCAGCACAAAAATCCAAAGTACATTAACCCAAAAATTCACAGCCAGCTTTGCCAGCACTTTCTTCTATACAATTTAAATTATTGGTTCTCTGGGCTTTCGGCTCGACACTTAATTAACTGTAAGATTACAAAGGGCAATTTAATTAGCTGGGATTACGTGTGTCCCAGGGCTGTGAAAATGCGAAATTAAAACACCATTACACCACCTCCGTTTGGCAGCGCTCATTGAAATTGGCTCGTATTTGTGTCGTGCATGCAGGAATACAAAGGCTCCACATGCTACAAAGGACATGATTTGCTAAAATGTGATTCGGTTGGGGAGATGCCCGACACAGGACTAAAGGGAAATAAATGTGACTTCTGCTCTTGGCCGCTTAAATACCCGAAATTGAAAAAAAATGAAGTTTAAATACACTTTTTTTTTTGGTACGATACCCATCTTTATTAAAATGCCAAATAAATAAGAATCTCAGCAAAGTTAATCAACTGGATGGAAATGTAATAAAAACATCGCTCAAAGCTCTTGAAAGAGGCTCGTCAGTTAATATATAAGACGATAGTTTCCTTTTAGTGGTCATATTTCACCTTACACTTTGCCTCTTCATGCCGATTGCGTCGTCTACATTTGAATTTTGGCCATAACTATTAGAAAGTTTACGAGTAACTAGAGGAAGAAATCTAGATAAGAGAACTTGCACATACGTATCGTATCGTTTTTTTTTTTTTCGGCTAAATGGAGCATTAATTCCATCCAGTTTAGCTATATATTCTTATCCCTACTCCTTGCCTTTCTCGTTTCCCTTGTCTTTGCTCTTATCCTGGTCCTTCTTCTCCTTCCCCTTGTCCTTCTCTTTCTCCTTGTCCTTGCCCTTGTCTTTGCCCTTATCCTTGGACTTGTCCTGGTCTTTGGACTTTTCACAGGGGAAGTTCTTAGCATACCAAACGCCGACCATAGCTCCAGCAGTCAAGGCAGAAAGTCTATCGCATAGCATTCGCATTTCAGGGAATAAAAATAAAATAGCTCCTCTGGTTTGGAATATAAGAACAAATTTGGACGACTTAAAATTTAAAATTAATATTAAAAATTTTGTTCTGAAAGATAACGAAGAATATGAAAGACTAACTAAGCCTACTTCGATGGCGTGTCTTTGGTTGCTATTTCATTATTTAAAATTTCAAAAGATTGAAAAAGTTTCGATATTTTGTAGTATAGAAATGCAGTTTCTTTTGTTGTTAAGTTTTAAGACTCCCTTGACATGACCACATTTTCCTAAAGTGACTTGCAAAATCGCATTTGGCTTATTTACACCAAAACCAAACCACACAAGCGAGAGCGTCCCCAAGTTTGCGAAAGTGCTTCGATGTCACTCAGCAGCAGAGAAAACCGAAAAGGTGAGGTTAGCCATGGAATCCCTTCATTGTTTCCCTTTTTTGAAATACCTGGTCAACCCTTTTTTTGTTGTTTTTCTAAACACTTTTTAGACACTCGAGAAGAGAAATCTATGCAGGAATTTTTAGCACGCATGGTTGTAGTTAATAAAAATGCTAAGAAATTTATTTCTAATAAAGTTACTTAGATTTACTTTTACCTTTTTCTTAGGAAACTTCAAAATAAGTTATAGAAAGCAGTAGCTTAAGATTACCCATCAACTCTTTTAAGAGTGACTCAGATTTCACCCCTTCAACTAGTTTTCCCTGTACTCCCCACTCACCTGGGGATCTGCAGCGCGATCTCGTCCAGACTGTCCGACGGACTCATGGGCGTCCGTTCGAAGAGGCGTGAGGGGGCCAGGGTCAGGTGGCCAGTGGAGTCACTGACACACTTAAAGACCTTGGCCCCACGCCTTTGGCGCTGCTGCTGACGCTGCTGCTCCACGCGCTTCTTGCGCTTATTTTCCTCGGCGCGCTGCAGGTTATGCAATCGAAAGAAGAACATTGACATTCTGCGGGTGGTGAGTGTTGGTAGGTTGGTTTGTGGGTGTGGCAGATGTTATGACGAGTTGATTGCAGAAATAATTTCAATTGCAATTTTTTGGTTTTATTTTTTTTCAGTTTCGCCGTTGAATTTCGCCGCGTTATTGTGCACAATTTGTTGGATATTTTTTTTGTTTTTCAGGAATTTCGAATTGTTTTTTTAATTTTTTATACGTTTTTTTAATAATTTCATATTGGTTGTTGTTCGATTTGAGTTTTCATTGTCAGCCAAAAGCGTGAGTTATTATGAAGAATATGGTAAAAGCACAACGAATTTACAGATAAAATTTATGGTTTGTTTTTAAGAGTTTTTGTGAGTTGTGTGTTGCTTTTAGGGAGCTTTCTATAATGGTAAACTTTACACAAAAGGCACACAAATAACATGCAATAGCATAAATAAAATGTTAAATTATTTAAAAAGAGTTGAAAAAGGAAAATAAATAACAGAATTTTTACCATCAGTCTTAATAAACCCTTTGTTCTGTTAAAAAAGTTTTAAAATATTTCAATAAATATCCCAATTTGGCTCAGTAAGTAGCAAGAAAAACACAATTAATCTAAACCATAACCAAAGGGATCAACAAACAAGCGAAACAAATTAATTATTAAGTCACACTCCTCGGCATTTTACTCGAACAGCTTAAGTTCTAACCACACTTAATCCCAGCAATCCCAAGATTACAAAAGCAAACTAATGGCAAAACTAAATCAAATAGAGAGCCATACGCTCGAGGGCACAAACCAACTTCCGTGGTATCAATCAAATTTCAAGTGAAATGGAATTTTTGAACAACAAATGGAAGAAGCAAAAAAAAAAAAAAGTATAAAATGTAGAAAAAAAACAGAAAACTTTACAAGGCAGCAACAAACTGGCAACTGTCCGCAAAACTGAGAAGGACTCAAAGCTAAAAAGCTGAAATGCTCCTTCCATTCCGGAAATTGAAATATGAACCGCATTCTGGAGGGGCGAGATGTCCTGTCCCTACGAAAAGGCAACACAAAACACAATGTCCTCGAAAAGGGCAGGAAATGGCGGAAGTTCTGTGGGTAAGCCCCGATTTCCAAGGAATTTAAAGCTGCAGCTCTCATTACTTTGATATTCCTTATGCACAAGGCCAAAGGCAAAAAATTTGTTTGTTTGGCAAATTGATTGATTGATTGATCGACTGCAATCATCAACTGGTTTTCCACTGATTTAGATACTATATATACCACTGATTCCCTTGTCATCAGCTCATGATTTCCGTTCAATTAGCTAGCGAATTCCCGCCTTAATGAGCAGCCGCTTGTGTCAAAAATAAATTAATCGAAATTTGCATAAATTTTGTATTTCGGTCTGAAGGCATTGTCGCGCCGTCTGCCCCAATACTCCAAACACTCTAAATGATTGCGTTCGGGAAACTTAATTATAAAAGCTAAAAGAAAATAAAATGCTGAAGGAGACGGCGATGAACTGGAATGGAAACGAAGTCTCTGCATTATCATTAGCTGTCCTTGATTTGGTTCATGGCAGAGGAATGTATTTAAAGGACATTTAAATTGAAAACTAAACGTAAAGAAATCTAAAGAAATATCTACAACCCAGACCAGCTGCTCATGTAATCCCAAACATTTGTCATGTCCTTAAAGCAAATTACAGAATGGAAGACCGCAAGAAAACTAAGTTCCTCTTCATAAATGACTAATTATCCTCATTTATTCTCCTATAATGCTACCCCTATTAGTATAAATACCAATTCACACTGCTTATTTGCCCATTTGACAAGGCAAATTAGAATTAAAACCAACCATTAACAAACCCCACAAACTTGGAAACAAACATTTTAGCTGCCTGTAAAAATAAAATAAAATTTCCATGCCAAATCCAATTAATAATTTAACTATGTAATAAAGACCATTACATATTATTTAAAAGCTTAACAAATTAAAATTTAATGCTTAAAATAAAAGTATATATAGTCTTTCTGACTTAGTCAGCCACAGCATGAAAACCACTGCAGTTGTGATTTTGTTAAGTTTTAGTTTTAGTTTTCTAATTAATGGGCAATCTGTTAGAAAAATTCCTGGTAAGATGGAAATTCCACTAAATTAAAATCATAAATTTCTCCTTATTTAAGAACTCTGTACTATGGGTGTGGTTTTAATCAGACAACGTGTGATGTGCGAACCTTTACGTCCTTTATGGGTCCTTCGAAAGGGCAGATGCGTGGAGGCTCTTCATTGCCGTAATGGTTACTCGAAATATCAATGCGAGAGGAATTGCCTTAGATCTAGACCAAGACCTCCACCAAAACCTGTACCAATAGTTAAACCAACACTGACAACACCAAAGCCAACACTCACAACTTGTAGAACAACAAAGGTTGAAATTAGGACCACAACGGTTCAGTATGCGACATCGACTAGCTCTGATCTAGCCTCTACGAGAGAAACTAGAAGGCCTAGAAGAACTAGAAGGCCAAGAAGATATGAAATGAAAGAGATATGCGAATAAAGTTTGATCTCCTGAAGGTTAATTCATACTAAAATCATCTTTAACTTGAATTCTTTAACAATTATATAAACTAAATGCTGATATCAAACCTCACCTTTTTATATAACACCTCACCTTTCATATATTATTTATCTTTCAGAACATTCACATCAACTTCCAAGAGCCTCCTAATTAGGATTTATGAAGCTTTTTTAGTGCGGAAACCATAAGCTCTACCAAATTAGCAAATCATTTAAATAACATAAAATCCCCATGAAGTCGAGGGCAGGCTTCAGTTTTCTTTCCCATAAAAAGTATTTTCACGTCCATTGAAAATCATCGTAACAAAAACGAAGGGCAAAGGCGAACAATGTGCTATATTTTTGCAAAAACGAACAATATGCCGATACAGGAACCGACACACTCAACTGCGAAGGGAAAGCAATAATCATTAGGCCAACAAAGGGACTACCTCCCCACCAAGCCCAGGGATTCAGCTCGGCCAGGCACTTCTATCGGGTTGAGTGCGTTGTCAACCGCTGACCAGGCACAAAAAAAAAAGAAAAAAAGAAAAGAAAAAACCAAAAAAAGGAACCCCTGCGAAATGCCAAAATAAACACTTGTCGCTGGTGAAATTTTTCGAGAGGTGGAGGCTTAGGTGGTTTTCCCAACCACAAAAGAGAATATTTTCCAGTTCAGCACGCGTTTAGGCGCTGGTGCGTGTCCTTAGACCTGGAGACCATTAGCCTGGTGAGTGGGAGATATCCTTGAATATATATATATATATATATATAGGGAAGAAGCAAAAAAGAACCCATAGACAGATGGCAGACAATCTTTTCACGGTCTTTGGCATGGCTCCCTGACTTGGTACCACCCCCAAGATATGTAATAAAAATGTAGACAATTTTTACGACACTGTCCGAACAACACAAGTGGACATTCCACTTTTATTTCTTCATTAAAAAGCAGTATTGATTGCCCAACAGCAGGAGGTTATGATGGCTGAAGCATCCGAAGAGTGGCCCCGAGGACCTTTATTTCATACTTTTATTATAGTTTACCACACACACACAAAAGGGCTTTATCAATGACGTTATTGGGCTTTCTCGGCCACTACCATTCTGTATTTGATTTATCCATATTGAATATCATATCTCTCCTTGGCTTTTCATCTTTTGTATGCCATGGCAGAAGGTATTTTCATTTCAACTTTAAATTACAAAGTACTTTTAATTCACTTTGATCAAGGGAGAAAACCTTGTCGACAATGTTTTTTAGTGAATAAACCATGACTTTGATGTCCCTTAATTGATTACAACCATGTCCTGTGTAAAATGGCCGATAATGTGAGAACAATTTTTCAACGCCAACTAACGACTCCCTAATGACCCATTTACCGCTGTCCCATGTGATGAATGGCAAAACTATAAATACAGGCCTACTAATTGGCCTGACCTGCTGCCTTTGAAGGCCTATAAAATGTGCCAGGAGACAAATGCAGTTTACCAGTTAGCAAGATGGGGCCAACTAAAGTGCAATTATATAGTTTTCTCACAAAGTTTACGGCTCTCAATGGGCTAAATACTTACTATTTTCACTCAAAGAGCAGTGTGTTTAAGAGCAGCTTCAAGTTGAAAATATATTGCCTTTTTCACCATATACTTTGCATTTTGGCTCTGGGACGTATGTTTTATAATACCACCGATAATATACGACTAAGTGTGTCTATTTTAACGATGTGTGGTACATCAGCCTGCTGTATGCATATGTGCTGGCAGAGCAGTCAAGGTGTAAGGAAGTTGGTTAATGGTTTGATTCGATTGGAGTTGAAATATTTCACTGGAAAACCAAGTGGATCATTTCTGAAGTTGAGATTTTACATGAAAACTATCTTTTGTACTATAACCCTTTTACGGATTCATCTAGTTTATCCCATTTACCTGAAGAGACTGCTGCCCTCACTGATTTACGTGAATGTGTTATCTTACTGGTTGGTCTACAATATGCTTTTAGGAGCTGTTCTTGGTTTTTACTGCCTGCTTTGGCAAATTTCTCGCCTTCAAAAGTTGTTAAATGATGAAATGACAGAAATTTTAACCAGATCGAGGCAGAGAAATCGCTTACAGAAGATGCAGCACAGCCTTAAACTCTACTCAAAACTTCTTAAGCTGTGCGACCTTTTAAACAATGAGTACGGTCATGTTTCGGTGTGTGTTTTGGCCTGCAAGAGTTGGTTTCAAATCACCTATGGCTATGAGATATACCAAATGGTAGCCGCCCCAAAAACCCTCGACCTGAGCCTACCTATGAGAATGTTTGTGGTGATCAGCTATATTTTGGATGCCATTAACTTGTTTGTAGGATCTGACATAGCCGAATGTGTCAGCATTTTTAGGGTGGAGACATGGCGCATTTTAAGGGAGACAAACCGCTTGGATAAGTTGGTAAGTAAGAGATTAGGGTTTTAAAATTAATAATAAAACTTAAGTTAAAGAAAATTTAACTCTTAGAGAATGAAAATCCTGCTTAAGGTTTTTGTTCTTTGAAATAAATATAGAAATTTTCGTTGGCCACTGAAGTTCCTTTCTAAGCAAGTTCTATTCCCATTACAACAGTCTAAAAACTTCCTTTTTGAACTCAAATTTCAGCTCTCCATGTTCACCTTGAAGCTGGCCCTACATCCCAAACGGGTCGTCTTACTCAACGTGTTTACCTTGGACTGAAAGCTGACTCTGTCGCTTATAGCCAAGTCAACGCTGTACACAATCTGCTGGCTGCAAGGCGACTACAACAAACTGAAGTCTTAGACCACCTTTGGGGGCTAAAACTCAAAGCAAATCCTTCATTTCTAAGAGTTTATTATATATATATATTCTGGCACAAGAGTTTGTCTGGACTCGGCAAGCACAAAGCACAAAAACCAAGGCACAAGGCACATGCAATACAAACTTGAACCAATACAAACATTTACATATATGTATTCAGTAAATATATAATGGAAAAATGGAAAAAATCAACGACAATGCATCCAAATCCAAAGCCACAAGCCAAAGGAACTGTGCAGGATGACGATTGGTTTTCGGTAATGGTTAAGATGATGATGATGATGAGGTGTAGGATTGGCTAAGCTAGTACAATGGTGGGCTTAGAAAGTAGGTAAACTGGAAAAATAACGAATGTTAGAGTATCCTATGAAGAGCTCAAGGTTTTTCAAACCTTTCTGATGGTGTTAATCTGTAGGAAATCTAACAATTTTGTGACTTGACTAAAGGAGTTCACCATTATTCTTGTATAGTCTATATATTGTAGAAGCTTTCACTTTCAAAAACGAAAAACAAACCATAAACCTTGTAAACTCATATCAAAAACGAAAGGTAAACTTTCAATTATTACAAACATTTAATTTAATTAAAATTTGAATGTTGCATAACTCAGCTTCCTATTCTATTATTAAAAATGTTTCCATTCCACCTTGTTTTTCCTTATGATTTCCCTCATCAAATCTAATAACCCATTCCAGGGTATTTCCCGCCAACATCCGGTGACAACAATGGACTCTGTTCTTGACTTTGTGCAGGTGTATTGCTTTCATGTCTTTGTATGTGTGTTTGTGTTTTGTATATATGTGTTGGCAACATTTTAATTTGATTTGCCATGAATGAAAACCAACTACTGAGTTGCGGTTGGAAAATTGTGAAAAGCACAAATACGAGTGAGAAATGAAAAGCGAAGGTGATGGTGAAAAATCAAAGGATAAACAAAACTTACTTGTGGAAACCAATTAGCTAACTTGTAGTTACGAATGCTAGTTAAACGGCTGCAGTTGTGGTTATTATTGTTATTGTTGTTGTTATTGTTGTCATTGTTGTTATCGTTGCTGTTGCTACCACTAGATGGCGTTTGGTCAAAGTTGCTGCCGTTGCTCATCTTGCTGAATGAACTCTAGCAGGATGGCAGGATATATATTGTGCTAGGAACTCATGGACACGCAGGCAAGGACATAGACACAGATACAGATACAGCTAAGAGAGTCACACATATAAATGCATAAGGAACACTGATAGACTGATAGTTAGAAAGATCTACAAAAGCACAGCAAGAAGAAAGCTCCCAGGAAAGGATTGTTAATGTGTTTTAGCTGTTAGTTACCTGAAAGCGTTATTTATTTAGTTATATTGTTAAACCAAACTAAATGCTTTTCTTTTTTACTCCACAATAATATATTGTATATAGGGTTAGTTCAGAGATATATATATATCTGTATATAAATAGGTTTATAGCACAGTCTACAGTTTACACGTTCAGTTACACTTTACACACGAGAATTGACAGCAAAATTCGAGTTTGGTTTTGCCACGTTTTTCTTTTTCTTGCTCTTATTTAACTAATTTAAAGCTTTTACCAAGTTTGTATTCCATTCTGGTCATATTTACACTTAAAGTTAAAGGTAATTATACATGTTCCTAGTTCATAACCGTATAATCGATAGGGTTTGGTCTGTGTTCAGTTAACAAGCACAAGTCTCACATTGATTTTATTTTGCAGCTATGTTGGATATCCGCGTTTTTTTTTGGTCCGCTCAGTTGGATTTTTAGGTATTTCTTTATTATTAGTAAAGTTAAGTTATAGGTATTTTGGTCAGTTGCTGGTTGATAATCTGTATACTTAAAGCTGCTTTCCTTGGTCTCCTGTTGATATTTATTGTTTTCTCCGTTCGTGCTAGAGGAAAAAGAGTAATACAAATGGATGCTGCGGAGGGGAGAAGAGAAAGGCAAAAGAACTATCGACTCAAGTGTGCTGGTAGCGAAACAGAAACATTTGCTTGCCAAAACGAAATTATGGCCATGATATTTTGCAAATAATAAAAGGATAAAAGGAGCAGAGGAGCCAGTTGAGCAGCAGGAGTAGCCGTAGAAACCAAGAAAGGACACCCGTTGAGAGAAGAAGAGTCGAGTCGAGTCGAATGGCGGCCATTTCTTAAGTTCAAATGCGTGCCAGGCAGCAATTTTGCCATCTTTTGTGCCACTTAGCCCCAGCCACTTGCCACTTGCCACTCGCCATTTTCTATTTTTTCTATTTCTCCCCTTGGGTTGCAGCCACAATAATTTAATTCTGCAAAAACTCAATGCTGATTAAATTTAACCATTCTATCAGTAAGAAGTTGAAAGCTGCAGGCTATGAGCCAAAGATGAGTGCCCGGGAAAGATATCCAAACTAAACGCTATACATAATATGTTTAATTAATTCATTTTGACCAGAGTGACAACCCCCTTAATCTCCTGCTAACGACCGTTTAGTAAGCTGCCTAAATATAGAAACAGCCAGCCCAACCTCCAACCAATACCAAAACGAAAATCAATATGTTGCTACACTGAAAATTGCTCATACGCCAGGTGGTCACCCTTCCAGGGCTATGTAAAAGGTAACGAAATTTCTTCGATTATTAGTTTTGTTGCAGTTGCAAGTGACAAAAACGCGACATAAAGTCATTTTGCACACATGCAACATGAGACTTTGCTTTGTCCCCATTTTGGAAATTGAATTTATGGCCAACACACACACACAGCTGCTTCTGCTGCCTCGTCAGTTTACACACATTCGGTATATATGGCAAACTTTTTGACTTGGACCACTATAACCCATCCCCCCTCTTCCATCCCATCCAGGCCAAGGAACTTTTCCCATCAGCCATGAACGTACAAGTTTATCTCGGGGCTTCTGCTCTTCACTTCAGCTATCTGGCTACGATTTTTTATGCCAAAAGTTCAAAGCAATTTTTAAAGATCAAAATGCCAAACGGAGATGCCTGGCAAAGGACATGGGAGCTAAGGACTAGAAGGACCAAAAGCACCAGTTGAAAGCCGACAAGGGAGCAAGAACCAGTGTCGTCGTAGAAGCCACAGAGAAATCATTTCATTTCAATTTATTTTCCCATTTCCATTGTTTTCTCTGGTAGTTGGCATCGTTGTTGTTCTTTGGTCCTCGAAAATCGGAAATTTGTTCTTGCCGTGTTGGCATTTTCACACCAAACACGCACGCACAGAGGGTGGGCAATTTTCCAAACAGAACTCAAAAATTACACAACATTATTCTGGCAAATGACACATATTTGTCTCTATGGATGTGTTTGCCTTGCTGTGAGTAATTATAGACTTGGTTTTAACTTTGAATATTTCTTTTCTTTTCAAACTCAAGGAAATGCCAATGAAGTGAGTCTAATTGGATTAAATGAGTAGGCAAAAGTTGTGGCTTCAAAGTGATTTAAATTTGGGAGTCCTTAGACTTGAACTTAATTTAATGTTTTCAAAGTTATTTGATTTATTAAGAACTTTTCAACTCAGGTATCTGAGTTCTTAAGTTCATTGCTTAAATTTTGTTCACTGACTTTCCCGCAAACAAATCCCTGGCTTTACTTAGCTTTTGACCCATAAATTGTGACACTATTTTCAGAGCTGCAAAGGCTGAGCTCATTAATCACAAGCCCAACCAGCCCTTGGGATAAAAAATACGCCAAAAAAGCTCACACAACGACTTCGGCTATGCTCTTTTTGTTTTAACTTAAATTTAAAGAGAAAAAACTCCTTGTGATCACACAAAATTATGCTAAGAAAGCAGCAAAATAAATAATAAAAACTTGGCTTCTTGAGATGGTGGCAATTATGAAAAATCTCACCAAGAAGTGGAAACTATGCTGAGGGTGTTTGTCAGCGGAAATTAATGCTGGCGGGGCAGGACGGAGCACTTGTCGGCCAAAAAGAAATGGCCACGGCAGCGTGAAAGGAGAATGGCGCCACTTACTTTAATTGCTGCCACGTTTGCTGGGGTCCTGCGTCCTCCGACCTGCCTCCTGACGGCCAAATACACAAAGGAGCCAGAGCCAGTGCCAGAGCCAGAGCCAAAGCCAAAGCCAGAGCCAGTGCGTCTCGAGTAATTAAAGCACCACAGCACACCGCAGCCATTGCAACAATGCGACCGACCAGGATGGTGTTAAGTTGGCCAAAATGCTTATGCATTGTGTTGACTGACTGCCTGGCATTTCACGCTTTTGGGTTACGCAATTTTCGGCACTCAATTGAGCACATTAACTGACGGAGCTGGACCCCTGCGAGAAGAAGGCCTTATTGATTGCCTGCTGCCTGCTGTCTGCTGCCCCTTTTCGTCCTTTTTTCATCCTTTGACTTGACTCATAATTGGCCTGGCACTAGCTAAGTGCCGACTGACCGTTTCGCAACAGGGCCATTTAGCTCCAGTTGCGTTTAGTTTAGTTACTTTTATACGAGTTGCCACCGCACTGGGGGCAGCCCTTTTACCCCTGGGGCGGGACAGGGAAAATGGAAAGCTTATGAATGTTTAAACAACTTTCAATTGCGAGAAAAGTTTTCAATTTTCGTTGTAACTTTTACTCGCCATTCGCCATGGCAATGCATTAACAAACTTTAATTAATATGTGCGAGAAGAGGACGTAGAGGGATATCGATTCGATTTGAATTTCTTTGCCAGCTTGTCGGAAAGTTTTCATTTAAATGGATCCCCCGAGCAACAAGTTTTTTCCCTTTCCAAGTCAATGTGACTTTCGTTAAATACAGAATGAAAAGATAATAGGCTTTCCGTGTTGTTCATTAATTAGAAATGAAGTTTTTTTTTAAATAAGAAAAGTTAGACGAGATTTCTAAGCAAATTGCTTAAAGCCAAAGAAAGTTCTGCCATAATATATCCTTTTGTCAACCACAAGCTTATAAATAAACACACTTGCTGGGGCTGCTTGAAAATGTATCCCCTGCTGAGCTTCTCATCTTCTTTGCTACTT